TTTCGGGTCATCGCTCATTGAAATGTCGGACGCCTGTTCCGCGAGGGTCAGCTGCTAGGTTCCTTCTCTCCGGTTGGTCTCTCGGACTTTCTCGATGGTAACGTACCACATGGGCAACACCAGAAACACCAGCCATGGCCTTGCCAAGAGCCTCCCCATCCTCGAGGTTGGGAACGAGGACTGATTCAAAGGCATCCTTGTCATACTTGCTGTGGAAGAACTCGCTGAGCCACGGCTTCTCTGACCGAACTGTGCCGCGCACCCGGTAGCCGAGTCCGAGGAGGACGTTGATTGTGTGAGATCCGATGTATCCATTGGCTCCAGTGACGAGGATGAGCGAGTCCTTGGGAAGTGCGGTGAACCCAGACATGATGTTCAAGTATGTTCGAGGTGGGGTGTAATGGCAGACAAGAGGAGATTCAAGAGATATCTAGATAGATGTGTATGCTCAAGATGCCTTGAAGTTGAATTGACCAAAGGACTGTGCACATATATATTCATCTCATGTTCTAAACACCGACGGGTTTAAATCTAATGCAGGCGGTGGGCCGTGGAGAATGGGAAGTGGTCCATTACTAACATCTCACAGATTCCACTAGAAGTGGATTTGCTTAGAAGACAACGACCCCTCCCTCGAGTGGTGGTCTAAAATGCAACCAAAGGCGCAGATGTGGACGCCAAATCGACGCTTGGATAATGACGTATGCATAACCACCCTGTCTAAAGGTCTTGGTCTACGGTGGCCTAAGCATTTTATCGTCGGTTTAATCATCCCCAGGTAAGGTAGCGGTCGCATTTACATCGAGCGAAAGCGAGGGAGCCTATCCTCCACGGATTTGCAATATCTCTTGGCGTTAGACTAGATAAGGTTGATGGTTGGGGTGGTTGGGTGGCCGTTTGTAGCTTGAGTGTTGGTTTGTGGCTTATGAATCGTGCATGCAGCTCGCAGCATGTTTCCTAAAGTGGCTACGGTGCTGACATGTAGTTGAATGGTTTGAAATCCAATGAGTGAGAGCAAGTGAAGGCATCAAAGATGATCAGCTTAATAATGTAAAAAGGCCGTGGCTTTTCGTTCGCCAAAGGGACTCTCGAGGGTATCATCACTAGCCGTCATGCTGATCAAGGAACCAAGGAATGAAATGGTGGAACTCTTGATGGTTATTCAATTGCTCTAAGGAGGAAAATCCACCGTGAGTGACATCCTTCAAGCTGTTACACAGTCGATTGGTGAGCTAGCTAACGCTACGCAGTGGTTCCCGCGCACTTACAACTCTCTTTACTTTTAGAACTCATGTGACGCGAAATGTCACTGGCTAGCTTGCGAAGAGCTTGCGAAGTATTAGCCGCAGTATTGGCATTTTCTCATTGAATTCTACGAGAAGCACTTGTAGACTACAGTTTTGGCAAGCAGCTTGGCCGTACCGAAGTTGTCAACCTGACCAATTACAATTTCGTCTCGGTGCTTACTTCGAAGCTGAAAGCTTAAGTAAGCCGTCTGGCCACGATGGCTACTATTAGCAGTCTTGGTAACTTGAATGTATGAGAACTTTGATCAATGGCTTCAACATAAGTCTGCAAGGTATGTCTCTCAGAGGTGAAGGCTCTGGCTTAAACTGGCAGAGAGACAGCCAGACTACCAGTAAGACACGTCTCTTGCAAATGACTCGATTGACAAGCCTACGCTGTCTTCCCTGTAATATATTGCACTTTGCATAGCTTCGCCTAGACCTGTCTAAAATCTTATACAATTCTTTGCACTACTGACTTGGGGTAGACGTGAAGCGGATTTTCTCCGACGCTTAGTATTTTTACGTGAATATTGCCCGTCCGTGATAGAAGGGACCTTTGTCCTCTGACCAGAATTAGAATAGGCAGCCAGCTACTAGACAGAATTCTCTGTCATTCTTCAAAATGTCTCTTGGCCCGGGAAATATGATGCGCAACCTGAGTGTTCTGCATTAAATAGGCATCCATACTATCTAGTTGCGTAATGATGCTGGGAATCCCATCGAGTGTTGCTTGACGTCAGTATATTGACTTCTAGTTTTCTCTAATGCTAACACATTTTCGAGTTTTCAATCAAATGTGTTATACTAACTTCAAATGGTGATGGTATGGATTATGAAGGAATAATACGTGATTTGTTAGTATGTTACGTGCTGTGGCGATGCATCGATGCGGACGCTATTCAGCACTCAATAGGATACTGCTATGAATTGTTTGATGGCTCACAGGAAATTAGGATGACCAGGCATAGCCGTGGCCATGAAACTATGCAGATATGCTCAAGTTCTCTATCAAGATCCTCCAGTTGTCAGAGATCGGGGATGGATCTGTGCTCCACGAAACTCGATCGCATCCGTAACAATCTCACGTGCTCCAGTTGAGGAAACGGCAACGGCACACCAACGGCTAGAAGGAAAGGTCGCTTGGACCACCTACGTTGGGGAATGCCAGGTGCTTGGGGAAGTTTGGGGGGAAACACGTCTCGGGGAGCATCGGCTGACAACGTGGGAAGGATTCTGCAGGGAGGGCTAGCAACGTGGCAGGCCGGGGGTTGCAGAGGAATGATGCCCGGCGGGCTCGGGTTCGAAAGGTCCAGCCCGCTTTGTAGATATGCTGGTCTCGATTGATAATACATTCCGTCCTCAGCATTCTGGAGTGATGCGGGAGAGCGAGAAGGCTTGATCCTGCTGGGCCTACTTGTACGAAAGTGATGTAGATGGAATGTGAGCATAGTCGCATTCTTGGGTGTATTAATGAGGTGTGGAAAGAGCTCACATGCTATTTGGGCAGTGGAATATATGACAGAATGGATGAAATCGTACAGGAGGGGATGAGGGGACATGAGATGAACAAGGCCAGCCCCTGACTGTCGATGAAATCTACACCGGTCGCCAAGCGAGTAGGGAGACGAAGAAGAAACAGCGACGAATATCTTCTTCCTTCATCCCTTGATCCCCCTTTTCTCATAAGAAAGCAATTGGGATCTGATGTGCTTGGAGCAAAAGAAGGATAGGTAAGAGTTGACGCTGTTAGTAGACTCGTACCCAGTACAAATGCGCAGATCCACCTTTCAAAAGCGTGGCGGGGCTAGCAGTGCAAATCTCGCAGCCGAGGAACCTCCGAGAAGTACCTCTCAGGAGAATTAGGGGCACGAGACTTGGCCTGCTATCAGCAACTACGGTAAACCAATTGGCATCTGGGGCAGATCCCATCTCATGGAACCAGGCAATTCCTTATCGGGGATCATCTTCAGTCTTACACTAGAGGACTAGGGACTCTAGGTGTGTTTCGGCTCGATTCGATTCGATCCAACAAAAACCCTGGCCTAGCACACAGAAACCCAACACACACAGAAACGAAACAAGAGAAGAGAGAAGTGTCTCTACTTCGTACGCAATAGGTATTTGAGGGTATGAGGGCAAGGAGGGGGCTGTCGAATCACCAATTGAGTCACACTGCGACCCAATCACATTCACACATGCACATATGCATCTCATTCTCCAGTTTTCCCCTCAGACTTCAGCCAGGTTGAGCCCATTGAAGGCAATGGAGGGGTATCTCAGGCCCGGCCTGGACGTCCACGGTCCACGAATAGACATAGTTGCGGGTAATGAATGGGAGGACCCTTGCCTTGCCCTCATGGCTCCTCTCCACCGTCCACGTCCTTGGGCTGGATTAGGCGAAAATCCAATCCCACTATGGGCGAAGCACGCAAGTAATGAAGCGGGAACAAGGCCACAATTCGAGATGGCCCTTGTGGTCCTGTAGGGCTGGGCGTTGTCGAGGCCCTCGGGGATGTTGTACAGACTCTCATGCCCATGCTGCCGCCTTGAAGGTTTCTTTGGGAGCACCGAGGACAGTCTGGCTATTGTGTTGCTTTTACTGCTGATAACTGCGATCGGAATAAAGCAGTCAGTTCATGCCTCGGTCTTTTAGAATAGGCCCCGGAACCTGAATGAGGCGGCGCCACAATCGCTTTGAGTACCTATTCGCTCGCCTTTAGCTTAGCGAGTTTCCTTGTCTTGCATGGCGCAAGTACCCGTGCCGGGGCTTGACTGAGCAGGATCCTAGGGGAATCCATCACCAACTTGGTTTAGGAAGAAGAACATGACCGCGCAGCATTCAGAATCTTTTCTTATCAAGATGGAATGGGTGAGAACGCAGATAGAGACGCTGGATGTAGGTGCATGGCTGATCGGACTGACCTCATCAGACATGAATGCACTCCATACCCTGCTGTGCTCTGCTTCCGCTTCGCCTTCGCCTCTTGGCTTCCCAGAGACAGCAGCCAGCCGGCAGCAAGTTTGGTAGCAGGCGGAAAGCAAGGCAACCCAATCTGGGCCCAATCTGATCTGGAAGCATGGCGACGTTTGGTACATTTGAATGAGTCTTGATGATGAGTGACAATAGTGAATCAGTGAATCAGTGAATCAGTGTGGTTCATGACAGTGAACGTGATGCGAAGCAATGAGATACCTGATGAATTTCCCATTGTCCTTTGGCGCAGCGTACCTAAGCACGTAAGGTAGGTAGGTAGGTACCTTGGGTAGGTAGGTAGTTGATGGAAAGAAAGTACCCGACCGTGCTATGCTTTCTCCGCCGAACCACACGGAATAGGAGGTATACGCAAGGTACCCCGTGACATTTGTTCACTTGGCAGTGTTCAGTGTTTCTGTCAGCTTTTTCGACCCCAGAGAGCTCCGAGGGCGCGCGCACACACACACACGCACACACAAACAGAACCAAACATCCGTAGCCGCAGCCGCAGCCGCACGTCAGCAGCAAAAACAAACGCTACCAGACTTGGTGCACCTGAAAGTACGAATACCTACCTAAGGTACCTTATTACCCACCTTACCTATTTCCTTGGATACCTGACGTGCTGACTGGGACAAGAGTACCTACTGTGTAACGAGGGCCGTCCTTTCTTTCACCAGGGCACCCGTTGTCCATCCCACCTCTGCCACCCGACCTCTTCCTCCTCCTCCACTGCGGCCAAGCCAAAGTGCCAACCTGGGAACTCCGACGACCGACCCTCCGACTCAAAGTTCCTACTGCGTAGAAAGCCCGCGATTTCATTGGGCCAAAAGGGCACCTTTTACCTTACCTAAGTAACCGTACCTCTACGCAATCAATCCAATCTCGACGACGTCCGGTGGCCCATCTCACCCTCACCACAGCCATTCTCTCCCCGAGTCCAAAAACCACCACGCATCCACGCATCCACGCATCCACACCCACACACCACCCCTCCTCTCCCCCAACACCGACAAGGAGAGAAAGACTGCGAAACGTACGGACAGAAACCCACGCGACCACGTTCGAGCGTCCCATACCCATCTATCCGACGACCGACGACAGGCTCCGGCTTCAGCCCGTCCTTTCCATCGCTAATTCTCTTTGCACACGAGGCTTGAGGTAGAGCGCCCGCGCGCCCTCTGTACAACAGCAACCACCTACCTTTTTCCGCTTTTGTACGTACCCTGGTCCTCTGCCTACTGTCCTACTCTCCATCCTCCTCCTCCCCCCAAACTCGTTGCCTCACTGCCTGGGCTCGCTGCTCCCTACTGCTTTGCCTCATGGTGCTTCCTGCTGCTCTCCGCTTGCCTGGAAAGAGTACGCGCGTTGCGAGCTGGATTGACTCGGAATCCCCTCTGTCGTCCATCGTTTCGCGGCTGGGTTTTTCCCCTCCTTCGAGACTGCATCGTCAATTTTCCCTCATCTCTTCCCTCCCCCCTCTATTATCAATCAGCTCCTCTTTTCTGGGCCCGATGCGCCGGCCCCTCCACTCCGCCGGCGACAGCATCTGCAGACCTCACCACCACTACCACCACAACCACCACCAACGAGCCCTCCTTTTCCTGCTCTGCCCTCGCTTGTCAGCAAAAGCCTTCTAGACAACCTCTTTGCTGACACTTCCTCCTCGCTCAGCCGCCAAGTCCTTCAGGCGACCGATACCCCCAAAACCGTCCTTCGCATGCGTTGAGCCTACGGTATAGAGAAAACGACTGGCCATTTACAACTCTCGCTACGATTCGATTTCTGCGACCGATACACTCCCTTTGTCTATCCCATTAGGATATACGAATTTCGCATGCTCAATCATCGGATCGCTGCCCAGTTGATTGTTTTATCGCTCTTTGTCCATCGTCGCCGCGACTCGTCCGGCGCCGTGACATAGACAACCCGCAAATACCGTCACCATGTTCTGGAGATTTGGCGGATACGCCAACATATCCACCATCGATACTATCCTCGAAAAGCCCGAATTTACCGTCGAAGACCTCCTCGACGAAAGCGACCTGATTCAAGAGCTCAAACAACACAACACGAAGCTTATCGAATACCTCCGCGAGGACAATGTGCTCAAGACTCTGCTCGAATATGTAGTGGCACCCAAATTAGAGCCCGTCGCGACCCCAGAACCAGATGAACCCGCCGAGGAGATCAAGGGCAAGGGTCGCCTCCTTCCCTTTTCAAGACCTCGCGCCTCATCCCGAGCTACCGATACCGACAATGAGGAGGAAGAGCAGGAGAAGAAGCGCAATCGCTATGCCTACGTTGCTGCTGAAGTCTTGTCATCCGACACGTGGTCCATTTACGAGGCCATGATGGAAAACCAAGACCTAGTGCGGGAATTTTGGCAGTTTCTGAAGCGCCCGACGCCTCTTGACCCTCTGCAAGCCAGTTACTTTACCAAGGTCAACGAGGCACTGTTCGACAAGAAGACGGAGGAGATGGTTATCCTTCTCAAATCTCTCCCCGAGGCCGTGCCCGACTTGCTCCGTCATGTCGAGTGTCCTATGATTATGGATCTGCTTCTCAAGATCATTGCCCTAGACCGCACAGAGGGCGGCCAGGGTGTTGTAGAGGTGCGTACAGCCCAGCAGTCTCCCAACCCCCGCTGAACAATGTTGAGAGCTAATCGTATCCCTTCTCCCAGTGGCTATACGGCCAAGACGTTGTGCCGACTCTGCTCTCCTGCCTCAGCCCGGAGCACAGTTGGGTTGTCCAGACAGCTGCAGGCGACTTCATCAAAGCCATCATTACCATCTCGGCCAATGCATCGCAAAACGAGCAGCAATGCATCGGTCCGAACGAACTCACCCGCCAGCTGGTGTCGCAACCCTGTGTGGAACAACTGATCAAGTACATGTTAGGAGGTGGAAACCCGCTGACCGTGGGTGTCGGCATCATCATCGAAGTCATCAGGAAGAATAACTCGGATTATGATCCAGACGTTGGCACCGAAGCCAACTCTGTTCCCTCGAGCCGAGACCCCATCTATCTAGGAACCCTGCTCCGCTTGTTTGCGCAACACATTCCCGATTTCGTCAATCTGATTATGAACACCCCGGTGCAGAAGGGACCGTTGGAATCGACCTTTGGCGAAAAGATAGAGCCTCTTGGCTTCGACCGATTCAAGACGTGCGAGTTGATGGCCGAACTGCTTCACTGCAGTAACATGGGCCTACTCAATGAAGTTGGTTCCGAGGACGTGATTGCAGCTCGAGATGCTGAGCGTCAGCGCTTAAGAACGGAGGGTAAGCTTACCCCAAACCGTGGCGAAGAACCGCCATCATCTACGGATGACTTGACGATGCGCATCGGTCGTTCTTCTCCCGAGGAGGGACGTCGTTTAGAGGTAACCAATATCTCAGACGATGACGGATTCGAAGAGGTTGAGCCCAGCCGCGAAATGAACGAGGACACGTCCCACGAGTTCGTAAAAGCCGAAGAAGAGATTCCTGTCGCTGCACCGGCCTCGTCCTTCTTGGACAGAGATGAAGACGACTTTGTGGACGAGCCGCTCAGCTCGCCCAGACTCAACGTCGCAGATGACAAAATCAAGGAACAACGGTTTGATGACCCCGACCTGGTGGTCGCTCCCCTTTCGCCGAGCAAGCCAAAGACTGCTTCCATCGATGAGACTGCTGCTGCAGCGGATTCTGAAGCCAAGTCCGAACTGGAGCCGAAGCCGGATACTGTTGACACCAAGACTGAAGAGCCGGCTGCGAAAGAACCAGAGTCCGAAGAGACTGAGAAGAGTTCTGGTGCAGACGAACTGGCTGACAAGACCTCTGAGGATGCTACCATTAACAAGGTAGAGGAGCTTTCGCTCGACGAGAAGGCTGACCAAACGGCTGTTCCCGAGGACAACCAGAAGGGTGACGAGTCCGACTCTTCTGTCGTCTACACGCCAAGCGCCACCGATTCTGAGGCGAAAACAGAGCCAGCAGAGACCGCGCCGGCAGTACCTGAGCCTCCCCAGCACCCCGAAGACATGCCAGCCCCTCTGTTCTCCAAATCCACCACTGATGCTGATGCGAACGCGGACAAGGACGAGGTATCTAAGGAGACCGAACCCGAAGTTGGGCCAGCTCCGGAAGTTCCCATGGCCCCTTCAGTTCCCGAGGTGCCAGAAGCCCCCATGGCCCCAGGAACTGACGACGATGCGACAAAGGAGGCTGGAGACCTGCCGCCTGCCGTTCCCGATCGGCCTGACCCCAACAGCGTGAAGCCCGTTGTCGGCGACTACCTCAAGGTGCAATTTGTGGAATACCGTGTTGTGCCTACGATTCTGGTGAGTCTATTGTGGTTTTGCGCCATCGATCGAAGCTAATCAGAGTTTAGTCCTTCTTCTTTGCTTACCCGTGGAACAACTTTCTCCATAATGTGGTATATGATATCGTTCAGCAGGTTTTCAATGGGCCTATGGACAGAGGCTACAACCCGACCTTGGCAGTTTCACTGTTCGAGGCTGCAGATATCACGACGGCGATCATCAAGGGCCAGCTCGCTAGTGACGAGTCACAGGCCAGGATGAAGACTCGTATGGGTTACATGGGACATCTCACTCTCATCGCTGAAGAGGTGGTGAAGTTTACGGAACGTCACCCTCCCGAACTCTTATCTGAGACTGTCCTTGAACGGGTTATGGACCCGCGATGGATTAGCTACGTGGAAGGCGCCCTCGCCGAAACTCGCGAGCGAGACAACGCCATTCTCGGCGGAGTCCGTCCCGAGGTGGCTATGGGTAACCGGGCCGGCATGTCTGGCAACGGCCTGGCAGCAGTCGGTCTCTCTGGCCTGGGATCGTCCTTTTCCAACTCTCAGAGCAACACTGGCTCCAATGCGCTGGCTGACGCTGGACTCAACGGCAATGCGGACCTTCAGGAAAGCAGTGGTAACGGTATTGGGCCATTCGCCATCAGCTCAGGCACTCTCATGTCTGGCTTCGGCAGCTCCAGTGACGAGGAGGATGAGGGGGAAGAAGAGAACGAAGACGATGTCAACAATGAGGTGAGTGATATGCTCTCAGAGCTCCGTGAGATGGAACCACCTGCATTGGACCCTTGGACGCAATCTCTTATCGACGACAACAACCCCGACGAGGACGAGGAGAAAGACCGGGAAAAGGATGCGTAGTGCGCAGACGAGGACGGAAGACCCTACGACAGTCGAATATCCCAGGAGGATCACACCGACGGCGCCGGCAATGATTTTGGACATTGGATAGATGTAGAGGACGAAAGCAACGATTCGCCGATTTTTGTATCTCGGGAGAATGAGGGGGTATGGGGTAATGAGCTCGGAGATGTTGAGTCTGATGAGGAAATGCGCATGATTCGGCCTACCCTCAGTTTTATGTCATGGCTTAGAAGGAGAACGGATAGGCATGTCGAGGACGAGAACCTGGGAGAAGAGTAGAGAGGGTTTGGGAGCTATATAGGAGAGGATGGTGTTGGGCGTATTCATGACATATCTTGTGGCGGCGAGTAGTGTAGGATTACACGTCCTTGTTCGTGCCGGCGTCAATTCCTTGGGATACCAGACAACTTTGGACATTTCTTATCCACTTCAACCACTTGCGATCCGGGTCATCTATAACAGCAAAACGACAAGGACGAAACTTGCCTCCGGGATCTTCCTTACAATCGTGCGCCAGTGTCGGAATGAATCTCACCAGACTAACACGCATTTACTAGTTCCGGGCTTATACCGATCCATTGAACAACACCTCGTCGTCTCTCAACCCGCCATCGATCCCCCCGCCTCCGCCGCCGCCGCCGCCATTGAACAACCCTCCTTCTAGAGCGCGGTTGCAGCTTGCGGCTCGTTTGGCTATGCACCAGAAGAACCAGGCCACTGCTTCTCAAGACGACGACGACGACAAGGGCGAGTCTGGCGAGGGTGAGCGGCCAGAAAACCCGTTTGCCGATGACGAAGACGACGAAGAAAATTCGAGCGACGAGGACGACGAAGACCGTCATGGCCCAGGGGCAGCGGCAGCTGTTGCAGGTGCCTGGGGTCAATCAGGAAGTGGGTCGTGGTGGCGAGGAGTGGGACGTCAGGGGCGGCCACGATTTGATGGACAAGATGATTCGGACGAGGAAGACGACGATGAGGAGTTTGGTGATTTTGCCATGCCCGAGGTGGAGCCAGCGCCGGGTACAGATCCCAACGAGAAGGTGATTCTGAAGCCTCTCGCGGTACACCCGCCACAAGGTGCTTCAGGAGGCAAAGCCTTTAGCGGCCTGTGGCCGTTTGCAGGTAAGAAGGATGGTAAGGATGATGGCGAGAAGGGGCCATCGGAGGAGACGGCGGCGGGAGATGACGAGAAGCTTATTCAGGCCGCCGTCGAGGCTGCTCGGCGGACAAGCATCGAGGACCCGGATGACGACGAAGAGGTTGTGGTGCAGAAGCCGACAAGCCTCTGAGATGAATAGACGCGCCCATGGCTTAATGCGACAAGTAGACGGCTAGGAGTCACCGTTTTGTACAATTACGTGTTTGGTTTACGCTGCATCTGTACAGTATGATTGAATGGAGAATATGCACGACAATTTCTCTAGATGTGAGATCGTCTTTCCTCGTCTTTCAGTCTTCAACTATCACCGCTTTAATCTTTCCATTATTGTTGGAAAATCAGCAATGATTACGAGAGATTGTAAATTCTTCTATAAGCATTCCAGCTTAAGCGTATGTTAGCTTGTGTTGGCAGTCCCAAGTCCGGCCATCCCACCGGAGCTCCGGCCGCATTTTCGGAAGTGCCATGCCGAGATCACCTTTTGCTCAATGACTAATTGAGGCTGCTTCTGGATGAGAGTCACCGCCGACCCTTGGAATGAGTCAAGCAAGCCATCTGAGCTGACTGATTCGGCTGCCTGACAGATGGGACGGGGCCAGGGACTTTCATGTTCTCCTCAAGGAGCTTGGGGCCGATACCCCAACTACCTCACCTTGTCTTGTATCGGATATGATAACGATAAGAGGTGATAATATAGAAGTATTACCGGTATTGTTGGAGGGGGAAGAACCTCGACCCCTCCGATGTCTCAACCAGCAACACCATCCAAAAACTAGAAACACGCACTGGAGTCAGGCACAGGCAACCAACATGCATCCCGTCCGACAATGCGCAGACCATGTGCCTGAGCCCCCTCCAAAACTTAGCTGCTTGACGTGCCGGGCGAGCTTAGCATGAACGTGTGCCAACGCACCCTGCACCCCTGGACCCTCCCACTCCAGCCCCCTCTTGTTGTTTCTTGGTGGGAGGAGAAAGTAATGGGGTGGTTGCTTGGGATTGCGGTACAGCATGGCGTTGAGTAGGAGGGAGCTGGGATCAAGAAAGTAAACGAAGCAGTGAGGAATCGTCGAGCTGGCTGAGTCTGGTTCTGAATTACACGATCGGACTGTCTATTCTACATCTTCTCACCCGTCACAATTCATCTACGCCACCATCTGCCATCATGTAAGTCCAGCCGTGTTTTCCTTGACTTCACCGTCATCACCGCCCGTGCTCCTTTTCCTTCCAATGGCCATCGTTCGTCCGGGTACTCGGCGTCTTTGCGATTCCCGGACGCAAGCAAGCTCCTACACCAGGCTACACCATTCTGCCTCGTGAAACCGAGAGTCCGGCACGCCGAGTGAGCCTCCTTCTCTCTCTGCGCCTTCAAGTCACGTCAAAACGCACAATGACGCCCTTCTGTGGCTCTCGTCGCTCTCTGCTGCTGGGCCCCCTTTGCCGATTCCCGTCTCGTCCCAGCCTGAAGTCGTTCGTCTGTTTGCGAGGAAAAAAGACACGTCGCGGCTAATGCGCCCTGGTGTTCTGGCAGATTCTTTTCTTTCTCGTTGTCTCGGGACCATCGACCTCTCCGACTCCGTACCTGGACCATTGTCGTCACCGGCGAACCGACTTTCTTGCTATTCCGTTCTGCGAGTTTGAGCGGGCATTGCCGGTGATCATATAACGTCGGCACCACCCTTTCTCGCAAAAGTGTGAAAGACTCTTCTCCGAGACATGGCAAATATGGGTGTAGCAGGGAACGCAGAGTCCGACAAGCCGGTTTACCAGCAGGCGCCTTCAATGCTCAACCGCATCGTGTACGGCACCAAGATTTCTACCTTGCAGCATTGGTACTTTCAAAAAGCTGGCTTCGAGGCATGGAAGTCGTACTTTTGGCCACCCGCCATACGGCCCGATCTCATCAAACAGTATGACTGTAGAAAGGCGCTGCCAGTTCGGTATGGTTTCCCCTTACTGCGCAAACAAGAGCACTGCTAACCACGATCCGCAGCATCTTCTTCCCCTCCGACTATGACCAAACCTCCCCGCAAACCCTCCCGACCCTCTTCACAATCCACGGAGGCGGCTTCTCCATCGGCGTTCCCGACGACGACGACGAATGGAACCGCACCTTCTCCGACCTCAACAACTGCCTCGTCGTCGCCCTGCACTACTGGAAAGCCCCCTGGGCCCCCTGGCCGCACGCCCTCCACGACCTAGAGGCCCTCTACCTCGCCATCGTCGACGACGAGTCCCTACCCATCGACAAGTCGCGCATCGCAATGGGCGGCTTCAGCGCGGGAGGGAACCTGACGCTGTGTCTATCACAGATGAAGAGCATTAAAGAGCACAGGACCGCTGCGCCGAAGGCGATTGTACCGATTTACCCGCCTACGGATTTCGTTACACCGACGGCGTCAAAGAGGGATAGGAGGCCGTACAAAGTTGGCAAGTTACCCGGCATCCGCGGCCAGAAGAAGGACTTTGTGCTGGATTTCGCAGAGGTGTTTGACTGGAGCTATATCCCCTACGGCACGAACCTTTGCGACACGCGCATCTCGCCGCTGTACGCGGAGAGGGGCGATTTCCCGGATAATGTGTGCGTCGTGGCCGCGGAGCTGGATTACCTTGCCTACGAGGCGTGGGAGCTGGCGTGCAAGCTCGGCGGGAAGGGGAAGCCTACGTCTGGGATGGTCGGGCGGAACGAGGTGGCCAAGACGCAGGAGCTGGTGGAGGATGGGGACGAGAGGTTCGGGTGGGAGGCGAGGGACGGGAGGGGCAGTGTGAAGTGGTTGCTTGTGCCGGATGTGATTCACGCGTTTGATTTTCATGAGATGGGGGCCGCTGTGTCGGATCCGGTGAGCGTGAGGGATGGGAATGCGAAGGCGGTTAAGGTGATGAGGGTTGTTGGGGACTGGTTGAGGAGGACTGCTTGGAAGGCGTGATCTGAGGTGACGAGTTGGCGTGAGAGATGTTGGATGGGGTGTACTTGAGGTCTTGTTGGTTTGGGTTACTTGACGATGGACAAAGTTGGCGTTGGGGGCAGGTAATGACGGAGACGCATGAATTACAAGATAGAACTGATTACGAGCGATAAGAAATACCTCATACGATTCAAGTTAGTCTGACGAACGGGATGCTTTGAGGCCAGAGTGAATATAGTCGTATCATGGCAAGTGTGACTGTTGGTTGCTTTGGAATACTCCCAACTACCTACCACCTTCACCAATATCACCAACTGCGCATAGTCAAGACTAACTGAACATGGTCAAGGGCCTCAGCTTCATTAACCGCTCGTAAGAAGCCGTTAGACTTGAAATTGTGGTCTCATCAAGGATGTGTCTGTATCAACCGCTGTGATGCGGCCGCGGTGCTTTCAGGTTACCTAGTAAGTTATGGATACGACTCTGCAGCATGTGGTGGTTTTTTTCAGCTTTACAGGCGCAAAAGATCGACCTTAACGGGATCAGGCTTTCAAGGGAAATCACACAATACGGTACACTTTTAACTACACGGTACGCGCAATGTACCCCAAGTACGCGCTCAACTCAATATAGTGATTTCGATACGAAAACCGCCATGTAACTCGGGATGGACGACTCTGCAGCATACATATCGAGTATCACCACCGCTGGATTACCAACCGCTTGAACATCCTCGATACTACCTAGTACCCCAAGGACTTGACTGATTGGGAATTGGATCCACAAGTCACAGCGGTTGAGTTGGTTGAGCTGGACGTTGAGATCCCGAATGTGGGCGGTTGGGTCGCAACTTGCGCGGAGACCTGCTGAGAAGTGATGAGTTGGGTCGTACGAAGTGACCATGGAGGCGTTGCATTGTGTTTTCAATGATATTTATACTGCTCTATATGAGAGGGATCTGCTTCGTTTTCGAAATCCATCGCCTTGCTGTGTCATCGATGCAAGCCATCTACAGCAAGTCCAGGGTTGAAATGCTGCCGGACGTAACGGGATACGAGGGTCTTTCTTAGGTATTAGAGATGGTTTATCGACCGGATTGGCTACTTGAGCACCAAAATAAAGGCAGCATGGGGTGGTTTTCATGAAATTTCGGCGGGAATGGTTGATTTCTAAATGGATACATTCACAATAGATGTATGACTGTCCGTGGGACGCTCGAGCATGACAGACGTACTAGCAGTAGATTGCCTTCTGACCGTGGAAAGACGCTGAATATACTTTAGGGAACTAATTTTCATTCTCATGAATTTCTGGGGGAACTCAGAAAGGAGAAACCGGCCATCGTTGCGCAAGCACATGATCAATCAAAGTGTCTGTCCCTGGCCTCGATGTTCCCATCACCAAACGTCTGAATGTGTACATCCTCACAGCGAGTTCTCCAGCCACAGGTTTGATCTATATAGATACTACACAGACGGCGTGGCCACAAGAAGGTCGCATATCCTGCGCGAAGAGCAGCAGAGGTGCACTATAGGTCCAACAAACTTATTTGTCAATTCATCGATGTTGCATCATTTGACAATGCTCCCAGCAAAGATGAACCGGGATTGTGGAACATGACCCTCAATGACTTTACAAAAACAGCCTCCTTGAATAACGCACAGAGATAGGTGACCTGCAGGACGTGTGGTTTCCCCTGTCGACAGGACGACAATCTACGACTATGCGAGTTGGGATCTATTCATGGTTACGATAATCTGCGTCCAGAGACACCATCTCTTAATTCCGTCATTTAGCAGTCGATGTGGTTTCACCCGGGCTGGATCGTTTTCGGGTAAGCTTTTGCTTCAGATGAGAGTGTACGCATTCCCGCGAGAGACAGGAATGAGGAGTTCCACCCCGTTGATATTAGCAACCCAAATGAAGTACCATGTTGTCCAAGAGACAACATTGCCCTCAATCGAATGCACGCGGCAACCAGGACCGATTTCATCTTGGCTTCCTGCAATCGCAAGCGTGATTGCCTCAATACTCTTGATATCACCGTCGGTAGTTCCTGGCGATGAACCCACGTTCAATGACAAGAACTCGCTACTGCAGAGACAACTCCACCCGACGATCTGATTGCTCAACCAGGCGCGCCCCCGTCACTGTACATGTAGGGTGACACTATACACATCCTATCACATTCAATGCTGCTGCTGCGCCGTCTGACTGCGTCGATTTTTGGTGTCCATCCCGTCAGCCCTGCGCTGGGATAGCATCATTCCCGCAAGTGGGCAGCTTACCTGACCCTCTCTCGGGCGGTTCGATCGTGCCGTAAACCCCCAACCCCGCGGGCGCACTGCACACACACGCACTCGATAACCGCCCTTTACCGCGGAAGCCTGGCGAGATACCACTTGGTTCAAATTTCTTTCACGCGCTTCCGCGGGGGCGGTTGTGAGATTGCCGCTTGGCGTGGGAAGCTCATTCGGGAAAAGCGGCTTGTTCATCGGTACGTGGGGGCTAGACAGTAGTACGTGCTGAGTCGTTGTCACGTATACATGTGAATCTAGCTGGGTGAAATAGGACACAGTTCAAGCGTGCAGGGTGGATGAACGCGAAATGTGCCTTTGTGAGGTTGTTCAGAGGGAGGACTGGTGGACGTGTTGTACACATGGCGACCGCCGGACTTCCGTGTGGGAGCGGGGCGGAGGTGGAGGGGCAGGAGGACGGATGCGCTCGGAGGTGCGGGGGCCGGAGGCATAGGAAGATCGACAGTGGAAGGATTTGGGCATGCTTTCGCTGACAGTTGGTCAAGTCGCACCCGAAAGTGAATAAATGATAGTCTGGGGTGTTCCTTGAGATTTCATTCGTATGTCATGAATCTTATTATCCTATGAGGATGAAGCAGGCATTTGGCATCATTGCAACGCGGGTGGACACGACTTACACGGCCGTGTACAAGCTCATGACCGAGGACGCAGGAACAAGAAACGAGCAGGGCCTCGGCTGACTCCCTTGTACGAGCAACCAGCTCAACTCAAGACAACTTGAACGACAGAGGCACCGATCGGTTCGACAAGATCCGTCGGATTGGGGAGGCGACCTACCATGCAGATTGGCAGTTCCCTCCCCCCATCATGTGGCGAGCTTGTGTCAAGGATGGGTTCTTGAGCAAAGTTAATGCCGTTCTTCTTCTTTGGGGCACGTACTGCTTATCGTAAGGTTGGCCGACGATGGCCGAGACCAACCCTGGAAACTCCTTTCGAGTGAGAGTTCCGATTACAGTTTTAGGGGTTTCCCGTTTCTCTTCACATCAGTCTGTTTTGGGGGCGCTTCAAGATATTCACTATTAGTCACCTGGGTTGGTAGGTGCCTCGTCTCTGCGCAAGATAGTAGGAACAAGGAAGATGGACCCATGGAGCCCCTGCTGCCGTCGGGAGATGGAGCAAAGGGCGAGAGCCCGAGAGTCGATGTCGGACGGGAGTGTCAAGCTAGTACTTTAGGTAGTTGAGGGAATAGGCCCGTGTGGTGGTGGAGGACGCTGTGTTGGAGCTGGTGGGTAAGCTTGGAGAACTTTGCTCAGCTGGATGTCTTTTTCTGTTTTGTTTCTTCTTTCTTTTGCCTCGGTCTCAGGGCTACCTGTGTATGAAACTTTAGGTCAGATGGGTCAGACGAGCTTGCACGCGTGTTTCGTTGGAGATTATTTTCGTCTACTTCTGCTGCCACCGCTACGAAAGTTCTTGCTGTTCTGTTTCTGTTTGGAGTTGTGGTGAACTACGGGTTGGGGGTTGTGAGGCGGTATAGGGTGCTTTGTTCTCGCGCGGGGATGTTCGTATACGGTACCTGACGTTCTGTTGCTCTCCTTTGATAGAGCTCAAAGCAACGGTAACATCGTGCCATTGGGGTTTGGTGTTGGTGTTGGTGGTTGACGTTGACAGCACTCCTCAAGCGGCTGAAGGGTTGCTGCCGCGTACGCCACATACGTCTCAATGGCATAAAGGTGGCAGTGACGAAAAGAAAAAAAAAAGGGGTAAATGGGAGGCGTTGAAACATGGAAATTGAACAGCATCTCAAGAAGTGGATGCTGATTATGAAGGTGAAGATGGAGAGGCCTCGTTGACATTGCCATTAAGCAACAGGGTTGGACCTGATCTTAGGGAGTTCTGGCCACTGATGCTGACTGCGCAAAGGCGTGCCGAGTGCACGAGATTCCGTCCGATCATGAGCGGAAGCGGTCAGGTATCCGAGGAATACACAGAGGCTGAGAGAGAGTGAGAGATAAAAGGTAAAATGGAGGAATTGATTACGAGAGTCAACTGTTCCTGGTTCCCAAAGTTTGCCATCCTGCGAATTATGCTGGACCTTTCGGGGCCGGGGCCGAGGACGCGAGTGAGGAGAGGGGAGGGGAGGAGGAGGGTCACATTTAGTAATACCCTTAAAAGTTGACAGTCTGACTACGTGAAAACGGTGGCATTCATTTCAGCCTTCTACTGTGTAGCATGTGTAAGATGGAGGGGGACGCGAGGTTTGAGTTTCAACGGGCGGGTGAGCTGAGTAGAATGTGAGAAAGTGAGTTGGGGATTTGAGTTTCGGACAGATGAGAATTGAAGCAGGTGATTGCTGGCGAAGATGCTGTGAAGGAAGGTCACCTTTTCGGGACACTGAAGATGAGAGAGAGAGAGAGAGAGAGAGAGAGAGAGAGAGAGAGAGAGGAGACGGTTGACCTTAGCAAGTGTCAAGTCAAGCTTTGGTGATGCTTCTGTCCAGCGGTTCCAGCCCCCCGTTCGGCGAGGGGCAAGACGGCGATAGACCGGCGTTCTTCACCGGAGATGACACAGCTGGAGGCCGCGTCTTCCAGCATGATGCCGGTCTACCGTCTTGCATGTGGACGGGAAACAGCCAAAGACCAATTACATTAGTGGGCTGGGTCGTTTCTATTCCTGATGAGGAGGAGAGAGCCTGCGAGCTGCGTGGTGCATAGTGCACTGCATCACCAAAGTCACCTTGAACAGACGCCGTAAGCTGGGGGGAGGGACTCAGCCCCCTTGGCTAACGCAAGGCACCACGAGCATAGCCGCAGCGCACCCAAGTTCCATGAGTGTGGAAGAGAGCGTCCCGGCGCTTGTTGGATTTAGCATGCAGCAGGCTGCGGGCTGCATAATGGATGGATGGATAGGTGATGGGTGATGGGTGATGGGTTGATGGATGTTCTGTTCATGTCCAATGGCACCTTGCAACTCGCGAATCTCGCTGATTATCCATTTGTGGCTAGTGCAGCTTGGTGAGTGTGGCTGGAAGAGCACTGACCATTTTGAGGTACTTTCCAGAAGTTTTGATTCGCTTAGGATAGGACGAGTCCGTGGCTAAGCGAGCAGTACGTACTCAGCTCAACGATACGTACTCTTTCCAAAGATACGTACCCACGTCGTTTCGTTTCTTCCTCCTCCTCCTCCTCCTCCTCCTTGTGCTGGTTGTCCTCCTCTCCGTTCCAATTCTTCGTCTCCAACAAGATCGCCAATGTCTGGACGGATACAGTCGCCCGACAACGCAAACGCAAGCCGAGCTTCAACGTCCGCACCATTGCGGCAAGCGACAAACTACTCCACTGTTACCAAGCAATCGTTGCCAGAGATGTCTGTCGAACTGTTTGGGACCACACCGTGCACCACTGGCACCAGCACACCTCGTCTCGCTCGGCTTGGCTCAGCCTAGATCCAAAATGGGCATGCCCCAACCCTGCTGATTAGACTCTCCATGCCGCGTTTCCTACCATCTGTTTGATTGCAGACAACGGCTGCGTTCCTCCCCGTGTGGCTCGGAGACGGGACACACCACTCTCTCTGAGTCTGCATAGCCATTTACACGGCAACGCAACGCAAAGCTTTCCAATGACAATGACCAAACAGGATACTGACGAGGCGGAGCAAGCGTCTTTCGTCCTATCCTCGACCTTTCTGTCCAGCACATGGTCACTGCCGAATCCCTTCACTCCCAACGAGTCCGTACGGCACACCGGTGCAGAGTAGCATCTTTGCACATCGCCAACATCTATCGCGTACCAAGTATCCGTACCTACTTGTGAGGCCCAGGACTAAAGAATATGGATCTCTCTTCGCGGATGCCTGGTCACCCCCGGCCCCTACGTTGCGTTCCACCTCCACCAAGACGCGGGTATGCAGATCCAGCCCGCGGCAGGCCGTGACAAGGCATGCCATGGCGTGGCGCGGCATGCCTGACCTCAGCACCTTTTTCGTACGCACCCAACTGACTGGACGTGGTCGCACTCGCACACACCATTCACAGCTCGCTTTCCTCTCCCATCCATCCTGTCTTTCGTCCCGTTTGTCGCTCAGTCACTCACTCAGTCTGCGTGTCTACCCACCACCGCCTCTCGCTCCCCCACCTTTCTCTGGCTCTCCATGCTGGACCCCAGCATGTCAGAAAGGGCCGGGGCCAGGGAAGCTCGACCTGCCGTCTACGGAGTACATGATGGTAATAGCCTGGCAGTGACCTAGGAACCGGCATCTCACTCACGTCTTGCCCTGCCTCGCCCGTACGGTACTCGGTACCTACCTTGCCGACTTTTGCTCTGTTTGCAAACCAAAGCTCCCCCGGCCCGCTGGTCTTACTGTCTCTCTCTCTCTCTCTTCCTCTAGTGAGCAGGAAGGATCTGAAGGATGAATAGAGCTGTCAGAATGCTGTCTCTTTTGCATTATTTCACCCTCCATATCTCCCCTCTCCCCGTCTCTTTTTCTTCTTTTGTGATCTCTTCTTGCCCCGGCCCTTGAATCACCTTTTCTCTCGGCCTTTGTGTGTAACATTCCTTCGCCCGTTGGCCCTTTCATCACGTTGCATCTTCAAAGACGGGCTCCAACAAACACGCCCCCAGAATCGGCGCCCTCCAAGCTCGAGACTGCAAGCTCATCTCGTCCGACCAACGACATCACCTTTGAGCATCTTTGACCCTCGTCAGAGACCAACCTTTGATCCGTGTTACTTGGTCACCTCTGCTCGGTCGTCTCCTTTATTTGTGTTCATGCATCTTTGAGATACCCCTCCCAAGCTATCCACCCAGCTCTACCCTTCTTCTTCAGACCAGACCGAGCGAGCACTTACATACACATCCAATATGGCAGACTCAGTCAGCCCAAAACAACTCCCCAAAATCGACACAACAATGTCGTCATTCCACACAGAGTCTGTTGAAGATAGACTTCTCTCAGCAACTGCCACCGTGCTAAGTTTGCCGAGGAATAGCATAGAACTATTCGACTCCTTTTCAGACTTGGGCGGCGACAGGCCCACAGCTGTCGCCCTCAGGAAAAAGTGCATGAGCCTCGGACTTGGTCTGAGGACGAGCGACATTCTACGCTGTCAAACCTTGGCGGAGCTTCAGACCTGCATCACCCCCTTCGTTCAGACCGCGCCTGTGTCCAAGGACAAGGACTCCGAAGGAGAGAGCAGCACCTCTCCCTCTGATGTCTTCAGCTCAAGCCCCAGACGAAACAGCGCCTGCTCAACTTCCTCGTGCGATTCCAGCAACAGCTCCGATGCAGCACCAATAAAATCACCACATTCCGAAATCGAACAATTCATCCAGTCTACGCCCCAGATTAGGAGTGCAGCCGTCATCAGGCCAAAGGCTGGTTTCCTAGAGGGTAAACTCGTGGCCTTCTTGACGTTGGCGTCGGGCCGGATATCGCAAACTAGCCTGTCCAGCATCCGACTCATTCCCCAATCACAGATGCACTTTGCCGGAAGCCAGGTCGCAGCTGTCCGACTGGCTCTCGAAACCTCGGAAGGATCTCATTCTGTGCCAAACTCATGGATCGTGCTTGATCAAATGCCTTCAAACGGAGAGGGCTCCGTCGACCGGAGACGGCTCCAAACATGGATTCAGAACATCAACGAGGACATGTATCACCAAATATCCAGTCTCGAGTCTCACGAGCTCTTCCAGGAGCCCTTGACCGAGATGGAACGAGTTATGCAAAAGAAGGTCGCCGATGTTCTCCGCATACCACAACGGCAAGTCGGCATGAACTTCTCATTCGGTCAACTCGGCGGCGATGACATTTCCGCCATGATGCTCGTTGCGGCATGTCGGACTGAGTCCATCACGGTGAGACCCGAGGACGTTCACCAATGCCCTACTTTGGGGCAGTTAGCATCACTTGCATACCGGAAAAATCACCGCACCGACGCATGGAACGAGGAATCCACGGAAGGCTTCAAGCTATCGCCAATGCAACAGCTTTATTTCGATACCGGCATTGGCGGTCGCATCGAGCAACGAATGGATTCGGACGGGGGCTACCGGTTCAACCAAAGCATATTGCTTCGCGTCAAGAACAACTCGACGTTGGAAGATATTCACGCCGCCATTGCGACTGTAGTTGGCCACCACTCCATGCTACGCGCTCGTTTCCGGCCTGGTGTGGACGGCTGGACACAACGGATCATTCCAAAAGTCGACGGGTCTTATGGGTTCCGCTATCACTCGGTGAGCACGACGGAGGAGGTCATGGACATTATCGCACAATCACAATCGAGCATCAACATCGAGACCGGGCCGGTCTTCTCAGTCGACCACTTCCGCACCCATGACGGCCAGCAGCTTGTTTACCTGCTCGCTCATCATCTGGTCGTGGATATGATGTCGTGGCGCATCATCATTCATGATGTTGACGAGTTACTACGAGAGGGCACACTATTCTCTGAGCGTTCCATGCCGTTTCAACGGTGGAATGAGCTTCAAGAAGAATACATCAGCAGCAATCCAGATCAGCTAGTGATGCCTTACGACTTGCCCAGCGGCCAGTACGGATACTGGGGTCTCGAGGACTCACACAACACCTACGCCGAAATCTCAGTCGCCAGCTTCACTCTCACTCCAGAACTCACAGCAATTCTTCACACAGCATGCAACCAGGTCTTCAAGACTGACATGTCAGATATCTACATGGCGGCACTCCTCCTCTCATTCAGCCAGACATTTCACGATCGTAGAGCGCCCGTGGTGTGGAACCAAGAGCACGGCAGAGAACCTTGGAGTCAAGACATTGACATCACAGAGACCGTCGGTTGGTTCACGTCACTGTGCCCTGTGTCTATGCCAGTCGACATGGCCGACGACTTCCTTCACATATTGCGCAAGATGAAGGATACGAGACGATCAATTCCTCGCCGTGGTTGGAACTACTTTGCATCTCGGTATTTCGGCCCCGAGGCCGCGACTCGAAGCACCGAAGGTTGGCCTTTCGAAATCATGTTCACGTATGCAGGGTCGGTTCAACAACTTGAGCGGGAGAAGGGCGTTCTTGAGCAACTCACCATTCCTGGAAGGCTGTGGTCAACGGATGCCGCCGACATTGGCTCCAGCGTGTCCAGGATTGCTCTATTCGAAGTCTCCGCCATGGTCGACCAAGGCTCGGCTTCCGTCCAGATCGTCTACAACAAGAATTCGAACCACCAAGACAAGATTGCTGACTGGATTCAAATGTACGAGCACCTGCTATACGAAGCCATCGGCAGGTTGCGATACCGTGGCCAAGAACTCACTCTGTCCGATGTTCCAATGCTCGACACGACGTACGAGGGCCTGGCGAAACTCAATACCGACCGATTGGTTGCACTCGGCTTATCCAGTGCTCGGGATATCGAGGACGTCTTACCCGTCACAGCGCTGCAGCAGGAGATCCTCATCAGCCAAACCCAAGATTTGGAGACCTGCCACAACAACGCCATCTACGAGTTATCATCGCCGAACGGAGTCTTGGCTGACCAAGCTCAAATTTGCACCATTTGGCAGCAGATCGTAGCCAAGTACCCTGCTCTGAGGACTGTCTTCATCGACAGCATTTCCGAGAATGGTTTATTCGACCAAGTCATCCTGCGGAAGTGCTCACCTGATATGCTTTTCGTCGATGCCGAAGCAGGAACAGACCCTGTGGCTGTTCTCAATGCCTTGCCACCGATGAGTCCGACGCCGTCTAACCCGCGCCACCGAGTGTCAGTGTGCAAGTCGCACGCGAGCACTTTTCTGAGGCTTGACATGAGCCACGCCCTATGTGATGTGAGTTGATCACCCGCTTGATTGAGACATCCGCTGACACTTCCCTAGGCCTTGAGTCTTCAAAACATCGTTTGGGATTTGAAGAGAATGTACAACTCAAGCAAGCTGTCCATGAAGATGCTTGACCCATCGCATGCTGCTTGCGTTCAATACATCTCATCTGCTCGGCAAGAAAACAGCCTCAACTTCTGGATCGGCCGCCTTCAAGAGACACAGCCATGCTTGTTTCCACGCTTGATGACAGTAAACAGCAACACCATGCAACACACAAACTTCCACATTGAATTGCCGGTGGCTCAGATCGATGAATTTTGTCGATCGCAAGGCATAAGTCGATCAACGGTGATGCGCATGGCCTGGGGGCTTGTTCTACGCGCCTTCACCGGTTCTAGCCAAGTCTGCTTTGGCTACCGCTCATCAGGCCGAGATACAGGAAACGCCCCCGAGGGCCTGATTCTTTCAGTCGGCGCCTTCGAGAACACCACAGCCTGTACAGTCGGGCTCGAAAACCACAAGTCCGTCGCAACAGTCCTCAAATCCGTCGAAGATGATTCTGCTGCTTGCAGCCGGCATCAGAACGTACCAATGTCGGAAATTCAGCACGCGTTGGGCCTCAAGGGCGACAAGCTCTTCAACACGTGTCTGTCATACCAAGAAGAGCCTCACGAGCTAAAGAGCCGGTTCAGCTCTACGCGTCCCCCCATGAGGCTCTCCTGCATTCAGGCTTTCAACACCCCCGACTTCGACGTCACATTTTCTCTGACTCTTGTGAACGGCCAGCTTGTCACAGGAGTCTCTCACAGGCTCATGACTCCTTCCCAAGCTCAGAACCTTACGAATACTTTTGGGCGTGCCGTTGTCGCCATCCTCGGAAGCCCGGAAGGCGCGCTCAGCAGTATCGACCTCTTCACCGACAGAGACTATGCCCAATTACTGATCCGGGATTGGGGAGCCGAGAATACGACTGAGCCTTTGCCTGGCTGTGTCCACGCTCTGATTTCCCAACAAGCACGCCTTCGCCCAGATGCTCAGGCTATCTGCGCCTGGGATGGCGAGCTCTCGTATAGACAGGTCGGCCGCCTTGTTTCCCGCCTAGCCACGTATCTTACTCAATGGGGTGTTCGCCCCGGCGTTTCTGTTCCCGTCATTCTCGACAAGAACAAGTGGGCGGTCATCAGCATCCTGGCCGTGTTGAAGGCTGGTGGCTGCTTTGTTCCGATTGACGCCGAGGATCGAGCCAATGTTGAGACGTTCGTCCGCCAGCTTTCGCCCAAGGTCGTTATCGCAACGGACATGCTCTGGAAGAATCTGGAGGCCATTGTCGATGGAGTCGTAGTTGTGGATGACACCCTTTTTGAAGTTGACTTCTCTCTGGAGGCGCCTTTGCCCATGGCCGCGCCCAATGATGCCGCATGCATTCTTCTTTCGCCAGGCTCATCCCGGGGCAGGGAGGCAAAGGGAATCATCTTCCATCATGCAGCCCTTTCTTCGGCATTCATCACACAAGGTCGCGCTCTCAATCTTAACCAGGAGAGTCGTACAATGCAGCTATCGTCTTTCAATGTCGATACCGCCCTGATCGAGCTACTGTCGACGTTGGTGCATGGCGGTTGTGTTTGTATTCCTTCTTCCGTTGAGAGAACAAGCGACATTGTCGGGGCTGCTCGAAGGATGGAAGTCAACTGGTCTTACATGACACCAGTCCTGGCACGGAAGATTTCACCCGCTGCGATCCCCAGCTTGAGGACCATTTGCTTCAGAACGCGACGTCTGGATGAAGACACCTGCGCACCCTGGGTAGCCAAGACTAAAGTTCTGCTCGCCTACGGTGCTCCTGATATCTGTCCTCTAGGTGTTTCCGTCTTGGAGGTCAAGAAAGCTGCTGATCTCACCCGAGTCGCGCCTCCATTTCTCGGGAGATTCTGGATTGTCAACCCTGAAGATCATCGTAGGCTGATGCCCATCGGTGCCATTGGCGAACTCATCATCGAGAGTCCCACATTGGCGCATCGATTTGTCCCCGGCCAACCCTTGGCGCATCTTCCCCAGGATTCCGATGTGTCGCTCGAGGATGGCAAACCTCGGACACGCTACTTCAAGACGGGCCATCGTGTCCGATACATGGAGGACGGTCTGCTCGACTTCGTCTCCAGTGGCCGTGATGACGTTGAGATCAACGGTCAAGTCATTCCAGTTGCTGAAGTCGAGCAGAAGCTCCGCCGATGTCTAGGCCAAGGCGTGGATCTCGCTGTTGAATCCATCATCAGCCGCGACGCGCAACCATCACTCGCCGCTTTTGTCGAGCTTGGAGAGAAGTTATTTGAGGGATCGGAGGATCTTACGAGGATCACAATCACCACCAAGGAGCGCACCTACATTGCGAAGAAGCTCATTGAATCCTCGTTGGGGACTAGTCTGCCCTCGCACATGATGCCAACCATCTTTGTCCCCGTCAGGCACCTTCCCGTCACACCATCATTGAAGGTCAACCGCCGCAAACTCCAGAAGATGGTCGGTTGGCTGTCACAAGAACAGCTACAGGCTCTCTCCTCGGTCGCATCGCCCGATGAAGTCCGCGCGGTTGGCATCAAGCCTCTTCCGCTGACCCAGGTTGAGGAACGCATGAGATCAATCTGGGCGACTCTCCTGGGAACAGAGGCTGCAGGCATTCGAGGCAATCAGAGCTTCCCTATGCTGGGCGGCCAGAGCTTTCTCGCGGGCCAACTTGTTGTTGCATGCCGCAAACAGGGACTCATCATTGCTCTGCCGGATGTTCTGCGTGGCGCTACCCTCACAGAGCTTTGCCAAGGCGTAACACTGAGCTCAGACTACGCTCTCGAGACTGCGGAACCGGAACGCAACGCTGCCCCGTCTCTGGGATCCTCCTCAGAGATCCTTTTCGAGGAGCAGTTCATCAACGATGTGATTGCTCCGAAGCTAAATGTCGAACGAGAGGCCATTAACGATGTCGCAGAAGCCTCTGCTACTCAACTCAAGTTCCTCGAGACTGGCCTACTCAAAGGAAGCTCAAGCCTCACTTACTTCACCTTTAACTTCACCGGGGCAGTCCAGACTAAGAAGCTCGAGGCCGTCTGCATCTGTCTCGCCAAGATCCACCCGATCCTCCGGACTGCCTTTGTCTCCCATGAGAGACGGGTCTACCAAGTCGCCTTGAAGTCTTTCGTCCCAGAGTTCAAGAGGATCGAAGTTCCTACATGGAGGGTATCGGCGATGACGGAGAAGTTGATCAAGAGGGATCAGACTGGCTCCTTCAACTTGGAAGTTCCCATGACCAAGTTCTTTTTCGTCGACGCTGGAAAGCAGTCTAATCTTGTCTTGCGACTTTCTGGAGCGCAGTACGACGACGCTTCCATCTCGCTCTTGCTGCAGCACTTGAAGAGCATTTACATTGCGCCGTCCTGTCCGCCGCGAAGGGCAACCTACTTTGACTTTGTGCGCTCTGCTCAATTGGCTCACGCTACTGGTGCACAGGATCATTGGTCTTCCATGCTGGATGGCGCCAAGATGACTCAGGTCGTTGCCCACAGCAGGCCGCCGCCAATGAGCACCAACGTCAAGACGATCACTCAGAAGGTCTCGGTTATGTCCTTAGCCAACTTGGGCATCTCATTTGACACTGTCGTCAAGTCAGCTTGGGCCATGGTCCTAGCCAACCTTTCCGGCTCTGGCGACGTTCTCTTTGGTGAGATTGTCGAGGGGAGACACCTTAGACAGTCAGATGGGTCCGATATTTCCGGCACCCTCGGCCCAGTATCAAACGCCATTCCAGTTCGCGTCCGTTTTGCAGAGACACTGAGCAGTCCTCTCGAGCTCCTCAAGTATGTTCACGGCCAACGTGTCGTGAGCATTCCGTTCGAGAACATGGGCTGGCTCGAGATCGTCGAGAAGTGCACCAAGCTCCCGTACTGGACGCGCTTTAGCACAGTCGTCGAGCATCGCCATCAGGATGCCGCCAAGGAGGCAGCAGTCTTCAACCTCGGCACCATCAAGTGCAAGTTCGGCGTCCAAGAACCCATCAGTAGGGACGTTTATGATCTGCACGTCATCTCCACGCAAGAAGACGCAAGTAGCGGTGACATCTCTATCACCTTCTGTGAGAACCGCATTCCGAGCTTGTTTGCCAACGAGACGCTTAAATCACTCTGCTCCAGCATCGAGCTTCTCACCTCGGTCTCTATGCTTCATCCGCTTATCCCCTCATCGGTCGATTACTGCGCTGTTCCGCCACAGATACCCTTGCCCCAGCTGGACATGGAGACGAAGGCGACCAACGCCGGCTCCAGCATGTCTGAAGATCACCGCAAAGCCGTGCAGCTCAGCATCTCCAAAGTCTGGACAAAGGTGCTGGATCCTCGGTCACTCGGTGTTCCGGAAACACAGCTTCCCAACGCGGCATTCTACGATCTCTGGGGCAGCATGATGCCGGCATCCCAACTCGCCGAGTCTCTCACCCAGGAACTGCCCAAATTGGGTCTTCCCGGGACTCACAACTTGTCAATCTCGATGGAAGAAATCATGGCGCAACCTACAATGGCGGAGCAATTCGAGCTTGTGGCCCGCAAGATGCGCGACGCTAAGAGAAGGACCATTGCCGACGTCCTCTCGCCCAAGTCCCACCCGGCATGGAGTCGCGGGCTGAAGCGACTTAGCACAACAGTGATTCGGGAAAAGGCGTCTCAACAGAGCGGGCTGAGCAGCACGAGCGCCAGCTCGTCTAGCTCGGTGGACGCCTATCGCGGCCCGGCCGTGCAGCCGCTACCGCCCATGGATTCTATCGCCGAGGGTGCTGTAAGCGGTGTAGGCAGCACTCGCACGAGGAGGCCAGCTTCGCCTGTTGAGCTGGAGGGCCCGAGAAGGCCGAGGTTGAGTCTTGCGGTTCAGCATGACGGGAGTAGCATGGAGAGCATGACGACTGGTAGCAGTCGAACGGACGAGGAGGGTGATGAAAACCGCGAGGTGGCGGAGAATGAGAATGAGGACGGCGATGTAGTTAGTCCTTTGAGTGTGTCGACTGCCCCGACTCCGGTCCGGGAGAGCAGAATACGGAGAAAGGCGGGGAGTGTACTGAGCAGGATCAGCCTTGTGAGTCCTGTTAGTGTTGCTGGGTCCAAGTCTTCTGGACATCATTGAGTGGGCAAGTGAGTGTACGAAAAGTGTTGTTTCTAGTGCCTTGGGAGGCTAGAGTAGTATACCTCGGAGCGTTTCCTTTGTTCGTAGCGAGCAGATTGTTGCAGTGGCACGAAAAGATATCCAAGAAATGCAATCTACTTAGTAATGTTTGTTCCAATGAGTTTCAAGATACAGCCTGAATCACTACTCGACTCCGCCAATTGTGAAGTCGAATAATTGTTTCCTCCTACAAGCTAGGATGAACCAATAAATTTCACGCTCCTAGTCAGCAAGTTGACAGGCGCGTCATCGCGCCCTACGGTTGACACATTGACTTTCGATCTCCATATCATCAACGGAATAAATGGAGTGCTCCGTAAACGACCGCTTAAACGACCAACTTCATCTTCCATTCATTCATCCATCGTAATCGTCTCTTGGCTTATTATTCTTCGTTTATAGTAATATTTCCAATCATCCATTATGTCCAAACTCCCTCTCAAGTCCCTCTCCCTCATCCTCTCCCCCTACCACGTCGGCCTCCTTAACAAAGGCACCGGCGCCGGCCCAGCATTCCTCAAAACCTCCGGTCTCGACTCCACACTCCGCTCCCTCGGCCTCCCCGTCCACGAAGTCCAAGTCGAGCCGGTCGACGACCACGAAGGCGAAATCGGACGCAGCTTCGAGGTCATCAGACGAACCGCGATTCTAGTAGCGCAAGAGCGCCGCAGAGGCTCGTTCCCGATCATCCTCGCCGGGAACTGTAGTTCTGCGGTGGGCGTCGCGGCGGGACTTCACGCGTCGCGAGAGTCTGGAGATGGGGGGTTGGGGTGCGTGTGGTTTGACGCGCACGATGATTTTAATACGCCTGATACCGTTATGAGCGGGTACCTTGATTCGATGCCGATCGCCATGCTCGCGGGGCAGTGCTGGAAGGGTTTATTGGGGACGGTTCCGGGACACGAGGCGATGGACTTGGAGAGGTTGGTGCATGTTGGTATGAGGGACGTGAATGACTTGGAGCGGGCCAGGGTGGAAGAGGCAGGGTTCGATGTCATCTGGGGCAGCACCGAGAAGAAGGTTGATTTCGGTGCCCAGCTTGGGGTGGTGTTGCAGCGGAAGAAGCTTAGTTCTACGATGATTCACTTTGATGTTGATTCTTTGGATACGTCCATCGGACACGCGAACCGGTTTGCTGCGCCGGGGGGCCTGTTGAGGGAGGATATCATTGGGTGCTTTGAGGGGATTTCGGAGACGACTGAGCCGGTGTCTCTTACGGTGGCTTCTTTTGATCCTTCGTATGAGGGGGCTGGAAATCTTGCGTCGGTTGCGGTTGAGGCGATTAAGGTGTTTTTGCAGTCGTTGATCAAATCGGGGGTGCTAGCTAAGCCGTGAGCTTGTTACTTGTTGGTAGTATGTGGATGTTTGCCTTTCAGCAGCCTCCTGTCTCTATTCTCACCTTCATGTGACAGTGACTTTCGTTGATGGTTGGTCGTATTGCCAGATCTCTTACGCTCCGGAGCTTCGAATCAAGGCCGGCATCCGATGAGTCTCCCCGGAGAAGATGTCAACGCTTAGCGAGGACAGCAACGCCCGCGCGAGGGTTTCATTGGCCCCTTGGAATGCGAGTCCGGTTCGTGTTGGTGTAGGTACTGACTGCCGAAGAAAGCATCCCTGCATGTTTGCTTTCAGAGGCGTTCATAGACCTCGAAGCTTGGGGGTTTTTACAGCTTTACTCCACCGCTACATGACGCAGGCGGTCGCTTCTGCGCCCGCCAGAATGCGCTACCCATGTGTTGGGAGAGATATCAATGACTTGGTGATTATTGGTGGCGTACATTGATGATTCGAATTGGCGTTTGCAGAGCAGGACAATCCAGTTGAAGGGCGTGTCTGCCCTCGCGCTCTCATAGCGAGGTGACACCTGTGGCTGAGGACTTGGCCATATCACCATCGCCTCCAAAGAATCGATTTACATGGTGTTCTATCCCCAGCGAGCCCACGATGTGGTCGCCTTCCCTTCGAAAACAAGTAACGGTCATCAGGTTGCCAGTAATCACCCCTGCTAGGTTGGCATTGTCTGCAGCGATATCATGCAGTTTGCTCCTATTTGTTTGCCGCGCCTAATCGACATCCCTGTTCCAACGAAGCATGAGTTGGGTCGAGGTGTTTGCTTGTCAATTCCACCAACACCAAGCTGTCGACTCTTCCCCAGTACAAAATTGGCGGATCCCGAGTACGCAACTTGTTTCTCGCGTAACTTTCATCTCATCATCCTCGACAAGCAGTACAACAAAGTCCCTGATCGACCGTCAGACTACTTCGTGAATATGGGAGAAATCGCGGCCGAAGCCTCTTTAGAGCTTAGAAAGCTCGCGGTGGATCTACTCCATGAAGTGGATACGTATGATACAGCAAACATCTTGGGTTCCAAGACCGACCGCAACTTCAAGTCTAGCATCATCCAAAGAGCACAAGCCATCATCGACAAACTCGAAGACAGTCCACGGGAGAGGGCTATGAATGATTGCATCAAGGTCGGCGAAATGACCGGAAAGCAGCTCTTCAATGCCTGGGGAGTCTTCCAAAAGATTCCAATAGAAGGTTCAATCTCATACAAGGAGTTGGCTAGCAGTGTTGGGTGTGAGCTGCAGCTGCTGGGTAAGATTACCACCAGACTTCCTCACTTTCAAGACAGACAACTCATTGTTGGCTTTCCCGTCCTAGTTCGCCTCGCGTGGATGTTGAACTCCACTGGCATCCTGAAGCAGGTCGGCGAGGATGCCGTGGCTCATACCGAAAAGTCCAAAATGTTCATCAATGACAACCCAGACGGGGATCTCACAAGGATCGTGTAAGTGCTCGATATGTCAATCCATAAATTTCTTAACAAATAACTGACCAGTAAGCTTCGTACATGGCATGGTCTCATACGCCCAGTTCGAGAAGTACTTTGATGCTTACGGGCTACAAGAACCACGAGGCCGAACACACGTTCCATACACCTTTGCGTACGGCCAGCCAGAGAAGAACGTCTGGGAGGTATCTCTCCAGAATCTTGAAGACAAGAGAATCTTCCTTCGTTCAATGAAGGCAATGGGAATGCTTCTTCCGGTGTGCGGCGTCTATGACTTCTCCTGGATCTCAGATGCCGCGCACTCAGGGCCAGCGGACAGGCCCCTTTTCGTCGATGTTGGAGGGGGAAGCGGCCATGCCATGAAGACCATCTGCGACAACTATGGCATCCCATTATGTCGATGTGTTCTTCAAGATCTTAACACAGTCATTAGCGAGGTTGCCGAATCTCAGGATTCTATTGCCTCACGGGGAACGAAGTTGATGGCCATTGATTTTCATAAGGAGCAACCAGTCAAAGGTTTGCCAGCAACCTCTCTTACTTTCCTAGAACGATGGCTAACATGAACCAGGCGCACTTGTGTACTACATCCGTTATTGTCTTCATAATTACAGTGATGACTTGGTGGTCGAGATCCTGGCTTGTATCGCAAGCTCCATGGCGCAGGATAGTCGTCTGTTGATCGCAGAACAAATTACGCCAAATCCGCCTTCGCCTCATACGGCAGCCATAGATCTTTTGATGCTGAGCGTCGGCGGTAAGGAACGGCCGAGGCAGGTGTGGAAAGATGTTCTCGCCAAGGCCGGGCTGGGAAGAGTTGAGTTCTGGACATCTCCGGGCAACCCACATGGTATTATTGAGTGCTTCAAGAGATCTTAAGCTAAAGGTGGTTGCCTGGTTTCAACGTGAAGCCTGCGTCGATTCGTTACCTGAAATACTTGACCTTGAGAAGAGCCTTGCCAAATATGAAAGGGCGTTGATGCTCGACCTATTGCGAACAGATACGCAACAGATGACAAAGCACTCTGACGACACTAATAATCGGTCTCCTTGCGCTTTGCCTTGATTCACCGAGCTCCCTCGGCTCAGAATGACTACATGTACCCTAGGGAACGAAGTTTACTATACCTGCTACTCCAGCCTATTGAAGCGCATGGGGAGCCGATGGCATATTCCAACTTTCACAGGAGATACCGTGAGTTACCTAATCTCCAAAGATTGGTAAGCTAAAGATCACAGCCACCACCAGCTAAGCCATCGTCAGATCCGATTACTGATCAAGCGTTTGGACATCACGTGTCTGACGCCCTTTTCAAGGCGAATACTCGGTGAAACGAATTGGGTAGTTTGAATGTTTGTATCCCCTTTGGAAACGAGTCCAATTAGTTGCTTCAATCACCAAGGTTCGTCGGATCGCAGTGCACATGCAACTGTTAAAGCGTCCCAGCTTTAGCAAGGACATTGGAGAAGGAAGATACACGGCCTTTATTGTGTTCCTATCTTGACGATAGCTAGGAGAGAAGGCTGTAAGTGCCTTTGAAGCATTGAGCCACAAGCTTTATTTGCTGTCTAGTCATATTTCCAAGACACCGTCTTCGTTGGTGGTCGAGCAGGATCACTAATCATCCATTGTTGATCGAATAACTAATCAGCGAGAGCAAGTCCAAGCTTGCCTTTTGGCTTGACGTTACTTATGAACGACAGGCCAAATTACGTAGGGGATCCGACGGGTGGAAGCAGGGACGGATCGCCCACGAGGGAGCTTATAAGGAAATGCCCCTGGCACCTTGCAGTGAGAAGAGCAGCCTACGACTGCGATAATTGACAAAGATCACTATAGTAAGAGAAACTCATAAATCTCAAATCACTCAAATATCTCAATATGGCAAACCGCCGCATCTTCGTCATTGGTGCCACTGGTGCCCAAGGCCTTCCCGTCTGTCGAGGACTTGCCAAGGACGGAGGCTACAGTTTGCGTGTATTGACACGTGACTCCAACTCTGCGAGGGCGAAAGAACTCTCGAAACTCGGAGATGTTGAGTTTATTGAGGGAACTTTCGCTAACGAAATCGACCTGCGCAAGGGATTCGCCGGGTGCTGGGGTGCTTTTGTCAATATCGATGGCTTCAACTGCGGCGAGAAGACAGAGACCTACTGGACGATCCGCTGCTACGAGCTAGCGGTGGAGCTCGGAATCAAGTTCTTCGTCTTTGGAAATCTCGACTACGGTTATAAAAAAAGTGGCTACAACCCAAAGTTTCGGTGCGGACACTACGACAGCAAGGGGCGTCTGGCCGAGTGGATGCTGCAGCAGAGAAAGGGCAACGACATGGGTGTCGCTATCTTCACTACCGGCCCTTACATTGAAATGACGATCTCTTCCAAAACGATCATGACGCCACGGGTCGAAAACGGGATTGTTACATGGAGAGTGCCTCTTGGTGCCGGCGCAGTCCCGCACGTTGCCCTTGATGATTGCGAACATTATGTCCGTTGGCTTTTCGACCACCCCGAAAGATCGGATGGAATGGACCTAGAAGTAGCCGTCGACCATATTCACTACGAAGACTTGGCAAAGGCGTTTGAAAAGGCCACGGGAAAGCCAGCCCAGTATGTTGACACTCCCATGGACGTCTACTTCGACAACTTCCCAATCTCCAGCCAACCTGCGGGTTACAACGCCGATCCCACGGACCCGGCGACTATGTCTGTCAGAGATAACTTTTCGGGTTTCTGGACAATGTGGACGAACTCTGGGGACAACAAAGGCGTCATTCAACGTGACTACGCGCTCTTGGACGAGATTCACCCAAACAGAATCAAGACAGCGGAGGAGTTCTTCCGCAGAGAGAGCGAGAAACGTCGTCTTGCTGGTCTTGGGGAGCTTTTTGAAGTCATTGAGGCGAACAATCTTGCATCCATTCTGAAGCTTGGCGAGGATAACCGGAAGGGGAAATTGTAGTTGATTAGATGGGGATTGAGACTTAGGTAGCAAAACTGTTGAGAATATAGCAGTTCACTCACTTTGAGCAAGCAATGAATATCGGTATCTTCAGGCTCCAGATCTATGTGTTTTAGTTCGAAACTTCCGTGATCAGTGTTGAACTTTCGCGTTCGAGGCATTCGAATACACCTAACTTGGCACCCGGACATTGCGGAGATTAGGTTGTACTCAAAGTCCGCAACGCAAACTCACTAAACCTCCTCCAGTCAAGCCACTTGTACAGCATTCTAACAGTAAATTTGAATTTGTCAATCTGTTGAGATACAGTTCGATCCTCTTTCGTATGTGTTTCAACGATTGCAGAACCCATTCAGTTGGTAGTTCAGGTTCAGCTATTGTGACAACCACGTCAAAATGCCGCGCAGAAAGATGCCTGATGCGAAGGACCGTCGGAAGCGCCAGAATGCCGACGCTCAGCGGGCATACCGTATGCAACCCAAGAAACTCGCATATGGTGTATCTTGCTTACTCAAAAATTAGGCGCGAGGCAGAAGACTAAGGTTCGGCATCTGGAGCAGATGGTCGCCGCTGCGTGGGTAACGCAAGAACCAGCAGCGCAAGACTGCGTCAAGGAGGTTTCGATTTGCCCTCCTACTCGCTATGCGGTAGCCGAGTCATCAAATAACAAGGTGGAGGCGTATACCGCTTCATGCAACCTTACAGCTTCGGACATTTACCAGGCGTTACTATCCCTCTCAGCACATGAAAATAAGAAAGGTTGGGGTATCATGGTGAGGGAAAACTTTACACTTCGTGACGTAGTGAAGTACGGGTTGATAGCCATAGGATACTCCATGGATCCGGTACTGTACGAGAGTGCCTTATCGCTGTCATCTCGTGAGTGGATCGCAGCCGTGAAAGCGCGATGCGGCAATGTCGATATGCGGCAGGTCGTCGTTGCTGGCCTTACGATACTAGCTCATCTTACGGCACCGAATGAACAGCCGGCACTTGAATGGCTCCAGCCGACTTATCCTAGACCCTCCAGAGACGTCATTCATCTAAACTCGATGTCATATGCGTCGGCAATGCGCGCGATAGCAGCTCAGCTCAGCATAACGACAGAGTATCTAATGGACGAGAACGCGCAGTCACTATTCTACAGCGTTGATCACAGTCGGCTGAGCGAGCATGATAACGACCCGAGCGACGATGACACAGCTCTTCAAAAGATCACCCCGGATCTGAGACCGACCTTCATCCAGCGTTCTCGGGCTCATCACCCTTGCTTTGACTTGATACCCTGGCCATCTTTCCGCTCCAGCGCCATCGTACTCGCTTCTGGAGCCTCACCGCAGATAGACGAGGACGACCTCTGTATCGACATGCTGGGCGGGGGAGTTCGATGCTGGGGCTCCGCAATGGGTTCTATGCATGGGCGTGGAAATGGTGTGCCGTGGGATGGCCGCAGCTGGGAAGCGATGCCATGGTTCCTGGAGAAATGGAAGGGAGTTATAAGAGACGATAAAGACGGCATGGTACAGACCAGTGCTTGGTGGAGGGGCTTGCGGGGCTGCTAGGAGGCGGGAAACCTTATGAATGACAAGATGCAATACGCCTCTGTATGGATTTCGCAAACTTCCCTAGGAAGTTATGTTCTAGTTACTACTTTATGCATAGAGAGGACAAGAAAGGGATACAAAGAGAAACATGAGAAATCATGATAGGGTAGCATCAAATCCATCAGGAAATATATGGCTTCAGCTGTTTCTCCGTCCACTCCCAGTACTTCTTGCCTAGCTCCTTGTCACGGAGATCTTCTCGTCCAGCTGCGAGTCGACCAAAGGGAACCACTAGAGTTGTCGTCAGCATTGGATACAACACTTCAAAATCAGAGTGACTTACCCCAGCCACCGTTGTTCTTCTCCGTAATCGTAGGACTTAAACCGGCAAAGAGCTCGGTGTATGCGCCATTGATTGGCTTATGCGCGAGGAATTTCTAGAGGACACATCGAGAGGTGGTTAGAGATGGAGGAGTTACAAAGTTCTCTGGGCAGAACTTACCACAATGATCCGCTGCCACAGCGGCATGGTTCGTTGCAGATCCGTCATGAAAATTCCGGGGTCAAGACTCTGCCGTCGCCGTTAACAACTGCATACATTCATCGGCTCACGAACGGTGTCCAGCTTACAACGCTAATGATTCCTTCTCCAGATACTCTTCTCGCAAACTCCGTTCCGTGCAAGACGTTACCAGCCTTGCTCCTCGCGTACTTTTGTACCTGGCCCTCATCCTTTGCATAATCCATATTGTTGAAGTCGATTGGAGGCTTCGGTGCCATGGCCGCCGTGCTAGAAGACACCCAGACAACTCGGACGGAGTCTTTTGGTGCAACCTTGGCCGTGCCAGACAGCACTGGGTGGAGGAAGTGGGTAAACAGGAATGGAGCGAGATTGTTGGTGCCCAGTTGCAGCTCGTAGCCCTGGGCGGTCTTGGAACCCGGCGGCGGAGTCATGACACCGGCGTTGTTCCAGAGGACGTCAAGACGAGTTTCCTTGCTGAGAAATTCTTGGGCAGATTGTTTGATCGTGGTCAAATCATTCAGATCCAGGTGGAGGTACTCGGCGTGGCCTTGGGAGTTGGGATACAATTCCTTCAGTTCCTTGATCACGGCTGCGGTCTTGGCTTCAGACCGACACGCCATGTAGATTTTGGCGTTCTTTTGGTAGAGGATTTTGGTAAGTTCTTTTCCTAGGCCACCTGAACTTCCTGTGACGATGAACACCTATGTATGTTAGTCCTGAACCAGTATAAATGATGGGTATAAAACATGAAAGGTACCTTGTCGCTTTGATCAGGCAAATTTGCTTCGGTGAAGCTGGCCTTTGGCGGGAACATATTACTCAATGCGCTGCCCATCTTACTGGATTTCGAAGTGCTTGAGACGTTTACAGGACTTGGAAACGACTCCTTTTACTTGCTTCATGATTATTGACGTTATATATATGACTCTGTAATGTATTATGGTCTTGGATCTACTTGCAGTGCCGGCTGGCTCAGCTGCAGTCAACGTAAGCATCTATCAACAATAGGTCCCGGTAAGTTGGCTAGAGACGGAGACGGAAATGAATCGTACAGCAGGGAGAAAACAAGCAGCAAGTCACTAAGTGTGCAATAACTCCACAATATGCAGTCAACGTAAGCAGATAAACCTTAATTCGAGAGCTCCTGGAATCCGGGCTCCCGGTCTTTGGCTGGCCCGCTTATCTCCGGACTTGCACCCCGGGACCCCGTGCCTTAGGTTTGCGCCGGGGCTGCGGCGAAATAAACCATTGCCTGTGGTGAGATGTCCATAGGCTAGATACGACAGCTTTGTGACATCGTTGCGAACTGACACTCCCATAATACAACGCAAAAACTGATGAATTGATGAAAGAATGTTTGGGTATCTTAAGTACTGCCTCAATGGAAAATAGGACAAAGCAATAAGAGTGCAGCAAAGGGAGCGCCGTGCCCGAAAGCTCATGGAAGATAACTTAGAATGCCCGCCTCTATCCTCTGGCTATTTGGATCTTGGTAGTCATCTACTCCGTAGTATGGCATATCGTGTTGCTGTGCCCCGAGCATCTCCATCCCTGGTGTGATCGTAGCTGGTTCTTGGGTCGCAAAAGACTGATTGAACCCCAAGTCCAAATCCTGTCCCTTGGAGGGCGACAGTGACTCTGGATAAGAAACCTCGGCAAGAAAATTAAAGTCGAAGTCCGGAATGGAGGGGTCACCGAATATGTCTAACGGATCTGGAATCTCAGGCGTTGTGCCGCTGGTCGTCATGGTTGACGGCGAAGTGTCCGTCGCCGTGAAGAAAGACGCTCCCGTCTCGGAGCTTGAGGACGCATCAACACTCGGCGGGTCTTGCAGTCCTCGCTCTTGGTTCTCAAGCTGTTGATAGCCCTTGAACAGCGTGAGCTGGAGATTCCGAGCAATGTCAATGACCTTTTGCTTCATCCCTTCCTCGACGAAACTCAGCTCACGCTCGACCTCTTTTTCGAGCTGTCGGCGGACCAGCGGTGGAAGTTCACGGCGAAGATAGTCTTCGTAGCCTCCCAGATTCATCTCGGCGTCCTCTGCATTATGGTCTGCAAGAATTAGCACCAGTCCCTGCTTCCATCGCTAGGAGCATAAACTTACACGGTGACGGAATCTCTCGCTCTCGCACGTCGGGGAAGAGGATAAGGTAGACCTGAATCCACTTCTCTGCTTCAGTGAGCTCTTTGGCCGACGTCTTCTTCCGGGAACGGAGCTTCTTCTCCTGATCCTGCGTGATACCATCCAAGACCTCCGGTTCGCGTACGTCACAGGCGTCCAGCGAGCGGGCGTGAGCTTGCAGAGCCAGTTGGGTCTCGAAAGACTGCGAGCATCGCGGGCACGAGAACTTGGGAAGAGAGTGCTTGCGATAAATGTGCTCCCTGGCGAGTGGTCAGCAGTGAGTTCGTGTGAGAAGAGAGGATACACGTACTTGATACGGTGGACTTGGTCCCAGCCTGGCCCGCAGCACGGTCGCTGGGTTTTGTACTTCCTTGGGTTGTGCTTGAAAAAGGGACACGCAAGTTTTGCGCCCACAATCGTGTCTTCCTGGACTTTTGACAGTTTTGCTCGGGGCAGTTGATTCTCATCGCCCTCCTCCTCTTCTTCTTCGTCTGGCGCTTGACCGCCTGCCGACCTGTCGTGATTTCTCGTCGGGTTTCCCTTACGCCCCCTTTTGCCTGTGTGCATAGCCACTTTGCTGGTGCCACCCGCTCCTTTCTCTGCCGACGTCTGCCGTGGAGCTTTTGCACGGCGCGAAGGTGCGGAGGCTCCTATAGATTCAAACAACGCTTCCGAGACAAAGGACCGGGATGCTGATGCTGGAGCAGCACTCCGTTTGCTAGAATGTGAGACTTCTTCGACCTCGCTTGCCCCCCTAGCAGTGTAGCCTGATCGCGGCTGCGCCTGTTGTGGTGATATGAGTGCTGGGGCTGCTGGTGGTGCCGCTGATGCCAGTGGTGGTAGCCCCGCAAAATCTACCATTGAATCGGAACTTGGCACATAAGTCGCAGATAGTTGCGACCCCTGTCCCACTGGCGGCGGTGATATTCCTATAGGAGCCGATCCTCTAGATGAATCTGCTCCTACAGCTAATGCTATAGATGAGTTTCGCGGAGGCGGCGGTGGGAGGGCAATGTTCGAGTTCCTGTGGCGAGTGACGGGTGCAGGAGCTCTGGGAGCTTGAACTTGACGATACATGAAGCTTTCGAGTTCATGTCCTCTTGAAGAGCTCGTCGCACTAGTAGCAACACTTGCTAGCATTGTCGGACTGGACTCGTAGAGAGCATCATCTGCAGCATCGCCGCCAGGGGCAGCCCCCAACAAGCCTTCCTCAATTTGAGACTCACTCTCATGCTCCTGCTCCTCTTGCTTAACTTGCTTCCTTATGTCCAGCCAACTCATGAATGAGGACATGATCCTATCGACTATGAGGCGTTGGACCTTCTTTGTACGGTCTTCGTTCTGATTCTCTGGCTCATCCTCTGCATTGGACGCGCTGCTCTCGGTGTCGCCTTCAGACATCCTTCTAGATCTCTCGAGGGACGGGTGACCGGAGGCCTGCCCAGGCTGGATCGTAATATCACTCGGTGGGAATTCTGACTTGACTTTTCGGTCGGCATCCAATGAAAGGTTTTTGGCGTCTTCCCCCAGAGCAGCCGCATAAACTGCCTCAAGCCCAACAGCGCCCATATCTTTGACCTTCTTTTTCTCCTGTTTCTTTATCAAATCTGAAGATGGGGAAGATTTGTGGCCAGTCTCCGAAGGAGCAAACTCGGCATCAAATGCGGATGAGTCTATACTGCTGCCTCGCTGCAAACTTGGTGAAAGTCGTTCTAGCTTGACAGATTTCTCGCCTTGCATCTCCTGGGTGGCCCGCAGAGAGCTTCGAGTCGGGGGTTGAGCGGAAACAGTCGGATCCGGCCTTTTATCTCCTTCTAGCAATTTTGGAGAGACAACTTCGGCATCAACGCATTCTGCGTCGCTTGGTTGAGATGACCCGTCGGACAGGTCTCCATCATCGATGTTGGGAGCCTTGCCCTTGCTTGGGGACGGAGGGCTCATTGTGGCGCGTTGTGTCCAGGCCCTGTTTGTACGGCGAGGTAAGCTGAGGCCGATTCCAAAAGAGTGAAGCCGATGTTCAGCCGCTGGATCGAACGGATCAGATTCGAAAGTGAGATGGAACAGGAGCTTGGGGATGGGTGAGATGCTCAGATTGAGATCCTCAGCTTTGAAGGGGGAAATGGCGGTGGTGAGTTGTGCGCCGCTGCGCAAAACTCGGGGGCGCACTGCGGCTGAGGGACCCACATGGCCGAGTACAGCGTCCCACTTTCTGTACCTGCCGGCCGGCTCTCTGCCGTTTGACGCCCGCGCTGAATGTACCTTGGTGGAGAGGTGAGGGAAAAGAACATTTTGCAATCGCGAGGGATATGAATGTAATTCTATGTGATTCGATTTCAGAGGTGATAATGCCATTTGAGACCATGTTACATGTTTTGGTCTGTCTGTCATTCTGCAGAGAGTGCTATCGATGCACCTTTCTCTTACTTGTTTTGCGTACTAGGTACCATGTATTCCACACAGCACAGTTTCCTCAGTAGATTCTTATGCTCGTCTCGTGTAAGTTCGACATATTCCCGAATAATGAGTACCTCGAGAATATATCGCTTTCTTGCAGACAGGCCTCGCGACGCCTTCTAAGGCATACAGATGGGCTCTTCATCAGGGTAGACATACCTCGAGAGGCTCGAGTGGGAGGAAACATGAGCCAGTCAAACAGATCTCATGAAGGCAAGTTGTGTAAGGATGCTTGATGATAGGATTACATTACCTAAGCTATTGACAGCAGTGTGGTAAAAGTCATCTCTGGGAGGCTGGGCTAGTAGATGTTTTTACGCTCGGTACGAAGTCAGGCTCTGCCGAAGCACGGTGTCCTCTCAGCTCAAAAGCGTCAGAGTAAGATCCCAGAAGTAATTGCGACCATCAGTGAAAGCGTGCAAGCAGCGAGTGGGGGCGAAAATTGCCTGTCTCTTACCCAAGAGGCAATTCATAAATTCAGCCGTGGGGCTTGACATGTTCTTCAGCGGGGCGGTTGTGGGGAGACGTGTGTCAAAGGGCGCCGAAATGACATGCAGTCAACGCTATGTATGGTGAGCTAAGGCGTTTTTGTCACCCTGCCACGCAGATTGAGAGTGTTGTTTAAATGAAGACCAGCAGCCGTCTTTTTGATCTTTTGGCAAAAGGTCACGATGAAGCAGCCGTTGGTAGGCTCTTTCCCGGTCTCCTATTCACTCAATTGTTCCTTCCCTCGAAAACCTAGAATTATTCCATTCCGTTAGGTTCCATCAATCCTCTCCGGCCCGGGGATACTCCGTCCAACTTCACAATTGCCCGGCTGACTCCAACTACGACTGACAGAAACGTCTAATCATCACCAATGCGGCAACATCTATCTAGCTGATTGACCAGCCCGAAAATCCTCACTAGACCTCAGAATCACCGTGCCGCCGCCCGATCTCGCATTCCGATTTTATTAGGTGTTCTTCTGGCCCTGTCAGTTCCTCGGGATGGGTCGCTGAATCCGGCTAGGCCATCTTCCCAAGAACTATCTGTCGACCGTGAACCCCCTACGCCGAGAGATATCAAACAAGCCGGACCAACCATCTCCAGTTACCGCTGTCCGGCAATCAGGTATCACCTGCTCTTCTGGGCTGGTCGTTTTGATCTTCACCAACAACACTCGCCTACCTTGTGTTATCGCTGCTGTTGGCATGGACCACCGCTGAACTGCTGCTGCTCTCCGAGATAAGGCACACACTAGCCCTTGGCATTCTCTTGGTTGGCGGCACAGCTTCCGGGCTTATAACCGCACTACAACCCACGACTCCAGAATTGCCAACCAGATCTCTTTATGCAGCAGTTTGCGGCCGAATACGCAGAAAATCCACTTCGTATTGTCCTAGCCACCATGCAGTGAGAGCATGGAATGCACCAGATACTTTCCATGCGTGCTAAGATGTTAGTATGAAGCAACGTTGATGTAAAAGCACTTGTGGTATCTTCATTTTGCTAACAATTACCAGGACGTTGGTCCCATCCTGATCATCTTCAACGCAGGATTTTGATTAAAATACATGAATGTGCAGTAGCACGCAGTTCCTCCTTTGGCAAACACCAAAGCTGTCTACCACACCTTGTGGAGAACGCGCCTCCATGCAGGGAGCGAAGCGATGTGTGCACGGTATGCGTGGATCTCGTCCCAGTCAAGTTCACGGCGGCCAGTGTCGACATCCATCTGGGCGGTACGGAGCCAGCCAGTGCGCTTCCAGAAGAAGCCACCAAGCCAGAAAACGATGACAACGGGAAGGGCGAGGTACGACTTGAAGAAGCCTTCAGCGTCGTTGAGCTCGGTCGTTCCAGGGGGAGCAATGGCAGTGTAGAACTGTGGATTCTTGTTAGCATGCAACATCTGATCCCGTCGAAAGAACTTTCACATACCTGAGCAGCAAGCACGATGAAACAGAGGAAGAGTCCGATCCAGGAGCCAGTAACGCCACCAATGGCCTTGAACGGGATCTCATCAACGGTGTGACCGTGGTAGGCCCACGCCTTACGGAAGCGAATGTGCGCCAGGCAAATGGATCCCCAGGTGAAGACCGCAGCCAGACCAGAAAGAGCCAACAGCCAGTCAAACACAACAGGGCCGCTCGCGCTAAGGTTGATATATGCCAAAGGCGAGAAAATGATGACAGCCAGCACAGAAGGCAGCGGGCGTCCTGATCTGTCAATATAGGTAAAGATCTTGGGCGCATAGCCCTGCTGGGCCAGGGCAGTGAGGGTACGCGAACCACCGTAAACGCCAGACACACCGATCGACACGACAGAGACGAGGATGACAACGTTCATGAAGTGGTCGAAACCCACGAGACCGGCGTACTTGCCGACCAACACAAAAGGAGAGGCCTTGACGTCAGAGTAGGCAGACTCGGAGAGCAGCGCAGGGTCGTCAGAGGGAATCAACAGACCGACAAAGAACAGGCCCAAAATGTAGAAGAGCGAAATACGCCAGAATACCTGCTTAATGGCACCGGGAAGTGTCTTGACGGGGTTCTTGGCCTCGGCGGCAGCAAGACCGACCAACTCGGTACCGGAGAAGGAGAAAGCGGCCGTGACGAAGACGGAACAGAAACCCTTGAAACCGTTGCGGAATGCGCCCGGGTCATACCACGTCTTCGCACCCTGGTATTCGCTGTATCTGCCGCTGGACGGTCCGCCACCGAGGACGAGGACGAGACAGATGATCATGAAGACGACAGTGGCTCCGAGCTTGAGGCAGGACGACCAAAACTCCTCCTCGGCGTATCCTATAGATCCAAAAATGTTGATGATGATGATGACGACGAGGAAAAGTGTGATCCAAACGGCCACGTTGACAGAGTCATTCCAGTATGCGACAACAAGGCCAGAGACAGTCAACTCAAGCGGTAGCACGATGGCCCACTGGAAAACGTAATTCCAGCCCATGGCGAAGCCCCACGAAGGATCGATGAAGCGAGTCGAGTACGTGTAGAAGCCACCAGAGACGGGATACATAACAGCGAGTTCACCCAAGGCATACACTGCATGATGTCAGGACCTCTCCCTTTTGCGGGGTTGGCAGCGGGATGAAACTTACCGACGTTGAACATCATGATACCCACGAGAACGAAGTCGATCAAGAGCGAACCGGGACCCTGCTTGTGCGTCAGAAACCGCCGTCAACAACCAAGACAGTATACCTACACCCTTGCTCAGAGCGCCACCGGAACCGACGAAGAAACCAGCACCAATGGAACCGCCAATGGCAATCATGTGGAGATGGCGAGAGCTCATAGCGCGGTCGAGTTCGACGATGCCGCGACCATATTCCTTCTTCGTGAAGGATTTCATATTCAGGCCATTGCGTGTTGCCCAGCTGTCCTCGCTGATGTCGCCTCGGATCTCCTGTCCACTGCCGGTATCATAGCCAGGAAGGCCACCGGTGGCCTTCTCATCGGCCTCGACCTTGGTGGGCACAACCCCTTCTGGTGCAGCCATGGCGATGGATTTCGCGGCTTTGTGGGGTATACAGACAAGCAGTATCTGTTACAAATGAATGCTGCGGGAGGAGGGCCCGAGAAGAACAAAAATGACGGAGAGGGATGGCTGTCGAGCACGAGACAAACCAGATCGGACGGGGGAAGGGGGAGGTTTATGAAGGAAATGCCGACCGAGAGGACAGAAACAGGCGCGCAAGGACTAAGGGTTCTTGTCAAGGGCGGCAAGCGGATCCAGTCATGCATGGAAAGCCGATAGGCTGCACCTGGTTGACGATGGAAAATTACACACAAGAGAAGGAGGGAGAGATGAGGGTCCAGGGCCGATTGAGTATCAAGCTGGTCTATCCAACTTTGCCCCCCTCTCGACGGACGACAGACGCAGATCTTGGCAAGGACAGGATATGGCAGGCTATCCTGGCAGCAACCCCCGTTACTTCTTGCACACGATTTGGGGGAGGGATGGAGGCGATTTGGCTTTTTGGTCGTGCTTCGATACGTACCAAGTCCTACGGCAGGCCAGCGGGAACGAGCGAAACCTTCCCCGTCGTTGTCGAGTCTACTCCTCTGTATTCGTACGGAGTACTACTGTCTGGGCGAGCTGAGAACGAGGTGCCTGGTGAGTTAGGCGGGCTGGCTGCGGACAGCTTTCCGATGTGCATGATGCACTAACGAGGAACCCAGGCGCGGGTACAAACCCATATTCGGCCGAAGAAAGGGCAAGCAGTCGCAATCGCAGTCGTAACGAAGTGGATTTGGACGAGACCCCGTCGCCAGCGACCGTGACCTGGGGGAGACGAGAACCACAGCAATGGGATGTCACCCTGCTCTCCACCGTGGCACCGAGACATATGCGTACGCCCCAGGCGGGCGACTGAGAAAGTCTGAGAGCCCCCAGATAGCGTGGGCTGTGCTGGTTGGCCAATGGGCAACTTGTCACTTGAAGCCGTTAGCAAATGGCTCCGAAAAAGTGGCCGCCCCTCCCATTGTTCATTGCGCGCTGTCTCCTCAACGTTATCTCAGGATCCAGTCCGACCCTCCTCCTCTCGAACCTGTCTGTGGAACTGGGGCCCTGGGAGGCATATGTGAAGTGGAGAGCACGAATCTTTGGGCCCGGGTCGGTGAGGGGAGACGACCCACGCAGAGGTCCAGGTCCGCGACGCTGGAGACAAAGCCAGGAGGCTAGCCTGCATCGCAATCTGCGTGCTGTAGTACACAACAGTCTCTGCTGCTATTCCGTCACTCTGTCTTACACTGGAAATCGTCGAAGTCGAGGAGGCTCATCGGGAAGAAAATCCTGCAGGCAAGCCACACCCATGATGTCCAACCAGGCTTCTTGCCAGGGTTGCAGCGGCTTTTGCTACACGCCTCGGCACGGCATCCACGGAAACTGGCTGTTCCCTAACTTCCTTTTCAAGAGCTTGGGTTGCCAAGAAGTCGACTCCGGCCAGACAACTGGCTGGTCCGAGAATGCATGTGGTGTGGGTGGACCAGGGGGGCTGATCTTGGCCGCCCCAGGTTTCCCTCATCCTTGAAGAGCCCCGACGTCGTGCAGCCGACAGAGCCAACGACCGCGGCTGGCACATAGTCTGACCTCGATGCCTCAACTTGAGCGACCATGCTGCACTGGCGGCGCTACCGCGTGATGGCTTGTGATGGTGCAAATCATCCAATGCGAAAGATGCACGCAACATCATGGTTTCTTTTCGAAGGAAGGAATCCTGTCGGGCCAGTCTTTGCGCAAGAAAAACGCAGACGTGATTTCAAGGGCATATGGCTGGCCGGTCCAGCACTACGTTTCGTTTCGATGACAGACAGTTGGAACGGGGAGTTTTCTCTTCTGCGTTCAAGAGGGGAATGGTACTACCTTGCGCAGCAGGTGGAATCGGTCCCACCCCTGGTCGATAGCTCCCGGTGTTCCCATTCCTCCCTGCAGAACACGACAACTTCGCGTCGTCGCCGGCGTAGGCCCTATCGCGCGGCCATGTCGGTTGCGACAGTTGGTTATAATGTAATTTGGCTGACTAGACACGATATGTCCGCGACAGACCCCCATCCGGCAGAGGTCCTACCCGTTCCCCGGCTAAAGAGGCGTGGGTGAAAATTGCCACGCCTCTTCGTCAACGGGGTTAATGACAGAATGTCGACTTTACGTCTTGCGGCGCATTCGGAACCAACATCAACCGACCTTGACAGATGACAATGCGATAAGCTGTTTGATGGTGCTCACGGCTCGTCCCATAGGCCGACACGTTTCGAACCAGCCATCAGTGCGCCAGCTTTGCCAGCTTTGCCTGTCTACCTTACTTGTGAGCTTACTTATTTACCTAGTCTTTAGTTCCTAGCCGTCCAGTGTGAACGGCAAAGGGGGAGCAGAACTTCTAGTCTCTCGCACCAGGAAGGTCGAATATGGCAGCACCACATGTCTGCGACCCACGCTCCGCCAATTCCAATAACCTGCTTGAATCTGAATATCGGTCATTTTGGTCTCTGGCCATTGGCAACTTCCAACGCCCTATCATCCCCTGCGACCACCATTCTGCAATGGCTGCAGTAGGTCGCATCCTTTGGGCGGCGGGTGACATGCGAATCCCAGCATCGCTGCATGGCCAGGCAGATCAAGACCTTCTACTCGTCCTTCTAGCGTCCTTCCATCGGGCCCTCCCTCCAATAATGTCACTCACACGCTTCGCTGCATCTCGATTTGTTAATCTGAGGGGCATTGTGATTCTGGCTGAGACTCCCGCGAGTCGCACCCTAAAAGTCAGCATATGAAGTCATTTGCTTCGTTATCTATACTTCCGGTATCAAATAGGTGGAAGTTCGAAACGGGATGCTTATCTACGCCGCAGGATCATGGATCCCACTGCTAACGCCAGAAGCACCACACATATGCGGATCCAGTTCGAATATTGGGCTGCCGTACCCACCATGTATCCGTACCCTTGCGTGAGGAACCTAAGTTGGGTCCAGTTTAATTGGGGTGAACTCGGGGAAACAGCCAGGAGCGTGTGCTGACCCAGGTGAGTCCGCGTGCGGTGTCGGTCAGGGGGAGAGGGGTGTGAGGGGGAGACTCGGGAGAGGGAATTCCCTGGGCCTGGGATGAAGCCGCAAGCGCGAATTTCTCACGCAATTGCAGGTAACCTAATCTTCCATTTGTACGGTCGCCATGAACGCGCTATTTGGACTGGGATTTGAACGACATGGAGCAATGAGTTTCCGTACACGACTCAGTACATCCGCATCTCAGATTGCTACATCCAGCTCTTGCCTGAGTAGTCTTCTTTCGAGCGAGCGAGCTGGAATTCATCTAGACTTCAACGTTGACGCATCTCAAGGAACATCTTGGCCCGTTCGATGAACCAGCACCTCTTCCCCCCCCCCCCCTCCCTTTTCTCTTGCGGTCAGTATGAAGTGAACAGCTCGTCCGAACAATCTCGCCGAACTATTTGGGCTTGCAGTATAGTCCGCGTCCGGTTGCAGCGCCAACGCGACCATAACATTCCCAGCCCCAGGAGGCAGGCAGTAATGATGAGAAATTACCCACATTGGCGGCACGGCAGTCGCAGACGCCCCGTATTCGAGATTGCTCCGTGTCAAGAGGCCTCGAAGCGGCAACTAGCTCCTTTCCATGCCTCCTTGGCTGCATCAGTCAGTGCCTACCTTACGGATGCAAATTAGCGCTTCTTTTGCTATGCAAGCTCGCACAGTTTATGGGCATATCTGATGAGGCTGCGTACTGCAGCCACACGGTAACCGAACAGCCCTGAGCCTAGTGAATAAGGCCAAGTAGACCGCGCTTGATGGCGTGACAAGGTAACGGTGGTAGGGATTTCGATTCCTCGGTTAGGACCGAGAGGCGCTGCGCTACCAGAAACACACCACCAACGTCTTGTTGGCTTTGAAATTGGCAGTTGATTGCTTTCTCAAAGACACTCGTTCTGCCGACGTGATGCGTGGTGAAGCCATCCACGCCGCCGCCGTGTCATGGCCCACGCTTTCTTTCGACAGCAGGTGTGGAGGAAGTGGGCAGTGTCCGGACCATCAATCCAATCCATGGTGATGGATTAGCATCCTCTGGGGAAGCCAAGTGAAGTGCTCATTCGTGCGCGAGAAGAATTTTGTACGTAATGGCGTGCGTTTGACGTTGGCCTCTGCACTCGCTTCTTATCTCTCCAGACTCCAGTTTAATTGTAGCACTACGGACATGTGGGTGGGACGAGAGACGAGACGAGGGTCTCCTGCATTCGGACTGACCGAAGATCGCAACGAGCGGGTTCTGAGACCCGCTCCGAATTGGGGGACTCTTCCCTCTGTGTGGTGGGACAATCTCACATGGCTACGGGATATGGCTGATATCGGAAATCAGCGTCGACGACTGTCTGCAGAGCAGCCGCGCCCTTCATCCGTGCTGGTTCCTATCATGAACTGATCGACATCCGATGAGAACGAACGACTCGGAGTTGTCGCGAGTAAAACCTCGAAGACTCGCATTCGGCGGTAAAGTTCACGACAAACGATGTCCGTGCAGCAAATACCTTATTTCGATTGATTATCTAATTATTGGTGGTTCGTTGGAAACATCATGTCCAGCAGACGTCGTTTGATGCGTCGTTGATGTTGTTGTCGCCGCATACCAATGTTAGCATCACCAGCTGAAAAACAGGCGTTGAGAAGCGACAACTTCGGACATTTTACTCATGCGCCAAGATCGCATCAGACTCGATCGCCTAGTCTCTTCCGAAATCGAAGCTGGAGGCGAGGCGACCGTGGTCCTGGACGCTGAAGCCCTGGCTATCTACCCGTTCGTCTGCGGCCCGTGGTCTGCGGGAATGCGAGGACGAAGAAGGACTGCCGCTGCCAGCTCAGGTTTCCCCCAGAGGCTTGGGCCGTTTGATTGATCGCCATGGCATGGCCAAGGGCTGCTGCAGACTGATAAGGCACACGCACACAAACACTCTAGGCTGGGAGGAGGAAAGGTTTCCGGTTGGCAAGCTCATCTTCCAGGGCTGAACGCCCGCAGCGCAGCCTGAAGGGCGGCGGGAAGGGAGGACGGCTTGGCCGCTTTCCTGGCCTTGCCTTGTCTCCCGGTCGATTCAGTAGCATAGCGGCGGCTTCTTATCTCTCGATGCTCGCTCGCGCCGAGGGGATGACTACTTTAGATAGGCAGTAGAAGCCAGGCCTCCCCTCCCCCCTTCAACCCTCCCCGGCGGACAAGTTGTCTAGCATGATTTCCGAAGCCCTATGAGGCTGCAGGGCGCAGAAAGACGTTGGTTATCGACTATTCACATTCAGCTTAGTCTTGGCTAGGATATTTTCGATGCTTTCCGTGAGGAGAGCCTAAAAGTCGTCACCGAGATGAGATAGCCGGGTGACGGTTGTACCTCAAATCCGGCCGGCCTGGACGTGTGGGCATTCCTCTGAGACAAGCACCACAAGATCTACGTCTGCGTCAATGGATCGGCGACCTATGAGAAGGGCAAGGCACGTGAGGATCAAGTCGCGTCAGGATTGCAGGTATCTATCGGAAAACGTCAGTCGGCATCGGATGCAAGTTGGATGTGGTTTGCGTCACCCATTTCGTTCAGTCGCCAATGAGCACCAACGGCCCGGCGTCGAAGGCTGATTCTCTCCCCGTGCCGCTCTTTTGCAGCAAGCCACGTTGAACGGCGCGGTCGCAGTCGCAATCACACTTTATCCCAGACAGACAGACTGCCGGGGTGACGATATGAAAGAAGTGAGAAGACGTTGCTTTTCACGGCAAAGGCATGAACTCGGAATTGACAAAAAGAAATTGACGCATACTTCGTTTATCTTACCCCGGAAACCACTTTCCCCGCGAATCCACGGCTTGGGAGTTTGGTAACTCCAGCAAAGAAACTCCATCCATTACTTGATCAAAACTACTTTTGCCGACATCTCATTACGTACGGACTTTGAGAATCGAGCCTGGGACATCTCCACATCGGCATCTCATCTCGCTGCGTGTCTCCAGTTTCCACGCTCTCGTCTCCAGAGGTTCCAGACTTCCAGACTCCAGCGAAAGAAGAAGAACCCGCCAGCCCGCACGGCGGCGCATTGTGCACGCACTCACGCACGCGAGCGCTGGAGCAGAGAGAGAGCCGGGCTCCATTTCCCCGCGATTTCCACGCCAAAAAGTGGTCAGGTCGTGACACATCCGAAGCTGGCCGCGAACGAATCAGCCCCCAAGCAATTGGACAGACGACTACCTAGGTATTAAGGTACAAATCTAAAATAACTACAATTGACTATCTGTACAGAATTATGGATCCATCAGAGACATTTACGACAAATCGCCCGGATTGAGGACCCGCGTGACGTCCCGCGACAGACGATCCTTCACGCGTAGGGACGATGACGAGGAGCAGCACTTTCGGATCTACTCTCCAGTCTGCCTACTCTCGAGTGCATCAACTCGCCTCCGCCGTACGAGCCGTCTTTGACCGGCTCCACCTCCGCATCCGCGAAGCTTGCCCTTACCGCTAATCGACCTTACCCCGCCTTCTTCCTCTACTAATCTAGTGTCCGTCGATCAATTTGTCGAGGGACGATGAAGAAGCGCTGAGCGCACCCAGTCGCTTCGAAAGCGATGACGAGGAAGAGTGTGGAGGTGGTCGTGGAGGGGCAGAAGCTCACGCTGCGGTTCGGGATGCAGGGGACAAACGGCTCCGGCGGCCACAGCGACGCGGGGTATGCGAAGACGCTGCTGGTGAACAAGACGCGACAATGAGGACAGGTTGGCGGCGCTGAGGGATGCACTTGGTTGCTGTGTCTATCGAGAGCGGCGGGTGACTAATTTCTTTTCCACGAGGGGAGTTGCTGTTTTCTCGGGTTCCGTTGTTCTGATACGAAGGGGCGTTGCTTCTCGAGTGACGGCGCGTGTAGTTTAAGTGGTACTTACGGGAAACCGCATCTTTGATCTCCTCGATCCTAAGGTTGCTTTTGCAAAGGTGAGTTTGTGTTCGAAGACTAGCTTCCTGGTAGACCTGCGGGTTGTCCCTCCCCGTGGGTGCACCGCGACGATGGGCGCGATTTGTTGACCTCTGTGGGTGATGTGATGCTGGGCGCGTTGATGCATTATACAGAGACAGCGATATCTTTATAACCTCGAATATTACTAGACCATCTACCTGAAAAAAACATGATGTCTAGACCAATCTTTTCAAGTCAATCTCGCGACTGCTTTACTTTATGCATTCGTCTCTTGCATTGTGTGAAATGCGGCGATGCTTGTCCTGGTGTTTGTATAGCTGCTGCCATCGAAGGGCATTTCTACGTGACCTCCACCTAGATAAATGGAATCCTTTAAGAATGAAGCTTCCAGACCACTCACTCCATTGGTCTTTTCTGGCAACGTTCAAATACCCAGCGTGAAGTGACTTGCCTCTTCTTCATAGCCGTACCCACGTTTTGCAAGCAGGGTGAAGACGATTGCGCGATCCAGGAGCAGCAACAAGTTTCTGTTCCTCTCGTCTACAATGGCATCTACTATGATGGAATGTCAAAGGGGACGAGCAGCGCACAGAGGCGCCGACGCCTTGGATACTGACCCTTTGCCCTACAGTTGATTCCGTGGTGGGAGCTCATCTAGCTCCGGTATCTCGGTGTCCCGCGCGAGCTGGCATTGCGGAATAACGCTGGCAACGGACAGTGGCTCTTCGACTGCTCCAAGACAATACCCTTGCTCTTGATGGTCGGAGAGGGGATGTGCTGAACCCCTTCTGCCTTTCTTGCTGTTATCGGCGGCTAGCTCGGTCGCCGTGAGCTTCATCTGGCTTACGGGCTTGATGAATTGACCTCTTGGGGTAAAGTCGTCCTGCCATTAACAGTGTCGCTAGGTGGTCATGGAATCTTCGATTAGTGGAAGAGAGAGCGTGGCGTATCACGCTGGGAAAGGGGGATGAACGATATTGGATGGGGTGAAAGAGGTCAGCAGGGATGAGTAGGGCGGTGGACGAGTTGTCACGTATTCTGATATATACCTGCGTGATGGCATGATCACGGATGAGGTCTCGAGAGGTTTTCTATCTGCTTTGTCTTGAGATGGGTGTTCATCTTTTTCATATTATTGGGTTCATGCCAGATCAAGGCCTCACAGAGTTCTCCGCCGGGAACGGGGAGCCCGGCCGTGTCGAGGTCCGGTTCTCAGTAGGTAGCTGATGGCCGACGAACGCTCTGATCAAGACATATCCCTTGATTGAAGTAAGAAAGCCGGGAGACTTCAGCAGATTCCGGGAAGATTGAGAGCTGCCCTCATGATTCTGATGGGACTGAACTGGCTGCATTGCTGTGAGGAAAGGGCGATGCCTCCTCTGCCGCTGTCTCAGTCGTACCTCGGGATGGGTGTCCAAGGCTGTCCTGGCATCGGATCTTAAGACTCAGGAGACCATAACACCATGGATAACCAATAGGTCTTGCAATTTACCCTATACATTGTGTTGTGCAGAGGACTATTGGGTTTGCGATGGGCATATCAGAAAGACGGCCTTGAAACCGGCCATAACTTCTGACAGACAAATTTCCAGGATGTTCCGCTTCAACTCTCACCACGAGGCGCCCCTGAAGGAGATGCTCTAGCTCCGAACGTCCATGCTCGGCATATCTCTATGACTGCAGCGTATCTATTCCACAATGTGGCCTCCTTGATTGTTGCTCGGCTCGGGCGATTTCGACCGATGCTTACTTGTAAAATAAAGTACCGCCAAGGCAACCTATTGCTCTTCTATAAGATAAGAGGATATTATGGATGCTCCACGAAGCCTTGGCAACCCAGAATCAAGCGTGGCGACCTGCTCGGGCTGCCCAGTTGAGCTCGCCGTCGAGTCTGCCTGACGATAAGCCCCGTCCACCTCGTCGAACCGGAGAAATGCCGACTATCAAGACTGTGAAAACGGGGCATCAAAGACATGCGCATTTCCTTGGACGACGTATAATCCGCAAGTTCAAGGTCAGATTGCTGACGGCTCGGTAGTCGCCCGGTGAGTCGGTCAGCAGCCGAGACGCCCATGTAAGCCGGGCTAACGTTGGTCCTAGAATATCGTCAGTGTACGTCTTGATTGGCTTAGCTTATAACTTTATTAGATTGCTGGATTGGTTCATGTTGAAGAGACTTACTCCTTTAAACGGACGTCCCCGTTGTCATGTTTGATTACTTGGATTGCTTCCTGACGCCGGTATTACTTGTACGTTCATGTCGTGCTTTGTGTAAATTTGAAGTAAATCGTCAACGACTTCAGTGAATACCCAGAGTCCCCATGGTGCGTTCAAAAACATCCTTCAGCAGATGCCAGGCCCAACTCGACGGCACCAGGCCTACCAAAAGTCGATGATGGGGAAGACGAGGCACGAAGAGAAAGCCACGGTGTCTCCTAGACGCTGGTAGGTATGGACAGGTATATCACACAGAAGGAGCCTATCCAGCCGTGACGTTTTTTGTCTCACGGACCCGGTTGAAGTCGTCGACGTCGTCCCACGGAGAAAAGCGGTGTCACACTTTCCCTTCCTTTGCACACAGCGAGTCGTCGAGAGTATGTGTACATGTGCTTCAATCGAATTTCAACCCCGAATAACCTAAGGCTGATATAACGGACCTAGAGGGACGACGAATTCTGCCACACCTAGAGCCGTGATTTCTGGTCCCGTCGATTTGAGAGCTATATCGCCAACGTCTCCAGGTCCAACATTCAGCTACTAGTCGTCAAAGCCAACGAAGTCCCCGAGATCAGAACCGAGCTTGATCGACGAAATCGTGGAATTGATCATGGGCATCATCTAAGCGACCCAATGAGGCTTTCTTTGTCCAGCATAGCCACGCCGGCCCGGCACCGAGCGATTGCCGACCCCGCGGCATCGACGTTGGTGAATCTCATTATATATGACCCTGGAGATAAGTGAACGCCAGAGGAGTGGAGGTGGCCACGACAAGCATGATTCATTGGGATTCAAACGCACAAAATGAGGCCAATTCCTCACGAGAGCAATCACTGGCCAGTGTTGCTGAATCGACGTGACGGTGAGATGAGAATGCCGGGATAGAATGACCGAATTGGCCTCACCTCGAGACGCATAACACGACGTCAAGAAAAGACATTGGAAAAAGACGAGACTGAGCTTGCTCAATGGGGTATAGTATTCTTCCACTAAGTCATAAATGAATGGTTGGGTATTCTTTCATCCTTCAAATCGTTACATCCGCTGATTATAACACCGTTTCTAGGTACGTGTCCACGATGTCTCTAGTCCCCACGTTCTTTTCATCACATCATACATGCGCTGAAATTCGAAACAAAAAGCCACAAGCACAACTTAGTTGTGCAGCACGAAGGAAACCTCCACATCTAGTGGAAGTCTCCAATGCGGGGACCGAAGTACTCGCCCTCTGCAAGAGTAAGCAGACGGCAAGCCTTGCCTTCGCAACCCTGGCTGACCTGTGAGGAGAGGAATGTTAGTAGGGTCTTTTAAGATCAAGTTGGGAACTGGGAAAAAACGTACGACTGAGTTGCCCCACCAGTCGACCTCGATGTCCTGCCATTGAAGGCCGAAGAACATGATGATAGAGGAGATGGCAATACCGCAAGAGAAAGCGGCGGAGAGAACGAAGTTGTACTGAACGTGAGTGTTAGCCTCAGAATGCGAATAGCGGTGGCAGGGAAGCAACTGACCTTGGACCACAGACCCAAGAAGCGGCTCTTGAGGTAGACCCAGGAGAAGTAGGCAATGGGGACGGAGGGCCAGACGAAGGACATGTTGTAGGGGGCCCAGACGAGACCTCCGTACATGATGGCAACTGGGTGGATCTGGCGAACCCACTTCCACTTAGGGAAGAACTTGTTCAAGCTCCAGAAGAAGAGAACGATGGCGACACCGAGGGGGAAGCCGAGGAGGGTGGCAGTGTACTGGCCGCCAGCACCCCAAATCTTCTTGGGACCGACGGTACCCCAAAGGACAGAGGCGGTGAAGAAGGTGTTGATACCAGGGCAGGTCATCTTGAACTTGGCGTCCTCGGTGCAGATACCCGGGATGCTGAACATCTGAAACTTGAGGACGGCGAGACAGACGAGGGTGGACACGAAAGTCGCGACGATCTGAGCCCAGAAGGTGTGGCGAGGGGGGATCTTGACGTAGTGGGCGAGCTTCAAGTCGTTGGAAAACCAGACGGCGTGAGCGCAGGTGACGTAGCCGAAAGACTTGAAGTAGTTCATGGCCAGGGCGTTACCCTCGACCCAGGAACCACCGATGAACTCGGCAAGCACGTTCAGGGTGACCTCGATACCCGTCATGGCCTTGATGATACCGACCGGCACGACGAAGATCATGCAGAGGATGATACCATAGAAGACGACACCGACGGTGGTGTACGTAGGCCAACCAGCGATACCAGCACAGCCCAACGCAATGGCGATGACGAGGACGGTGAGGTAGTGCCATTCGGGGACCTCGGGGTAAGCCTTCATCAGACGGCTGTGGACGTCAAGGACCTGGTCCTTCTCAATGTCGCTGTTCTTCCTGAAGCTACCAATGAGAGCCTTAAAGCCAAGGGCAATCTCGTGACGGTGGTAGAGAGCGGCGTATGTGATTGTGGCGGTGTAGATGGCGAAGAAGAACATGTAGATCATGACATTCGCAGCGCCCAAGAAGGGGGGGGAGTACGCCTCGTACGCCTCCTTGTCGAATAGACCGTGCTCGTTGACGGCGCGCGAGACGTTGTACAGAGCGCCAAAGTGATCGTAGACCTTGTTGGAGTTGATGGGCAGGTATCCGGTGTTGTAGGTGTTGGTGTACCAAACAGCCAAGACGACGAACATGGAGATGAAGGTGCCAAGGAACTTGTTGAAGGTGGAGAAGAAGGGGACCATGAGAGGGTCGGTGTTGTCGTACAACAGGATGTTCCAGTCAAAAGTAGGGAAGGGGTTGAGACCAAGACCACTGTTGAAGCCAGTGATTGTCGCGAGGTTGCGGTTCTTGGGGGCGATCCAGGTCATCCAGCTGAAGGTGGACAGAGCCGTGAACAGGTAGTTGGGGAACCAGAACCAGACGAACATGGCGGCAAAGGTGATGTAGAAGAACTTCTGTCTGCTCCAGCGCCAGATGCTGTTGAAGGGACCATCGACGGTGGAGTTCTTGTCGGTGTGGAAAGCAGAGTTCAAGGCAATGGTGACCAAGGATGCCGGCCACACACAGTACGAGGGGTAGACGAGGAATCTCCTGCAGAGACCCGCAAGACCGTATCCGATGAAGTTGGTCGACAAGGAGATGAGAAGCTGGTAGCCAAAGTTGGCAGCGTAGCTCTGGTTGAAGAACTTGGGCAGCCACTGCGTCCAGATGATGTAGTTGGTGTAGGGGATGTTGTAGGCGACATTGGCCATGATGGTGATGAGCATGTGCTCCTTGCGGTTGAACGGGCCGGGGTTCAGCGAGTAACGGTGGCCGGCGACGGTGAATCCAACATCGGGGAGGGACTTCTCCCACAGCTTACCCAGGGGGTAGGCGAGCAACTGAGCAACGTTGGCCAGAATGGTGATGGACGGGTAGCGGACCGAGAAGAGTTGGTTGACGAAGGCGAGCAGAGCAGAGAAGACGAGACCGATAACCCAGGCGCGGAGGGTCGAACTGGGCATGGTGGGGTCGTCGTGGTTGTCGACGACGGCGCGGACCTCGGCGTAGGGCGAGTTTCCGGTGATGAGTGCGGCCTCGAGCTTCATCTCCTGAATGAGAGTTTCGTGCTTCTCGGGGTTCTCAAAGACATCGTCGTTGTGGAGGAAGTCCTCAATCTTCTCGATAATGGCGAGGGGGAAGTTGGGATCCTTCTCGTGGATCTTGTGGACGTTGAACATCATCTCGCGGACCTCCTCGAGGGACATCTGCGAGGCGAGCTCCTTGGCCTCGAGCAAATCATCCTCGGTGACGTTGAAGTCGTGCTCAACGTGTTCGTTGTAGTCGGCCCCATCGGGGTGGGCATCGACGATCTGATGGAAGGCATCAGCGTATGGTTCATCAATGGAGAGGTATGTTGATGCTCGTCGACATCCAGGACCAACTTACAGGAGCAGTCTTTTCGGTCGAGACCTTCTCGTTCGAGACCACACCGCCCTGGTGGACGGGGGCCCGTTCTTCACGAATGTCGGACATTTTGATGCACTGGGTCAGTATTCTTCACCTTGAAAAGGTTGTAGAAGCTTGATTCGGTTGACCCGTGGACGCTTGGGCTGGAAAGTTGCCAGTGACCGAGAAAGAGACGAGAGGCGGGTGGAGGGAACCGAGGACATCTCGACCTTTTAATATCCAAGAGCCACGAGGCGGCCATCCTTGTCAGACGCCGGATGCTTATCGACGGTGGAGCCAAGGGTTCCCAACGGCCTGGCAACGAACGGACACGACGGTGGTCCCAGTTTCGCCACGAGACGATCCCGAGGATACAGGTAACGGCAGAGATCCCCCATGCGCCTAACATAGATGAGAGGCCGAGATGGCGCTGGGCCAGTCGATCCAGTGAGCTTCCCCTTTCTGGAACCAGAGTTGAGGTGGCAGGGATGATCATGTTCAGGGCTGGACTTCCAGCCCGTCACCCTCCCTCCTATGCTTGTGCGTCCGGAGACCCCAGTGCAACCCTTGTGACAGGGAGGTCTACCTTCTGCATTGCGACAAGTCCGATATCAAAGGTTCTGGGACGCGGTAGGAAGGGATCGGTCTGCATTCGCACTATAGCCGCATTGGGCGCAATCTGCCGGGGGCCGGCTGCAATGAAAGAATAGGATGAGATGAGAGGTTGTGAGACGATGACATGGAGGAAGTGAGAAAGACCAACAAGAGAGAATCACAGCGTCTATCCCAGTACGTAAGAGACACAAACTTCCTTCGAACGAGCCATACGCCTGAGATGTCGTTCTAACATGCCGGTCCAGTTCGTCTTTTTTTCTACTTTCTTCTCCCTTGGTGTCCTTCAGACTCCAGTTTCCTAGTCGTGGGCCGATGGGCGGAAAGGAAAACCCCACCTCCTCCCACTCCTCCTCCCGGCCACCCACCGGGGTCCAGTTGCGTTCGGCACCCACTGACCCAGGAACCCACAGCGCGGATGGACCTCCAGAGATGAGGGATCCTGGTGTGCCTGGCTACGAGGAGAACATGCTCACCAGCTGCTGGACTTTCCCATGGACCAGACAGGGCGGCCAACACGCAGCAAACCGCCTATTTGGGAGGTCAAGTGCGCTTCCGCTGGTGATGCCAAGCAGTTGGGCCCTCGAGTGGCTTGATCCAGTATGGCAGGTCCAAGATATCAATAGCGGGGAGACCTCTTTTGGGGACTTTTTGAACGTGAGCGAATGCGGCTGCAGTCTTTGCGAGATCCAGGTCTGCCAATGGTGCGGAGTATCTTGGACGTTGGGCCCTCTGCGAATCCGCGCCCCGTCGTAATCGCGATGGCTTCATCGTGGTGCGACACACCAGCTTACAGAAGGAGGGAGCAGCCATTGTCTCACTCGCTTTGGTCGATCAAGTCTCTGATGGATAGTGTTGGTACGCAGTTTTTACGCCGTGTAGAGACATTTGATCCATGTTGCCCCCCCATCAATGTCCAATCTCAGGCTCTGAGCAGGCAATATGGCAGTGGCGGGGGGATGCTGGTGGCAAGGCGAGTGACCGACTCCGTATACGAATACCAATCCGGGGATCCCTCTCGGCATTGGCCGTGCACTGTCGCGTGTGAAAGTGTTACCCTTTCACTGTGCTCCCGCCAAGAAGCATATTTGGTGGAACTGGCATGTGGGAGGGAGCCGCTCCGGAAGAATGAAGAATGAAACTCTGTGCGGTGGTTCAAATGAGCACACGATAAGACGTGAGGGCCGGGGTGGAGAGGCATCCCATCCATCAGCCTGGGTTTCCATCGTGAGAGCATCGATCAATCGATCTTGTCTCTATGGAGTATCGAGACATACATAACCGTATCCATACCTTTGCTTCGGATTCTACGAATTGGCTCTCGGTCGTACAGCTTATCACTGGTTACATTGCTGCGCCGCTTCGCTTCCCTCAGCTGGTGAGCACAACAATGCAAATGCAGAAGCACCTCACTAAAGCACGAAGAGACGAGCTAGTCGGAAGCCACGACGTTACACTACAACATTCCAGCGGTGTTTGCCGCAGCGAGGCGAGAGCGGGAGGCACCGTCAAAACGGCGTCGAAGAAGCACGGAAGGTTGGTGGAAAACGGTTAATTCGTCCCCTAGAGTCTACATAGTTGGATGGTGTGGATGGCTAGCACTGGCTGTTCTTGTTGGAGGGCGACTTGATAGCCCTCGGTCCTTTTTGCTGCTTCTCCCCCTTCACCCATTGACGCGCTAGTCGACGGCATAGACGACTCGAGGCGCTCGGCAGCTCGCAGTGATGGCTGAAGAAGGATATGATCGAAGGACCCTGGACGTGGCGTCCCTCTCCCAAGAAACCCCAAGAGCCCCCAAGCTTTGCCCAAGCCCGTTGCCCAAGACTTTCACGACATCCCCCCAGGTCTCCCAAGAGCGTCCAAGACGTCCAAGACCTGCCATCAAGAAGGACAAGAAAAATCAAGAGATCTTGCCCGAAAGCTTGTCACCATCCGGGGAAATACACACCATTTCTGCAGCCTACAAAAGAGGCGCTGAAGCTATCAGAGCCTCACGCCTATTCAACATCAGAGTTGACTCTCGAGTCTTGTGAGTGAGGCAGAGAGTATTGAAGTTGTGCCCCCATCCCAACAATGCAGCCCTGTTCCGCTACGGAGACCAACCCCTGTCTGTCCCTTCTCCCCTCTCTCTCCACCAGCCCGTCTCTCCAACTCTTATCAGCCAGATGGACGGAGGATTTGCAACCGGATTGACCATTCAAAAGCCGTGGACAAAGAGGAGTCGTATCATCCAACCAGCCACAAGGTGGCAAGTTGATTAATCTGTGTTCAGAGCTTCGGCCAGTTGGGCGGGGGGGCGGAGGGACGCAGAACACTGCTTCTGGAGGAACTTTTTGACGGCCACTATCCATGCTCGAACCAGACTGGCGCCAAACATCGGCAGCTTATTAGATGGATCAAGCAACGCGTCCTATCAGTCATCCCTGTCAGTCTTCTGCCGTAGGATTGGCTAGCCATTCCGTGCGATTTGGGCCAGATTGCTGTCGATTGTGTGGTCTATACCCTACGCAGTACGGAAATACTAACAAGCATTCAACATTGCACTCACGGATGTTTCTTTACACTTACTCTTCCCAAGTCGCTCGCCGACAATGAGCACTTCACATCTCGATTCCAGATGAACGTCGGACTTGCGTCGGATACGGTACAAACCTCATAGATGTTCGCCGTTAGGATTGCCGGTGCGGAACTCCCTCCGGAACATGATGCTTTCGCGCCAGCTTACGAGCCGATGATAAGCCCTCGAAATCACAGCCGGCCGCGGCGTTTGCCCTGTGACATTGAAGTCTTGGCTTGCAGGGACGAGCCACCCGCCATTTCCAAAACCGCACACGCACGACAGGCCAACAGCTTTTCCGTCCGTTGCTTTGTCGTTCGCGCAAGAGTACATTCCCGACCGGCACTGGTCTTCTTTCGGCAGGTCAAAAACCGACGCTGCGATTGGGTACACCACACGTTGCGAACTTGATGTTGTATCAAGGATGCTGGCCAACCCGACATGGTGTAATTCCCTCCACTGTTATCGCAATAGGCGCGTGATCCCTTATCATTCATTATGTGCTCAAAACCAAAGCAGGCACTTTGTTAAGCGTGCCAAGAGACGTCAGGGACGTTTGTGCGGCGCGACTCCGCGCGCTGGGCCATCGCGAGCCATATCCTGGGTTCCATTTCTTGCTCTTCGGGCGGCGTGGCGGCAGATGTGGCAGCCCGTGAATAAGTCGTGAAATACACGAATAGCTTGCATCCTCATAGTCGAAAGGGTCAGTCATGCGCCAGGGCGATTGTTAAGAAGCTTCCGTATTCGATGTGAGTTCGAAATGGTCTCTTGGCGCAAACCAAGCCAATGACTCGCCTTTAGCCTTTAGTCTAGATGGCTTTTTGAACAACAATAATCGAAGGTGACTTTTACTTTCCCTTGATAAATTACATTCGTGACGTTCGTCTGCATATCCGTGTTGTAGAGACTTAAACTACACTTCTCCCAAGACCCACGATGCGTAGACCACTGCAGAATCCTCGGTTCGCGGCAACTTGGCTTTCTCCTTGGCGATGCCAATGCTTCGTATGGGCGCATCTTGCCGTCTTGGAAAAGTCTTGGAAGATATTTCGCTGGGCGAGCTGAGGAATCGCCGCAGACCTTTTGCGCCTGGAGTCGACAGACATACATCGTGCGGAATCGCCAGGGTCGTTTGGCTCTAGGGTCATCCGCAGCGGTCCCCTGGCTCGGTCTGTTCTTGGCCTGCGGAGTGCCAGAGAGGTATGTTGGAACTTGGATGCTTTCTACAAATGATGCGGCGCCTTGGCAGCGGGCGCAGGCCCAGAAGTGGTCATCGTGCCGCTTCATCGCTCAGCTACGTACAAGTCAAGGGGCCTCGAAGAGAGGGCTGGAACCGCATGCCGGTGACTTTCGGCTGCAATATCACTTCCATCTCAGGACAAAGACAAACCCAGAGTGAATGTATCCGACAGCTCGGTGATGACACTCAACCGGTGATACCCTATCGCGAGCCATCCAAAGGTAAGATCGCCAAGGCTTGAGGATCGTTTGCTAGTTCTCACGGGTCGCCATGCCATTGTTCTCCTGAGTATTGCAATGCAAAGTTGGAAGCTCACTCACCGTTGGGGGGGCCGAGCCTGACCCCCTTCAGTTTGGATAGCAATACAACGTACCATCTCAACTAAGAAGGTGCTTTGCCACGCCAACCGTGAATGAGTGCTGAGGCACCTTGGCATAAGCTATCATGTCAAGCAGGGACTTGCCGTAGCCAGGCTACAGGATTCTGGTACCAGGACCAGACCTTCGTGGACTGCGAGACGGCTTTAGATGGTATCCGCTGCACCCATGAAGACGCAGTATATCGATGATCTTGCGCCTTATGGTGAGCTCTCGCTTCGATCTACACACCTCTTCCGCCTTCCTGCACTTGCCAATTGCGCCGTAAAGGACGGTTCATCCGATATGAAGGATTGGGACTTGAGTAGATAAATCATGGCTTGGGATTCACCGTTATCTCTTAACCTTCGAGGTAGATGTCATGATACTCAGTTCCTCCTTCGTGGATTACGGCTTGCCACCATACCAGCTCGCTACAGCATCCTGACGCCACCACTTGCCAGACATAATGATGGACTGCCTGCGGTCGAGGCGTTCACAAGCGGGCGTTGTTGGAACTGACAAATCAATACAGAAGTGAGACTGTCAACTCACTACTCTATGTAGACCAGAATACCCATGAAATGACCAAAGATGATACGAGATATCTAAGCGAGACCCATTCACCCAATACACCAAATCGGAAATGCAGCAAGAAAAACAGGCAGACTGACACCAGAAACTATTGCATCCGAGACGACTGCATCAATCAGCAATTAGACTTTCTGCATACGACCCAACATGTTCCCCAGGTAATGCCAAGTCCCAGGCTGACGGGGCAAAAGGGCCCGGAAGGAAGCGAGGTCCTTATCGCGAGTCCTACTGCATGGAGCGAAGGATCGAGCGCACCCCGGCAAAGTCCAATTCCTGTAGAGTCTCCTCCCACAATTGCTCTCGAGCGGTCTTGCCCTGTGGTGTATAGATGATGTTGGCAAAGCTTTGTCAGCGAGCAGTTAGCGAGGTCCATCGATGAAAGGGCGTGGGCAGTCAGCACTTACGGAAAGATTTTCCAGTCCATCAAGTAGCTTCCATGAGTCTCTTCTCCTCTAACGACAGCGGCATCAAGGTATGTTGACGCTCCGACATCGAGGGTTCTCCCCGTCAAGCTCTTTCCCACTTCCGCTATCGTTTTGATAAGACTGCCGACGTGGCGGTGAAGTCCTGATCCTTTACAGAGACCCGGGTCGACGAGGTTGACGACGACATCTTCCCTTCGGACATGTTGGGCGAGCTTGATGATGAAGAGGTGACCCAAGAGCTTCGACGTCGAATACCGATCGGTGGCATTAAAAGTCTTCTCGTCGTCGAATGCCGCTATCATGGGAACTTTGTCCTGCTCCGGGAACTTGGCCATAAAGGCAGTGCCAGAGTTGACGATTGTCAATCTGCTTGGCTGATCTGAAGCTTTCTTGGACTTCAAGACTGGCAAAAGAAGGATGGCGAGAAGGGCAGTCGACAGGTAGTTCACTTGGAAGACCTGCTCATGGCCTGCTGGCGAGAGCCTGAAGTCTTCCTGAACCATGCCAGCATTCAAGATGACGTAGTCGATCCGGGGCAAGTTGGAACAGCGGTTGGCAAAGTCCTGGATGGACTTGTATGAGAGCATGTCTAGAGACCAGACCTCGACCGTAGCGTCGGGATGACTTTCTCTCAGGATATTCGCGGCAGCCTCTCCTCTTTCAGCGGATCGAACGGCGATGATGAGGTGTGAGAGATTGTGATCGAGCAGCTGGCGTGCGGCAGTGAAGCCCAGCCCAATGTTGGCTCCAGAAACGATAGCCGTCTTCCCGGAGAGGGAGAGGTCCTTTGGTGGTGTCCGGACTGTGGCACAGAACTGGGAGTTGATGAATAGTCTGCCTGGCCCCATGGTGAGAGGAGTGAGTTCAAGTGAGCTCGTCATGATGAGTTGTGAGGTGATGTGAGAAGAAGTAAGGTGTTGTGGTTGTTGCGGTTGTTGATGTGATTGCATTGATCTGTACAGAGCAGTATGTTGGAATTCATCGTCGAATTCGTGCTGAATATATAGCTTTCAAGCTATCTGGGGTATGACCAGCTTCACTTTTGGGATGTAAGGCACTTTGCACTCTTGAACGCGTGTAGACTGCAGGGCAGAGGCACCGAAACGCTAGAGATGGCTGAAGTTGAGGCATCGTGAACGCCTGGTGATGGATTGCTGTCTCAAAAGGGAAGACCGACTGGGTACCTAATATGGGAATCAATCGACGTGAGAAACGGGCCTTGTCCAAGACCGGAAAGCAATCGGTGTGTGGACGGCGTGTTCGGATCCCCCACCAGTGCCTTGGCCCACTAAACCGCCGGATAACACGTGGCGGAGCGGCCGCCAGCGAGCGGGGCTGCGGCCGGAAGGATCGGAGCTAGACCGGAAGAAGGCAACAATCAGTGCTCGGCGAAGGGACTTTGGTCGTCGTGCCGGCTTACTTTGTCGTAGTGAGGGGCGATTAGGTCGGGATAAGGTAAGGTTGCAGGGTAAATCCGACCGTCTTACGCGTGGTTTTCGTTGCCTTTCAACGCTCCGTTACCCATTTCCTCGATTGTTTTCCCCTTTGGGTAAACAGTCCTTCCTCCCTACCGGTCTTCTCACTTCAACCTCAAACCGAGGAGCATCTCAGACCTCGTTTCGGCTGCACCCTTAGCTCCGTCAGGTCTCCATCAAGTCATTGCTGATTACATATGAGAGGGAACTCCACTTGATTATTCACCGGAAGAGGCAGTAGGACCCTTGAGATCCGCTGGGTTGAAGATGGGAAACCAGAAACGGCCTAGTATGATCTCTAATCCATCTACCCATCATCATCATCCACTCTAACGTCGCTATTGCAGCCAGCAAGGGATTTGCCTTTGTCATCACAGATACATCTGGAAAGCCCAAGACAGACGATCGGAAACTCATACGCAGCCATGTCATGCGAGGCAAAAATACACGCCCGTCTCGTGGCGGCCAAAAGCGCTCGACCAAATGGGTCAACCAGACTAGTCCTCAACCCCCACAGGAACCAGAGGAACCACCTGCGCCCAAGTCACTCACTGCTCTCGTTAAAGAGCCGAGAAAGCAAAAGCTCTACAAAATTGCCTGGTACGAGCATGTATTCCGCACACCCAATGACTTGTACATGTTCCAATTTGCCGACGATATTGACGCGGCCTCCCGGGGCATGCTATTCGAATGTGAGCTTGATTCCTGCCCTGGATTTGTCATTATGCTCACCTGGTCATAGTTTACGCCGTTGTTAAAGAGACAATGTACCCCATCGAGTGGTGCCTGCAGTACGACGAGAGCAAGACGCCGTGGTTCTACTGGCTGCTAACAGATGCCGCGTTTCTGCACTCGATTTTATTCACCGTAGGATTGATGAACGACACTGTCAAAGGAGACAACCCAAGCAAGCACACCAACTTCCATATTTGGAAGACACTCCAGCTCTTGAACCAAAACATTGCAGACCAAGACATGGCGTTGGCCGACTCGACCATCGCCACAATTGTGTCCATGTGTATGGTGGCTGAAATTTTCGGACAGCGCGACAATGCCGCCGCACATATCCAAGGCATGCGTCAGATAGTGAAGCTGAGGGGCGGAATCGAAAGTTTCTCTCACAATCTTCAGTTGCAGGTCAAGATCTGCCGGTACGTGTCATTCCTCGATATTTATGCTCAACATCTGACGAAGCAAAGGGTGGACATTGGCTGGAGTTTATGCACCGGCGAGAAGCCGCTCTACTTCCGGGATACCTTCTCGTGGGAGCCTGCTTTTTCCCCTATACTGGGCAAAGTCCCTGTTGGCTCCGAGATTTGCCCTGGTTCTTCAAGCGTACGACTTCTCTTGGACGCGGCCGACAGTCGCTTGGGCAACGTCTTCCAAGATCTCCACGACTTCTCCCGCCTGGCGACCGCGCTGTACCACACCAATCGCAAGATTGACCCGAACCTGTTTCAGGAGTTCATGACTTGCGTTCAATACCGGCTGTTGTACTCGGAGACGACAGCACATAATGCCTTGGCCGAACTGGGTCGCCTTGGGATGATCAGCTACATCACCACCCTCTTTCTCCAGGTACAAGGTGCAAAATTCCAGTTCACCTCCTTGACTACCAAGCTCAGGTCAGCATGCAAGAAATTCGAGATATCAGCCTCGACATGCGCTTCCACGAAGCTACTACTGGCCTGGAGTCTTGTCATCGGTGCCATATCCGTCTTTGAAGAGGAGGACGATCGTTGGCTTTTGCCAAAGTTGGCCAATCTGCGAGACTCTCTGGGACCTACATGGCCCGAAGCCAAGGCCAAGCTCGAGAATGTCATTTGGACCGAAAATGTCCATGATTCTGCCGGTATCAAGGTTTTCGAAAAGCTAGTGCTGCACGTCGCCAGAATTCCGAGAGCTAGCGCATAATGCTGATCCCGAGACGCAAGCACATGCCACTTGAACAGAAGTCGGCGAGCTTCACTCCGGCTGGCTAGGTGTCTGGGATCCGTTGAGGTCTAATGCAGACAATGTGAAGCGATTGGAGGCCGTCGATTGCCAATCTACCACGTCAAAACCGTCACGTTGAATCCAGGAGTTGAATATACCGACCTTCTTCCACCACCCAGTCCAGAATCCATCATCGGTCTCAAGCGTATCTCGAGCCGCATATTACACAACTCACGATTTTGAGCTACTAGTAATGCCAAGCCCAGCCTATTGTTACCCCTCTCGACTATTTACAGCTCAAGACCTCGACCTATCACGATGGTTCCTTGATTCTGGATTCTTCGGGAAGCATATCAAATTGACAAGAGATTGACAACTCTTCAACTAATCCGTAGCTATTTCCGACCGCGATGTGGCCAGATGTCCGTCCGTACGCGTCGTGCCATGGGGACTTTCGTCAAGAAACCACACACTGCCCTGCTTCCATCTCACGTCAGCCTAGCCGGCCCCTCCCCTACGGTAGCATGGTTAAAACTCTCGGGTTCCTGTCCAATCGACAGTCACTGTTTGGATTCTGATATGAGATCTGCACGCTTTGGCAGCAGATCCCCTTCCGCGCATGGCATGTACGGGACATATATAAGCTCCATTGTGACCTCAAGCTTCGCAATGTCAATCAACGTTACATATCGAGAATCCAACTACAATGGCATCACTTGAGGCTTCACCAGAATTCCGGGGGTCTCACCCCACAGCATCGACGCTGGAGCAGATTGCTGCAGATGCACCCAAGCTGAAAAGCCTCATGACGAACTTCCCCAATCTTCTGGTATACACGAACTCGGCCGAGAAGTACGAGGAAGTTAGAAGCTTCTTCAACGCGAACATGACTCAACAGCCTTTCGCGGTCATCCGGCCGAGAACCGAAGCCGAAAGTGTTGCCATCATCAAGGAGCTGAAAGCTCAAGACATCCCATTCGGCCTCCGGAGTGGTGGGCACGACTTGACATTCGGGCAGGCACAGGGGAAAGACGGCGTCATCGTGGACCTGAGAAGCCTCGACAGCATCGTCATCGCCGAAGACAAAAAGTCCGTCCGCGTTGGCGGCGGCATCCTGGGCATCAAACTCGCGCACTTTCTGCAGCAGCACAAGCTCGTCACCCCCCACGGCTGGTGTCCGACTGTTAGCATCGCTGGCTGGGCCATGGGCGGTGGTTACGGATACACGAGCGCTTACCATGGTCTTGGTGCGGACCAAATCCTCGGTGCGCGTGTGGTTCTCGCGAATGGCGACATTGTCGACACGGACGATCATCCTGAGTTGCTCTGGGCTCTTTGCGGCGCTGGCAACGGCAACTTTGGTGTTGTAGTCGAGCTGCAGCTCAAGGTGTATCCCCAAACGGGCTTCTTGGCGGGCTTTCTCGGATTTCCCAATGATCAGGTTGGCGAAGTGTTGAAGAAATTTGGTGAATTTGAGAGGGATTTGCCTGTCAACTTCACTGGCGAAGCTACTCACATGGCTCTTCCCGGCGTTGGTCCCGTATTTGCCTGGCTGTTTGCTTGGACGTCTGAGAACGATGATCTGGAAGAGGGTTGGGCTTTCTTTGAGAAGATGAAGTCTCTTGGTACGCCAGTTCTCAACACGGTGGCAGAAGGTATGTACCACAGTCCCCCAATACAGACCACAATAACTTATCTGGCCTGCAGTGGACGACTTTACGTTTTTCGATGCAATCCCCTCGCCGACTAATGTCCACTGGTATCCTCGACTGAGGATGTTCGAATATTTCACTCCAGGAATAGCCAGTGCGTTCGGCAACAATTCACCACCGGGTGCAACCTCGGCTACTGTTATCCATGCCGCTCATGGTCGAGCCATCGAGGCGAACCCGTCAGTATGCTACCCTCTGCGCAAGAGGCATCGCATAGCAGCTCCCTCGGGTGGTGTCATCGACACCACCGCACAGGCGGCGGAATATGAAGAGTATAAGAAATGGGCGGATGATTTGGTCAACTCCCTCTCAGAACACGGCCAAATGCTTCCATACGGGAACCGTAACCTGGGGCCTGACAGGGACATGGACTGGGTATCAACATATGGCGAGGACACCCTATCAAGGCTCAGGGAGATCAAGCAGAAGTTCGACCCGGAAAATGTCTTCAAAACGGGGTATCCGAAGTTAGCATAAGTTGAGATTACGGTGCGACTTGAAGCTACCACATACGAATAGCGTTGGTGTTGGTCGTACGGTTGGTCATGATTGTTGAACGAAATATAGTAGGCGAATGTCACATACCTAGGCCTCTTGCTACAACCAACGAATTGACAACTAGTTTGACTGCGGCGCATTGCTTTCCGAGGCGGCAGACAGTTCGGCCAGCCACCCGAAGTCCCTGATGCCCCAAAAGAATTAAACGCCGTCGTTCAAGTCTTTCTCTTGTCAGCTTATTACACGATTAAGCGAATCATAAGCCAAGGGGCAAACCTCATTCCCCAAAATTGTCAATCTGACCGGCCATTATCATGGCTGGTTCTTTACCGCCTCAAGTATCCACAGAGACGACTTTGAGCAACGTAAACTTTGCTATGAAGCAAGCAAGCTAGCCATCTGACGATCTACTGCATGCGATTGTATCAAGAGCCATGTATATGTAAGCCTGTCCTAAACTCCGATTCGTCATGATTTCATATTGTGTCCAACTCATAGTCGAGAGTGGACTTTGGGCCTCGAGTCGCATAGTAAATGCAAATAATTACAATCGCCGTGTCAAGAACACCACTGAATTGCAGCCAAGTCTCATTCAGCTGGATCGAGAACAATAGAAGCGTAGTGGCAGGTTCCCAACTTTCCTTGCGACGGTCATTAAAACCGTTGTCACGAGTCTTCTGTTTCTGGTGCCAACCAAACAAAGCCGCAGATAGCGCATGACTTAACATAGCATGCATCTGTTTTCGGCGAAAAGAGCGACAAAAGAACGACACCAGCCGAGCTTGGAGAAAAATTTGCAAGTAGAAGCTGGATCGGACCATCGTGATTGCCTCTGATGGCGTTCGTTTCTATCGTATCGATGGCCGGACCTGGTTAGGGGTTGGATATCAATGGTCAGTCCGTTCAAGTCCAAGATGGCTCAGACGCTGGCGTCGGGACACAATCCCAAAAGAGCGAGCCGCAGGACGCGGGATCAGATAAAGCATGATTCAATATTTAGAGGCGCCTACGAACAGCGTGCACGGTAGAAGTGAGGTGGATTCGGTAACGATTTGAGGTTGAGGTACAAGTGCCAGAGATTGCTAGAGGGAGCTTGAAAAGATTAGAACTTTTGTTTCTATCAAAGGGAGCGCTATGCAGTCGCTACCCTGTAGCACCTGTCCTCACAGAACACAATCCGACATCAAAATGTCAGACCAGCTACAGCATCACAGGTGCACGGCTCAAGCAGACAGGCTTTGCACTACCGGTACATTGCGCGAAAATAGCTACAAGTGCGGATGGCCTTTTGCTGTAAATGGTTAAAGTTTGAAGAGCAGTGCGGGATAAGCTAGGTAGAAGCATCTCCAAACCCCTCACTTCTGGGGCTAGTCTGATAGTCGGGTGAAACTTGTGCGGAATAGGCCGACCGGCCCGGACGGAGGACCATCTGCGGTTCGAGTTTTCGGCTCTAGCTTATTCCCTTGTGACTGTACGCTAGAGACTTGCAGTAGGATAGTGATACATGAAGCCAATCAGCTGACGGTGGGTTGGCCATAAGGGAATGTCAAGAAGAGGCAATGGCCCCAGTTCTAAGTGGCATGATTGAGCAGTTGCTCTGCTCGTTAACTCGTGAGGGTCAACTGCGCCACACCTCCCTCCTGTTAGGCGCGGGATGGAATGAGTGGCACGGGTGGAAGAAATTGGAGAGGGACGAGGACAGAAACTTCAATGTCTGTGGAGATTGTGCCCCGAAGAAGATGATAACTCATGCGCTAAACTAGCGTCGAGTGGTGGTCCATAGATGTGATCGCTAAGCAGAATGGGATTCTGTCAAATCGAGATCAGGAATTCCATCGGAGTTTACAGGGTCATAGATCATCTTTGCTCCTGAAAGGCTCGTTCATTGGAGCGTAATGCACCACGGACACGTCGGCAAGCCATAAAGATAGGACGATGCAGTCCCAGGATTCCAGAACTCGAATAGTAACTGACAATGTGATTGACCTAGGAACCGTCGGGATGGGGGCGTGGAGAAGAACCCCCGTCTTCCAACGAAAGGCCTCTCAATGAAGCAACTCAGTGATGACGCAATGGTGGAGGATCGCCAACAGTCCAGAGATTTCAAGGGCTATTTGACGCTCGCCTGCTCGTGGCTGCTACGGCACATGTAAGATCAAAGCCTGTTTAACCTGCCTCGCGGGGTCGAAACTGTGGCTCGTCGTCGCGTCCAAGCCGGGGTCCCGAGGCACACTAGCACACTCCTCCTTGCGAGTTCGCCACTTCAAGGCAAGCCACATTTCCGATTTGCTTCCTCTGGGAATTGTCCAATGGCATACTTCGGACACTCGGGATGGTAGATCAAAGTGGCACGGTGGGTATGCCACGGGAATGATTGAGCATGGACAGCGAGCGGAGGTTTCGAGGGGAAGAGAATAAGAGGGAGATTCCATCTTGATTAGTGGATTGCAAGGGCCCTACTAGCCAAGCACAGGCAAGCAGTTCCTGGTCGACCCGACACGCCTCTGATCGAAAGCTAGCCATTGAGACATGTATATTCGTTCAATACCTAGGGAAACAACCCCGTTGGCTGAGATTCAACCCGCACAACTCCCAAGCCCGGAGGAAAGCTCCGGCTCCCCCCTGCGTTACAAACGAAAGCAGGTTACGGAAATCGTGTAGGATAGTGGCGCTCCGTCATCGTACATATTGACATCACAAACACATCCCCTTATTTTCTCTACCCCATCGTTCCTGGCCAACACATAGGCACCTAGGGTTCGTTGAAGCCGGCTCCCTTCGTGCTAGCAGTATGTTGGTATAGCCGAGCCAAGCCAGGAGGGACGGGAATCTGCACACTACCTAGACGCTACTTATTCTCATAGTGGCCAACACTCTCTGCATCCCGCACCTCGGCAGCTGTTATGTGACAGCAAGGCTTTAAAAGTCAAGGCTCACGGGAGTCAAGGCCCCTCTTCGACCTTGTTGAGCTCGGCCGAAGCCACCCCGCTAATTAGTCCACGAGCTTTTCAAGAAGCACTCCTCACCCGAAATGCGGTACGCCGATCTTGTTACTGGCACTGGTTCCAGCGTACAGGATCCCTCTTCTTGGCCTGCCGTGTCTTGCCTTGGTGCCGCCGTGCCATGAGGTGCTTGTCCTAATCGGGCCCAGGAACAAGACCACAGACTCTTTGCCCCCCCCCCACCTCGTCTTCCGCGGATTAGTGCTGTGTTCCTTTAAAAGGATCGTAGGACCTCGTCACGAACCCCTTGACGCGGTACGCGTGTGTTTCTCGTTTCTAGCCACTTTCGACTTTCTCCAAAAGATTATTCTTCTTCGCCAAATGACCTCCAGAGGCTGAGTGTCCATCTAATACGCACAATCGATCGGTAACACCAGAGATTACCTTCGTGATACCACCATCGCTTGCTTAAGCTGCTATCTCCAGCCAAGGCTAGCCTAGCCAGTCGAGACAACCCTGCTCTCCCCCTGCTGTCCCCTGCAATAGTCGCATCGCAGCGAAAAGAGAGCTCGAGATGGCATTTCCCGGCAGTGGTGTGAGCCTGCCTCAACAAAGTGGGTTATCCATAAAATATCCTTATGTTTTCAGATTGTGCTCTAACCTCAACATGCAGACCAGGCTTTGAGAAACTTCGAGCAACCTCAATCACAAACACAGCAGCACCAGCAACAGCAACATCCACAACAGACATTTGACAGCAATGATCTACAAGCGGCTCTCGCCTCGCCCCGGGTTCCAACCGCGAATTCTCCTTTTGAAGTAGATCGTCATTCTTCAATATCAACACAAGGTTATGGTCCCCAACCGTGGCAAGATTCTCCTGCCAGCAATCAGGCAGAAGGATTGGTGTCACCAATAAGCTCCGTCATCTCGCCGCACAATAGCATAAAGTCACCGAAATTCCCACCGATTGATCCTCTGATTCTTGATTCCGCAAGCGAAACCAAACCATCTTTACCAATCGAGGCGATAGAATCTCCAAAGCGACGCAGGGGGCGACCGAGGATTTCCGAGCATGATGGACCAGATGCTGTTGCACCAAAGACAGGCACAGAAGCACGGCAGAAAGGCAGCACCCGACGAGCCTCAAACACATCAGTGAGCGGCGCCATCGATACAGGGGACAAACGCAGCGGCGCCGAAGCCAAGAAGAATAAGATCCGCGCACGAAACCGTGAGGCAGCTTACAAGTGCAGAAAGAAGAAGCAAAAGGGAGTCGAGGAGCTACAAACCCAGGAGGCGATGGCCGAAAACATCAACAAGAACCTCAACGACGAGGCTGCGTTGCTCCGAGGCGAGATCCTCATGTTGAAGACCATGGTGCTCCAACACGGTAGCTGTGGGTGCTCCTTTATCGAGGAGTACATTTCCGGCGCGGCGCAAAACTTGGTATCATCGAGCATGGCCGGGGGCGCTTCGGCATCGGCGTCCGGCGGAGGAGGGATACAAATGGATAACCAACCATGTCCAAATGGTGCGAATGAAGGGGAGTCTTTCGTTGACTGGAAGATGTTCGATGCGGATTCGGAACAAGGAATCCCCTCGATGGGCGCAGAACACAGCTAAGAGCTTCTCCGGTCTCGACGATATTACCGCCCATTGCGCGAGGGCATAGTTCCAGATGGAGGAAGTCGCGGTCAGGATGTTTCAGGGACAGGTAAAATTAGATGGAAAAGGCGTTTGGGACAACGTAGAAAAAAGGCTGTTTGCTAAGGCGATCACTCGAGGGAGGGATGAGATTCGGATACCCTATGTACCTCAGCTTGCTAGGCTGTTACTGGTACATGTATTTGACGCTCAAGAAGCTACTGAATTTGGCAGGATTGAATATCTCCATCGTCTCTGTCTGGGAGACAATCATGCGAATGAAGTCAGAAAAGTGATGTCTGTCTACCCACCAATTTGAAAAGAGAGTTCTCCCTAGCGAGTAGGAACAGCCGTCGTGGAAAGTCCCCGGTAAGCTTTGATCTAGCTGCTGTAATAACGTTTCCTCATGTCCCGTAGCGCCTTCATCTTGACTGGCTGATACTCGCCATTTTGAAGAAGATCGTAGTATTCTGAGATTGCGGTGATTGATGTACCTGGCATTGACCGTTCTTTAAGGCTGTTGTGAGGCACTGCCTCCAACTTCACTTCAATCGCCAGTGACAAAATCACCTTGCCGTGTTAATATACTTTCTGTATCTTCACGACTCAGGCTCCTTATCACGTGCTATGCGAAAGCGCACTGTCATTCTTGTCCATCCGTTTAGTCGTTGCTGACATTCATCAGTTCCCGTCGCAATCTCATCTCCTATCGATGGTCAGCCAATTCGTAGGTCATGTTTCACGTACACAGGTGCACACTGTCGAAGAAGCTCCAAATGGTCTCTCGTACATGTGGAATTGAACATGATGGTCAGCTCTTGAGCTGCTGGGAATCGATGGCCTGCCCGAAGTATAGTATGGTCATCGGAGCCATTTCCGAGTGTCCCTGACGTGAACTTATCGGCCTGAAGTCCGTCGTCTTCTTGGCATTCAACATCATCATAGTCTCGCCCGTCTCGGGTTTCTCTGCTGAGACCCGTCTGCATCGTGCCGTGGTGCTGTTAATGGAACACTCGCAGGTCAAAATCGCCACCAACATCTTCCTACCTCTCGACATTGGCCTTAGGCCCAGCGAACGGAGTGAACACGTGCAGTAGTCGCTGATCGTCAGACAGGGTGCTTCCCTCCTTTCAGACTCCATCCATAAACATTTTGGAGAGAAGCGGGGTTTGAACATGGGAATGAGGTGCTCTAAGCTTTCTGGGGAGTCCGTGGTGTTGTGCCTCGAACTTTAAAGCTCATCTCTGGTCGGGGAATCGGCAGCCAGTCGCACTCGCCGGTTCATCAGGTCGCAGCCGCTGTGCCACGACAAATTCCGCAACTCTTCGAAGGCAGCAAAAGTCTGGCCGTATGCCAACTTCATCACTGAAGTGGATGAGAGGCACGCGATAGGTAGGCAAGCCCTGGGGAACACCAGAACGAGAATTGCACAGTCTTTCTCCGAAGATTTGAAGCACAGGGCATTGTCCAATATTTACGAAGAACCGTGTTGGAAATAGGTACACCTTCCGTGCATATTTCCGATGTTGAGCCCTGGAAACTCTGAGAATTGAAGCAGAGGCCAAGCCCATCATCCTTAGGCTTCACAAGAAGACTTCGGCCACATTGGTGTGCGACAAGGGTCGACCATGATAGACACGTCTCGAACGCTCCTAACATCACTAAAACCGGCCGGATTGCGAAATGATTCGCCTTGTGCCGAGCGATTCGCAAGGCAGAGTTCTAGACTGCATGTTTCTGACACCCTGCCGCCGAAGAGGACTAAGTCGCCCTGTGAGTTGAACGCCGGTCGATGCCACTAGGTTTGCCAGGCAGAGAGTATTAAGCGCAAGACTGATCGTAAGGCGTTCGCGACAGACGATGCTCAAGCCATCTCTCGCATCCAACCGCCATGCGACAGTTGAGTAAACATCTAGTTGCTCAAGTGGCGCCAAAATGTCGACGCCGCTCCTTCCGGTATATTTTGAGCTAAGCTGGTCGATCCTGAGTACCATCGGTGCCGCCAACGTTATTCTTGGCTTCCTCATTGTCGGAATCACAACCTTCTCCCAGATAAATGCGGTGCCAATCATATCGTCAGCTGCCGGCGCCATCGCAAACGGGCTTTGCTACTACGCATTCTACGATGAGACTTATTCCCTAAAGAGCAAAGCTGCGGCGTCGGTGTTTGGGGATATCTTCTGGATGGTGAGAACGAAAATCAAGGCTGTTCCGCGCCCTTCACATTAACCTTGCATACAGATCCAGGAAGTGGGCTTGTCCTTCTACAGTTACGTTCTTCTCCGAAGAATTCTAAAGGACTTGGGCTGGAAGATCTTCAACAGCTTGTTCTGGATCATGGTTCTCTCAATCATATCAATACGCATCATGATAGCCGTCTCGCGCGCTAAATTTATCCTGAGAGGCAATACGAACCTGCAGAGCACCGTCAACAACCTACACATCGGTTACTTTGTTCTCATAGCTTCGCTTGAGTGTATCAGCTCCTTTTTCTTGCTCAAGACATTCGCCGAGGTCAAGTCGACGTCCTTGAGAGCAGCTCTAAAGGGAGGTCTGTTCAAATACCTAATGAGAAGCACTGAAGTTCGGCTGGCGACGCTGGCTTTAGTTGGAACAATGCGAGCCGTCACATATTCTTTTCAGATTGCTGCGCAGAGTGCTACGAATGCAGCAAGTCAGATTGACCGCTTCGCATATACACTTGAGTGCCTATTCCCTGTAGTCATGTTGTGAGTAATACACCGATACTCCCACGTCCTGCATAGTGCTGCTAAGTAATATTACCTGAATAGCATTGACATCCTGGCATCTAAACTCGTCTTCACGACACAGGTCTACCACCCTACGCAGCCAAGTCGGCCGCCACTCCGAGGGTTTGCATCGTATCAGAAGCAGAATGATTGGTATGCTGCCACGCAACACAGCGAGAGACTGGTTGAGGTTCGCGGTGGCAGGCGGGCAAGCTCTCAGGAGAACATAATCAGCGCTGGCTCGTCAAGATCCAATATCGGGCTTGACGGGATTGAACCGACGATGCTTGTAGGGATCAACAAAACGGTGGAGATCAGCGTGTTGCACTCAATGCCAGCGAGGCCAGACACCCAGGCGCACTTCTTAACATCTCCGTAGCAGGATCTCAACACCTGGAAACCTACCTGAACTACCTTACCTTTGCCCCGTGGGCGAAGCGATCTCGCAGCACGGCATGACGTAAAGTCTGAAATATATTGATGATACCCTGCACTTCCTTTTTCCTCCTCACTCCCTCAAGCAAATTATATTAGAGTGACAACAGACTTCGTAGAAGCCTGTAGATCTGTCCCAAAGGCTGCTCCGTCCTGGACGAGCATCCCAATTCTCCTCATACAACCCGGTCGATCCTCCGAAGGGACCACAAGTAGCGCTTGAGCACAAGGATCCTTCCGCTCGGGATCAGCCTTGAAAGGAGTGCCATAGGTGAAGGCCAGAACGACAGCACTCAGATCCATTGACCTGAAGAGATTCCCGCTAGCAGCATAGTTCCGGTCCATCGTGTCCAGCATTGCGTAGAAGTCAGTCGCGCCCTTCTCGGTCCTCAGGAGTATGTGTCCTGTCAGGCCTTTGTTGTCGGACACGACCATCTTAACAAGCGGAGCCTCAAGCTTGATCCAGCCGTCTTTAACACGACCAAATGGGTTTTCGCCGTCAATCTCAACCTTTGCCTCAATGATTTCGGCGTGAGGTACACTCTCACCCAAGAATCCCGTCGCAGGCGTACCATCGACAGAGGCCCAGGACCACGACGGAGCGCGGTAACCTCCCGAAGCAGGCTTGCAGCTCAATGGCTGCCAACACAGCCCCTCGATCAAGGAACCTCGCCACAACCCTGCTAAGTACTCGTCGTCGAGAATCTTGCTGAACGTCTTTGCCACGCCGGAGAATGCAGGTAGTTTATCGGCCGGATTCGTCAACTCCCTAGGTCCGTACTCGCACACGAGGTGAGGCCAAGCCTTGAGAGAGGACGCAGAGTGATTGAAATCTTTGTGAAGCTCTGCCTGCTCCTCGGCGCGCTTTTCCACATGGGCAATCACTTCTGGGTCGGGATTGACGCATGGTAGTCGGTGTGGGAGTTTGAGACCTTCTTCGGCCTGGAAACCCTCGAGACATTCCCAGTACATTTGTTCGCTTCCGAAGTGTAGTATTCTTCGGGCAAGAACACGTTCTTGAAAGCCCCAAGCTCTTTTAGTCAGGGGTTCCTCCCTCATTTGCAAGTGGTACTCGTGGATGATTTCTTTGTGGAGAGGTAGAACAGACGCAAGCATGAATGTGTCTTCGTTGCTTGAACTTGCCCAAGGGAGCTTCAAGTACGTCCTTTTCTTTCGAGACGAGAGGAGACCCCCGTTGATGTCTGGAGACTTTGTGGCCGCAAGAGTAAGGTAGGAATTAGAGTAGACTGCTGCCATTTGACCCGACTCTCGCTCCCAGTCTTTGAGATCATCCTGGCAGATGCAGAGACTGTCGATCCAGAGGTACTGGACTCCGAGTTTTCGAGTAATGAAAACTGCATCCTTGAGGGTCTGTGGTAAGGAGTCTAGTAAGAAACCCTCCTTTCGGGCTTGCATTGTTTCGTTTGTTGTGGTGAACTGCTTCAATCCTTGACCCCAGCAGTAGCTTAGAGTAATGTACCGATCGTGGAGATCAGCACCTGGCTCGATGAGTTTAATGACGGGACCGGACTCTAGTGTTCCAACGTCAAGCACACGACTTGGTAGAGATGATATCCCGCGAGTACTACAATACTCATGTTCGTTGCACCTCTCAAGCCAGTCAACAGCTCGGCGGAGTGTCGTCTCGTCCGGAACTTCTCTCAACACGCGAGCAGAAGACCCGGTGGTGCGAGGATCATCTAACTTGCAAATGAGCATTTACACCAAGAATTTTGGGTTGAGAAGGAAGTGGAGAGAAACTCACCTTCATGAGAACTGAAGCCGATAGATGCAATCGGGACCAGCCACTTGTCACTCCCCCACGAGCTTCTATTCACCACCCAGAACCCATCGCCGGACACTTCAGGCTCCGATCGCTTCGTCAGCCACATATCCCAACTGGGCTCGGTCTGCATCAGGCCGCGTCTTGGCTGGGGAAGGCCTTCGATCTCCTCTATCAGTGCATCGGCTTCTTTCTCGATGACCTGACACAGCTCGCAGCCGCCAGAGGCAGCTTGGCGGAGACTCTGCAGGCTTGCATGATATTGAACGCCGAACCTTTGGATGGGCGTGTCTTTCTCAATCAGGTGACTCTTCAATACTAAGTGATGAAATCGCGGGTAGCCGCTTAACGTCTTCATGAAGTTTTCATTTGGGAAGGGAGGGAGATCCTCCCATGAGATGGACCTGCAGAGGTCGCATAGAGGCATGTTGAAGGTATGATTACTTCTCACGATGGAATACAGGCATGTGAAACGAGTTGGATCGAGCAATATCTGAGCGATATGCTATCTCAGTGTTTAAATACCGAGACTCGATCATTTGGAGCAACCTGTTCCGTTCCTTTTTATCTCGATGAAGCCTAAACGTGGCGGACTCGCGGACCATTTGGTTCTGCCTAATGCGCACACGTGAGGAGCAATCTGATGCGTACCAAAAGTCCATTGGACCAATCTTTTGCCGATCGATCCGAGATGCGATTCTCGTGCATTTGGGCTATTTTCTTGATGGAGAGATGACAGAACCGCGGGTTTCGCCGCCCAGCAATCACCGCAGCCAACGATGAAGTCAGTTGAAGCTTTACATAATGTTGTACAAGGCCTGGTTTCTTAACAAAGGGCGCAATCCCGGGAAACTGGAGTCTGGGATTCAAGGTAGTAATACCAGGTAGAGCAGCATACAGTAATTGGCCTCAATCATCCGTGGGACTGGAGAATTAACCCCCAAAAGCGACCCCACGAATCATCATTCAGTCTCAGACCCGTTCTCAATCACAAACAAGGTTAACTTAGTGTTGTCAGCTCGTTGCCTGTCAGCGAATTAGCCAGGGCCCCGGTCTGGCGCTTCAAGTCCCCGCCCATGCTCTCCTTCATCAAGAGGCATTGACACGCTGGAAAGGGACTTTGGTATTTCCGATGCAACCGACCTCTGGCAGTGCATGAAGCTCTGCGTTATGAATCGTCACTTCAGTCAGCCCAGCCCTATTAGCTGCAGGATACCAGAGGCCGCAATTAGAGACCCTGCTGTGCCGCCTCCTTGGCGCCAACGTCGTCTCTGTCGCGTAGAGCGTACGTAGCCTGATGATTGCCAAGTTTATGTCTCTTTTCCAGTCTGAGGTGAACTTGAGAATCCTACGTGCCAATAGAGACCCTATCATTGAACAAGGGAAAAGTCTGACGAGGCCACCTTGGACATCAATGGAGCAGGGGGCGTCTCGATGTCGGCTGTTACCTGGCATTGCTCCTCCTGCGGGCGAGAAGGCACAGTTGCAGATCTTGGCTCGTGTCCTGATGTCGAACCTAGGATCCGATTCGGTCCTGCAAAGTAGGTAGCCTCCAGAGTGGATAAGAAGGACACGAGACTTTAGAGCCCTTGGATGGTCTCCCGTAGATTTGGAAAGTATTGAAACAAGACGAAGCGAAGTGAGTAAAAGCCTTGCCTTAGCGTGGGGTCGGATGTAAGCCCAGATATACATACGGCAAGAGACCCACGACGCACTCCCGCTCGTTCTCTTGAACTCTTGGAACTTTGGTGGTTTTGACATCTCGTGCTCTCCTACGCTCGTTTTGAACTAGAACAGAGGAATATCTACCCTCACAAGCCGTTCACCATGGATCGTCCAGCCGAGTCTGTTCAACCAGGGCTTGAAGTAAGCACACACTACGACAACACTCCCATAGCCATCGCCAACGGAGCAAATCACTGGCAATCTCCCTTACAAAACGGCTCAGGCTACAGTGAACACAAGACGTTAGACAATGGCTACTCTTCGCAAGCCCCTGATGGCCATGTTGGAGGACAGCAGGATCAGCGGCCGGGTCGGCGATTCCCATGGTGTATCGCAATCACGGTGGCTCTAGTCGTTTTGATCCTCGGAGGTGTCATCGGCGGCGTGGCCGCATGGAGGGTGACGGCGAACCGGAGCGCACAATCACAGACGGGTGGACCGGGATCGGTAAACGGCGATGCGCCATCGACGAGCGCTACTAAGATCATGCAGAACTCGGCTGTATCTGCTGTCGGATGGCGATACGGGTCCGACTTTACCCTGCAAGTCTTCTTCCAAGGCGCGGATGGTTCATTGAGACGGTCTCAATACATGACCATCTACCAAGCCTGGACTCCCCCGATGGAAGCTGGCGCAGCCCCCAAAGTGGGCTCTCCTTTCGGCGCCGGTCAGCTGTGGACCAAGCCCGATGAGGTTCGTATTCGCCCTTTCCTCACCGGTGGACCTTTGACTAAAGACGTCTCGTGAAGCCCTTGCCTGTAATTCCACAGTCCGAAGTCTTTTATATCGGATCGCCAGACAAGATCCTCGGCGTCAATTGGCGTGAAGGTTTCTCGAGAGGGGGCCTGACAGACAGCGTCAATGAGGCGGGTTACACCATCAGCAACACAGGAACACAGATGGCATCATACTGGCCGTCCACCATTGTCCAGGCAAGCAACGGAGATGTTATGGAGGTATTTTTCGATTACAAGTCGCCTAGGTTCCAGGAGCCCAAGATAGTTGGGGTCACTGCGTCTCCGGGCTCGGCACTGGTTATTCTTCCTCGAGAAGTGATCCACTCAGCTGGCGACCTGACATCCGCATCAAGCGCACGCATCATATACCGTAGCACCGACGGCCATCTGCAAAACTATGATCGATCATCTGGTGGCCAACAGCTCACCTCGACGGGCCAGCTACCGGTGACTGTCGACTCGAACTTTACCATGGCTGGCTTCGCGGTAGCTCGGCTTGATTCTAGCGGTCAGAAATCAGAGGCCCTCAACACATGGGTCCTGTACCAGGACTCCAAGACTGGCAAGATATCCTATGTGTACGAGGACGACACAACAGGGTGGAAAGGACCAGAGTCAGATTCCGTCTTTGATGGTGCTGACAATCCAACACATATCGCCTGCGTGACAGCTGCGTCGGCAAAGATTCCGGAGGTGCCTCTTGAGGCATCGCATGACCTCAGTCATTGCTTCTTCCAAGCGAACCGGCAGCTGAAGCACGTCCACTTTGATGGCAGCAAGTGGGCGGGTATGGGATTCCTCCCAATACCATGAGATGGCGTCGAAACATTGTTGAATAGAGCGAGGAGTTCGGGACTTGTTTCTGTCGGTCGAGGTCATAGTATTGTCATTAGTACCATAGCTACAAACCGTGTTAATTTCAACCTATAGTGTCTTGTTGTGTGAAGTTGAGGTGGCTATCACAGCCTGGCACGTCGTATTCCAGCAGATTGGCATTGATCGAACACGGTAAATTCTTGCTAGGTATCAACAGTTGCATATCGTACATGTGTCCCTTGTTTGCTTATTTCTCGAAGCGCTTGGCAACAGTCTTCCAGTTGACAACGTTCCAGATGGCGTCAAAGTACTCAGCCTTGCGGTTCTGGTACTGCAGGTAGTAGGCGTGCTCCCAAGCATCGATACCGAGAAGAGGCTCGAGGTTGCCGGTGACGGGGTCTTGGTTCGCGCGAGTGACGACGCCAAGGGTGCCGCTGGTCTTGTCCTTGACCAGCCAGGCCCAACCGCTGCCCTGGATTCCGGCCAAGGAGGTGTTGATTTGCTTGCGCAGTGTGTCGAAGGAGCCAAAGTCCTCCTTGATGGCTTGCTGTGAAATGTGTCAATATCTTCTCATAGTAGAATGTAGGTTTGTTTCGGAGAGGTATCGTACAGCCAGTTTGCCGTCGGGCTCACCACCACCATCTCTGCTGGCAGGGGCGAGGTTCTCCCAGAAGAGAGAGTGGTTGACGTGGCCACCGCCGTGGAAGTTGATCAAGGGAGCTTGAGCAGCAGCTTTGGCGTAGTCGCCCTTGGCGTTGGCATCTTCGACGGTCTCAAGAGCGGTGTTGAGGCCGTTGACATAGGTCTGGTGGTGCTTGGAATGGTGAAGCTCCATGATCTGGGCCGAGATGTAGGGCTCAAGGGCGCCGTAGTCGTCTGCGTAGGAAGAGGCATTAGCGCATCTGGACGCTCGCAACGAACACGATCACAACGACGGTGTTACCTACAAGAGATATCGGGCAGAGTAGCCTTGCCGCGAACGAAGCTGGTGCTGGCCAAAGCAGCAGCAGGCTTACCGGCGCCAGCTCGCAGAGCTGTGCGGAGGACGGGCGCGGTACGGAGGAGGGTGGACGACATTTTGCGTATTCTGTGTCTTTGGATTAGTGCCAATGGCTTTGATCAAAGGTTGCGAGATGCTAAAATCCAAAGGAGCGAGGCAGTAAGGGCGTAAAAGTACCTTTTGACGTTGAATTGGCGGGTTGACAAATGCAGGTGCAAATCTCAGAATGATGTCAATTGCGGGAGGTTCGGTCGGCTATTACGTGAGGGAGCTCGGATCTCCAGAAAAGCTGCCTCCGGGCTACGGCTACCGAGCTGTTGCTGGCCGGGCTCGCTCTTCAGCGCTTTTACGCTTCTCCCCGTGTTCCTCCAGCGACTCCCCCGTCCACTGCTTTAGGTACTTAATCACCTAATCAAGCTTTCAGCGAATGAGAGACGTGGAGAAATGTCGTCATCCACTAAAAATGGGGAGCTGTCACCTCCAGCTTCCTTGGAGCTCTTCGAACACTCTTAGGTAATCCATCACGTCTCATTGGGTGCTCTTCTGTCTTACTAAGACCTACATAGCCACAGCCTCACCCACTGGGTGTGGCTTGACAGTGACAGACATGGCGGGGTGATGTGTGGCTGGACTCCCAAGAATCGCGTCTGCTGCACCGCCAGACGCGTCAAGCTTCACCAGCAGACCCCCTCCCAGATTTGGTCTCGTATTCCAGTTGTCAACACCCAGTCAAACGTAGCGAGTCTCTCGTCGAAGAAGCCAACATGTCTTACTACGACATTGATTCCATTCTCACAGATGCCGAGGTATGTGATGATTCTTCAGATCATGCCCCTCTACTCACGCCATTACCTTCACACTCGGTACAATCGAAGACAAAGCTAACAGCTGCCTAGAAAGTCCCCTGCAAATTCGAACTCGATGTCGCCGACCTCGGATACCTCGACAATAATCCCTCGCATGCTCTGAAGGCAGGAACCAATGTCAGCCTCCCTCTCTGGCTCGCCGAGATGCTCGCCCTTGCCAATGCGGGCACTGGCGACGATTCCAAGGCGCCCGTCACCTTGAACCTTCCCCCCTCACTTTCGAATCAAGTCGTACAAGCACTCAAGGCCGATGCGCGCTCGGTGCCGGTTAGAGACCAGAGCGCCCACTTCTACGGACTCGGCACTCGCATCCTGGATCTCTTCGACGAGCGCGACCTTAGTGATACCATGCGAAAGACGTTCATAGCGCGCGCGTCTGAGATCGCATTGCACGCCCGAAAAGGAGGTGATGATGGTGTTGGAGGCTCCGGTGAGGAGTTCCTCCGCGGTCTGGATGAGTGGGAGCGAGGACTTTTCCGAAAAGCTCACGACGGCACAAAGGCTTCCAAGGAATGGATGGACAAGGTCAAGAAGCATTGAGGAGCCAACTACGCTATCGACTCATATTTTAGACGCAACGATAGCGCTACGGTCACGTCCTGGCTCGCTTTCGTTTGCCAGCAACTGAGGACGGCTACAGATAGTCACTGCCACGGATGCATAGTCTCCAGATCTGCAGTTGGCCTCTGGCAGAGACGACACGCTGGAGCATTGAGAACACTCTCCTGCCGCTTCCCTCCGACGACATGGTCCGCTTCAGTCGGCGCAAGGGCGGAGACCGACGCAGCCATGCCAGCAGCGGGCTTTGAAGAGATGGAAAGCACCAGTGCGCACTGAGGGGCTGCCACGCGAGAATCTGCAATATTTCGGGCACAGCTATCATAAACTCGCGGGATTCTGCGCCCGTAGGCCGAGTCGCGGGTGGAAGAGATGGAGGGGTGGGATGGAGGGGTGGCGGGGTGACTCGCGGGTTCGGCGTTGGGGCTTCGAGCCGATGTTGGTTCAAGGATGGAGTCATGTACCTTATTAGTTGGGTACGCGAGCAGCCAGATGTTGAATTACTGCCAACAAGAGGCTGACAGTACTGCTTGATAGGGTGCACAAAGTCCCAATCCAGAATCTTTACCGACTCGAAAGATATCGAGAGTAATCATCCAATAACACCGGCAAAATACAACCCGGAAATGCGTAATTCGGTGTTCTACGCCACAGCCTTATCGAGAAACCCCACTATCTCTACGAAGCATATCTATGTAGTCTCTCGAGTGCGGGCGGGCCGGTGCGGGTGAGATAACAAACTCACCCGCAGGCCATCGGCGGGATCCGAGTTGACGACTCCACCACAACGTCTTTCACAAGACATAAAAGGCTCTTCAGGACTCCCGGACTGCTTTATGAATTGATTTGAGACGTTGGAAGACAGCTGCCATTCGAAACAAGATTGACGCACTACCAAATCAGGAAACAACATTATTCTGAACTTCAGCTCGAAAATGGCCATCTCACAGACTCCCTCCCGCATAACCGTCCAGCCAATTATCCCTGCTGCGGACTCGGCTGTTGACTTCGGCGCTACTATAAGCAACGCTGATATTGAGAAACTCACTGGTAAGATATGACGCGAGCGTGATTCATTGAAAGCGATGATGTTGTACAAGTAGTGGGAGAATACCCGTGAAATCGGTAACCTCCTCTGGTAAGCTTCAAGTAACAAGACTCACCATTTCAGACCAGGGGCTGACGACTTACAGATGCCGACTTTGATGTCATCCGTGAAGCTCTCTTCAAGCACCAAGTTCTCGTAATCAAGAACCAGGCACATGCATCTCCCAAGGCACAATTCGAGATTACACAAAAGTTCGACCCTGACTCTGGTGAGAACTATGGTCACGGCAAGACTCTGGACGCTAAGCGCTCCATTCTGCATCCCGATCTGAAGACCATCCCGCATCAGCCTCAAGTCCAAGTTATTGGCAATGGCTTCGTCGAGGAGTACGAGGGTCTGAAGAACATCCAGCTCAGACACCCTCACCACCGCACATTCCACGCCACAACCATCCCTGATGAGGATGACTTGGACTTTACACGTTTCTACCGTTGGCACATTGATGCCGCGCTCTACGGTCTCGCACCGCCCGTCGCCACGACTCTCTTGGCAGTCCGTGTGCCCGGCGGTCGCAAGCAAACCCTCCGCTACGACGACGGCACCGACCAAGAGATGACGGTCCCTCTCGGTACCACAGCCTTCGTGTCCGGCTACGCAATGTACGACAACCTCTCGCCCGAGGACCAAGAGTTCGTCCGTACGACAAAGGTGGAGTACGCACCGCACCCCTACGTGTGGATGAGCAGCGCCAAGTCCCGCTCCACCGGCCTGGGCATGGTCTCGGAGGGCAAGGAGGTCCCGCTCGACGACCTGCCCCCCATCGAGGAGGAAAAGATCCAGATCCTGCCCATGTGCTGGCGGAACCCGGTCACGGACCGGCTAGCGTTGCAGGTCCACCCCTCGGCGGTGCGGAAGTTGCATTTGGCGGACGGCACCGTGGTGGAGGACCTCGCCGAGGTGCGGGAAACGGTACACCGCCTGCAGCGGCCGGGCATCTCGCCCAAGAACGTGTACGCTCACGACTGGGAGCAGGGCGACTTTGTCATTTTCCACAACCGCGGCGTGATCCACTCCGTGGTGGGCGCCTTTGCGGAAGATGAGGTGCGGTTGTTCCGGCAGTGCAACATTGCCGCGGCCCGGCTTCCACAGGGACCTGTCGAAGTTGCCGCGGCCGTGTAGATCGACTATTGCTGTGGTTTCCGCTTTGTTTTGTACGGCCTTGTAATGAGAGTTTAGCCCAATGAGATGTTTTCTTACGACGATCTTCATGAGTGATGCTCTGCGCTATTGAAGGCTAATTCCGCAGTTTGACTCGAGAGTCGAGACATGCTGCGGATACCACGGGTCCCCCCATTGAACCTGTACATCACTGCACTTTCAACATCGTGACGAATTACCTCCTGTATACTTGACGAGTATGTGTAAGCTGGCAGCTAGCGTCACATTTGAGTCGACATGTCAAAACGCTCTGACTCATCGGCCTACTTGACGTTTTCCCCGCGATGTAATGGCACATGCATGTCGCGTCACATTGGTGAGCACGCCAACGAACGATCGGCATTCACGATCCGGAATCGGAGCCGGCGGCCGTGAGCTTCTGCCGAGATCTCCAACACCCCGCACCGAGCATTCCATGAGATGTCGTCTCGTACGATATGACGAGATCGTGTAAGTGAAGGGGTGAAATTCACTATGAGTGACATGAACACAGAAGAGTCAAGGTTTCAAAGTGTGTCAAATATGATTTGTGTGATGGATTAAATAATTTAACAGGAATCCGCCAATGCCTTCAGAGCCACCAAACCCAATATGAGTATTTGAACCAGGGGATATCCGATGAGACGCCTGACCCTAAACCGAAACTTTTGGTATGACAAAAAAAAGAAGGGGGTATCATTCTAATCAGAGCCGAGAGCCCTTCGCTTCGCTGAAAGAAAGGATGAATGCAAGAGTTGGGCGGTCCATGTGCACAAATCTAGAGGTGCTTCCAGAACTTCCACTTTTGCGATTTTTGGGCGTGCTCGAGGTCGGTGATGAGGAACTTGCTGAGCTTCTTCCAGCCCTCTTCAGGAAGGGACTCGATGGAGTCGTTGAGCATGTCCATGCAGTACTTGGTGGCTGAATAAGGTGTTAGCGAAAGGCTCTTGCAAGGGGCGAAAACTGTGTGTCAACATACGCATCATGTCCATGGCGTCCTCCCTATCGGCAGCAATCTCCATACGCGTCGAGTTATAGCAGTGATATTGTTGCTGGAGCTCGAGCATGCATTCCCAAAGCTCTTGCAGGTTGGTGTCTTCAGCAGAGGCGCGGCGGCCGCTGAGAGAAGGTCTGGGCTGAGAAGTCTGTTGCACCGCCGTCGGGCCCGGAACGCACTCGGTCATGGTGACTGTGGCATCGGCCTTCTCGTTCGTGGCGCAGGGCCTGATAACGATGTCGTCTTCGCTGTCGCTCTCGGGCCACGAGTAGCCTGAGCTGCTTCGCTTGGGGAACTGAGTTTGTGACTGGCGGCCGAACATGTTGGGATGGCGTTGAGGTGTATGTGATTCTTGCGTGTATGAGAGCTTAATGTTTTGTTGTTGAGAGTTTAAGATCCAGATGGTATGTGGTAGTAGCACGTCTGTGTGTGCTGGGTTCCGTCGTGTTGGTATTTGTACTCCTTTGAGGTGTGTGTTGCTGTAAGTGTCTGTGCTTATTGTTGACGTGAGGTGTCGATGGGTGCCCGATGTAAATATAGGGGAACCGTTCAGACGAAGAGCCAAGTGCCGTGCCAGGAAATGGGATCTGACGAATATGACGAGGGAGCAGTTCGAACGGGATCCCAAGCCCACTATATAAGCCGCGGGTGCCGGAACCCTATGCAGTGATCACCAATCTAAGGCTCAGATCGTTCGAGACGAGGCGCCCTAAAAATCTGAAGAGCGATGGCGATCAGACCCGCGGCAGCGCCCAACGGAACAAGGCCGATCCTTACTTACTCATGCCAACGCCCATGGACATTATTATTACCAGCCCATCAGGCCAAAAGGAACCTGGGAAGGGTGTATGTGCGTGTATGTGTGTGTGTGTGTGGCTCTGGGCACACTCGTGGCACACCTCTCAGGGCGCTGAGGGTACAAAGCCAGCCATGGCCGCATACATTTCTGAGACTAAGGAGTAGTTACTAGTACGAAGTATGTATAACACTCGGTAGAAAGTAGTACTTTTGAGGTAATTCGACCTAGAATGAGTAATGACGATGGGGCCGGGAGGGTTGCGCTGTGAGCTCCGTCTGGCCCGGGCAGTGTCCGGAACTGGGCATTAAATGGGTCCAACCAAGCAATTTTTTCTCTTCTCCTTGAAGTCCTTGCTTCTTGGAGCTACTTTGGGGCGTTTTGGAGACGAGGCCTTTCTCCAGCACTCCAGCTACGGTTCGATTCTCACGAATCACTGATTCAAGGGAACTCAACGGGAAGAATGTGCAAAAAAAGGGCCGAACCACGTAACCAAAAAAGGGGCCCTACGCGAGAAAAAAGAACTGGAGCTACGACGCAGGAGTTTTCGTTTGTGACGTCGAATTGGTCCCTGGAAACAATTAAACGAGAGGGACAAGAAAAAATTATGATGGAAATTCTCCGATGTGTCAACAAATTTTCAGTTTCGTGTCGATGAAGTACTTGTTTGTGTACCTCGTTGTGTACATACGTAAAGTGTGTGTGTGCTGTACGAATAAAACCTGCACGCCCGACTTACACTACGTGACTACCTACTCTACGAATGCCTTACCTATTTACCTTGCGGAAGAGTGTCATGCGCATGGAAGAGAGGTCCCTCTCCCCTTGCATCTCGAATTGTGGATGCCGCCGGATGGCGCTGCAAGAAACTTTCCCGCGCCCCTGGTCTTGTCATGATGTTATGGCGGTGTCAGCTTCGCGTTTCTGAGTGGATGAAAACAGCTGGCCGACGTGGACGAGCGTGGCTGCGTGGTCAGGCGATGAGAGGCCGTGGCATCCGTCCGACGCCCGCGGGATGGCCATCTGCCGGGCGAACGAAGAAACTCAGAAAGAGAGAGAAAGATACGACATTGATAGTGGCTACGGTCAAGTGTTCTCTCTTCCCGGGCACGCATGAGGCGTAAGGTAGCGTTGAAATCTTTTGAATGTTTTGTTGTGGGTTATCAACGGGCCATGATGATGGGTGTGTTTCTCCCTGGCGACCAGTCAGTGTGACCGGATGATGCGATGCCACGCTGATATGGAGCGATAAGGCCATTATCGCCCGTCCAGGGCCCAGATTCGCCCAGGGCAACACTCTCAATGGCTTCATGACCTGCGGTGAAGGGGTTCACTTTGCTAGTCTGTGTCTTGGACACTGAGACATACGCCCTAACCCAACCCTCTTCGGTACTTGCGTGCCTTGGATCAAATGACGGTGACGGTGCGGGAAGGACGCGGCAAGTTTGGGTGTGCGAGACATGTCAGATGAGTCTTTGGTGGTGTCTCCTTCAACCCTACCTACTTTCATGAGTTCTTGATTGTCAAGTCAAGGTACAACCATGAACCAACCTTCTTGAGGCTTGAAATCCTCGAGCCCACAGGGCTGCTGCCGCCTGCGCGTTCCCTCATTTACCGCCGGCGGACCTCATCTCAAAGTTCCCGTCTATTCCCGCGAATGGGACCACTAGAGAGGGTTACCGTGCAGAGACCGATTCCGCACCGGACTCACAGATCGGCGCCCGACTTTCGGTGAAGTGGGCGACTTTGGCCGAAGTCTTTTTTGAGGGTGTACGGACACGCAGTACGTAGGTATGCGTAACTAGAGACCGAGGGAACTTGAGGAGAGACTTCTGACTGAGATGTAAAGGAGGCTACTACGGAAACCGGCAGTACCGGTCGTTAGCTAACCTTGCCTTGCATAACACACATTACCTTGTTTCTTACGGTAATCAGATCCTCTCACACCTCTCTTGAAATAGGTCAAGGAGGGATCACTGTGGCGCTCTGCATGGCGCCGTGGACACATCAGAGACGGCCACATCGGACGCCGTCTAAAAGATGACCGGACGGCACTGCTAGCAAAAATCAAAGACCAACACAGTCTGACGAAATTGGATCCTTTGGTCAAAGCTTGGTTTGACGTCCAAGAGGTCTAGACTCTTGGGATGACCTTGTCGATGAGATGAAGCTCGTCTGCCATGTCTGCCAATACTTGAACAGCAAGAAACAGCTCATCACTCGTTCGGTCAGTGCGTCATCCAGACGCAACTCTTGCCATCTCATTTGTCTGCATTTCATCGCATCTCAGCTTTCATCCCATTCTCTCTCCTCTGAGCCCTCTCATCTTCACATGCCCACAGCCCCATCACCAACACTTGGCTCCTTGGCCTGGCCCTCTGCTGACCCCGCAAAGCCACTCATGATTATCAACGCCAAGTGTCCAGCCCGTTGCGCCTCTGTAGTCCTTTGGGCTGTTTGCGCCCCGCCGAGCCCCTTTGGCTGAGAATTTGTCAACGCAGTTGACGCCCGCACAATCCCTTTGTCACGTTTAGACTCCAGTGACGGAATGGCCCTCGGAAAGACAGCAAGCAAAACTTACAGCTCCTCGGTCCGCGAAGCTGCGACCGGTGAGGGGCTTTCAGAGCTCCCATCCCCGGACCCGCGGGGCTGTCGGCCGGAGCGCAATCCGTAGGTAGTGCCCGCTCACTTGACCAAGATGAGGGGGCTACGAGAATCACGAGGCGTCAATAAGAACCGGGAGCTAAGCCAGCTACAACAAGCTTCTCGAGAGTAAAGCCTACTTTTTACTTTGCATAGCCGCGTTACAAAAGTGCTGTTGCTCCAAGATTGCAGCTCAAAGTCTAGAATGTCAGAGTCTCCCTGCTCGGTGCACTTATCCAAATATCCTGCATATCCGAATGGGCGAAGCCACCGCAAGGAAGCCAAGAAGCCATGACATTCGCCCGGCTGAACCTTTTTCTCGTTGCTTTCAGCACTGCATCCTGTCCACTAAACGCTCGCGCTTTTCGTCAAGGATGCCTTATCCCGGCGACACGGAGAGTTCTTGGCCGTTGTCCCCTCAACGTACGATCCGGAATCCGCAAAGTCTTTGTCTTGTACATCAGCTATACCCCGCATGTTCCAACGCCTGGTGGGCGTCCGAGGCGTCACAGGTCCATAATGAGATATAAGGTTGCAGTGGTCTGACGGAACTTTGCAGATTTACACATCAGATCTGGCTCAAAGCTTGCTGCGCCGCGGCACACTCGGACGACGGAAATGCCGGCTCCGGCGGAATGGACCGTTTTTCAATCCCGTTCCCGGCCGATAAACTACGCATCGCCCTGCCAGGAAGGTCTCGATGAGCGACTCGTCTCCGGACTATCCAGCATTTGGCAGCTTAGGAGCAATGCGAGGGCAATGATTCCTCTAGAATCTTGCACGTGATGTAACAAGCGACTGAGGAAACAACTTCCGAGAGACACTGTTCACACATGGGACTCAACACCTGAACTTGGAAGGAACTCTTGGCGTAAGTTTGATAAGTTTGGCCTCGCTTTTGAAGTCGTGAGCCTGCGGCTTTACTTGGTGCGAACCTCGCCGACAGGTATAGTCCTACGCTTCCACCCGGGATCCTGAAGCTGCACTGAGGATTGGTCTGGATCATGTCACAGGCAGCACCAATCTCAAAACCTACGCTACTGCTACCTTGACATCCCCTGCCCTTGAACGTAGAGGTGAATCATCCTGTATCTGTGAGATCCCAGTCTTTCGCTTTTGGGTGGATGACCTTGGCCGGAAAGACGCTGGTCCAGTTCTTTGACAAGTGCGTGCGGGAAACGAGGAGTAAGGGGGGCGGTAAACTTGTCATAAAACGGACTGACTATCGCAAATAGCATCAACAGCTTCCATGTATGCCGCAGGGTTAGATCTCACTCGCGGAAGAAAGCAGCTCTGGCTTCCAAGGCGACGGAAATCAGACCGTGGAGTGTAGATTGCGGTTGGTTGATTGACTTAGGGAAGGAATTACTGATGTCGTCTGTGGGAAATGCTACCACTGCCTTTGCGAATCTGGTGTACTTCACGGTACGGCAACCGTATTCAAGATGGGATCCAGATCACGTGCTCCTGAGCTTTTCCATCTCGGTCGTTCAATCACGATTCTCCAGAGCGTTGCCTTCTCAGTGACACGACAAGCCTAAAACTACTCCCCTAAGATCAATCCTCACCACATTTCCCGACGAAATACAGAGGCAAGCACCATAAGTCGACTCCGTGATCGGGTCTCTTGAGAACCGCAACGACATTCATCTTCTGTGACGGAACAGCTACTCAGACCTTGAAGTCTTCTCATTGAGGATGGCAATTCATGCGCCAGGCATGATCATTCGTCTGTCAGGTCCCGCGGTCAACGTACTTGAATGGTCCCGGCGGTGAACATCGTATGCCTTCTTTGAGGGTATTGTAGAACATGGTGTTAGGAGACTTCTGTTCATGAGCAATAGCGAACAGCCGCGCATCTTATTTGATCCCAAAGAGAATTGAGCAAGACACACGAACGAGTACTAGTCTGCGAAATCTCACACATACTCGGTCCGCACAGAGACCTGTTCTATCGTCTTGACCTCAAGTGAGCCCACAGGAAAGAACACCGCACCGCTCCAATACGATTGGGATTGGAGTATCTGGACATATGAGCCCGCACTGGAGGCCCTTCGTCGTGCTGCTATGTACCGTCTTCCAAATTACCGGGCTAAGGAGGGTGACACGAAGTGTCCCTGACTACACGGTCTCATAACAACGCCTTTTTGAGTACTAAATCTATATTCAACAATTCGATGCCACTGCCGCTGACTCGGTACCCAATTATCTGCTATTAACGCCGCCTCTGCGTCACATGAACCCAAAAGAGCTAGATTTTCACAAAAACGTTATTCAATCGTCAAGTATCTTAGGTATTGAACATGATACGAAGAACAGACTTGTTTGGATCAATTGGTGTAGTGTAGGGATCCATTCTAGCATTGTTGAAGCAACGTGAACCATCTGGCACATGCTTGATCGGACTTAGACGCGAAGATGTTGTTCAATCCTTCCCACCAGCTGTCTTGATCAGCCAGGTGAAACTATTACAGGAGGAATTGCACCTCTTTACTGTTCAGGCACTGTCTTTGCTGCTTTGTGTTTTCTCTTGGACCTCGAAACTCGCCAGATCATCACTGCGAAGGCTGGGAAGAAAGCTTGGAATACATACGGTGACTCGCCCGTCAAAGTCATACGAGAAGCACTGGAGAAGATGGAAGAACGGCGACTTTTGACCCAGATTTGATAGGCCATCCACGAAGCAAGAATCCCCGAGATTTCAACAGGAAAGACAAAACCATTAAAGCTCGCACCTACTGTCTCGAGCTTCGATTCAGATCTCAAGGGGAAGCAGCCATTTGGCGTCACGTCAGCATCCGAAGGTGTTGGAAGGAGCTTGACTGATTCACCTTCTCATGTACCGCAAGCCACATATCTCGAGAACTCGACTGTGTGATTCACTTTTTCTCTTCGAAATCACATAAAAAGTTCGATTCCTCCGGCATCAATACATTTTGACCGCACACTTCCAACCGAGAAAACTACAAGACAAACTGTCAACACTGCCAACTTCGACAAGAACCCCAAAGTAACAAAATCGAAAACAATCACAATCCTCATCTAGCACCATCACCATTACCAGAACGTTCACTGACAACATTCGCAAAGATGTGCACCCGACCCTACGTTCGGTACCACTGCATCAAGTGCGGCACAAACCATAAGGAGAGAAAACTTGCGAGACAGCCATGCGCCCGGAAGAAAGCAGGCCATCCATGCACAGATGTGCCTGTACTGGCATATGAGCACCGATCCGGCTACTGCGAGAGATCGGCTTGTAATACATAAGCATCCGGTGGGTTTCTGCAAGAGAGTCCGAGTTGGGCGTCTAGCAATCGCGTGTAGCACATCGAGAGATGCCAGTCTTCAATAGCGGATAGCTATCAGTATCTTAGTTCGAAAATAAAAGCTACCTAGTAGTTTTCAGTCATTCTAATAGTTACTCGTATCGTCGTCCTTGTTCGTACATGTGCCCTTCTGTAGTTCTGTGCCAGAATCTCTCATGCCAACTGCCAGAGTTAGCCTGCCTGGATTTGCGGAAGTCTCGCGCTGAAGAAGTCTGATAATCTTTGTGTGTTTGTCCATGACCGGATCTGCGACTTGGGAAGCTAGCTCAAAGGCCATACGGCGCCAACATTTAGATATTCAAGCTCCAGAGTGCGGTATTGAAAACCAGAGAATCGAGGCGGAACCCCATGGCCGCTTGATGTTCTGTTCCAGCCAGCAATGATGTCAATGAGCAGCAAGCCAATATAATTCGTGAGTCGTCAGTCATTTCCTCTCGTGTTAAAGTCCTACTGATAAGATAAGTCATCACATCCCCAGAACATGTCGATGCTCTCTCCCTCATAGATACTATACTCCGTCGGCGAACAAGAACAAAGATATTTCTAAATTCCCGACTTGAACTGGTTTTCTGTTCCTTCGGGAAAACACTACCCTGGAAGCTAGAGCACTCAATTCCCGCCGCGTCGAGCGGCATGACCAGAAAAGCCGTGTTGCCGATGAGCAGTACTGGTTGTCTTGTCTTCACGTTGGAGTTGCCAGAGTACTGCTCCTTGGCTGGAAATAGTCCATGGTTCCAATGGAGTATCTGCCACATTCTTATGGCTGTCAGCAAGGAGACGGCGTATCGGTGCATTTTTGAAGCCAGTATTTATTTATGGTATATTCCGATATGCCGTGTATAAGTCCATGCGTTGCTGCCACGGTGAGACAGACTGGCAAGACTCTTGATAAGAGCGAATCACATATCACGAGATCGTGATGATAGTTCATAGCCTTGGAACAACACCAGGTCAGAAAATCGAGCTGTACCTCTGGGTATGACTTTGTGTCTTCATATAAAGTTGCCAAGTAATCTTCAAGTCACCTCTCCCCATGGCTCAGGGCTGCTAGCCAGTGTTATCCGTCCATATGCGCCTAGCCCACCAGACTTGTATAACATGCTTCCCGAAGCATGCTGGCGCGCAACTAGAAGTTGAAAGATCTGCAGTTCAAGACTCTTGTTGGATCCCAGCTTGGCGTCGTCAAGTTCGCGCATTGGATGAGTTCGATGCTGTTGAGGTTGGAACTCGCCCCACAAATCACCCGCTTCTGGCCCATGTTGGTCTGCGTAGCTATTGCGCGAGCCAATGCAACAGCAGCGAGAATAAAAGGGGCAGTGTTTCCTCGAGATACTAGGGTTAAACAGTGATGCAGGTCTGTGATGCGTCCTGTTGTAATCCGGTGTGGCGGACGTGGAGCTGTCATGAGAGAATAGTTTTGAACTTCATGACCGGAGGCAACTAGTAGTCTTCACGGCCTGCGGCCACGACTTTGGAGCTGTTGTGCGAGGACTTGGTCACTTTACACGAACGCTTGATTGAGGCATGAAGTTAAGCATGAGGTAGTAGTGGGGAGAACCCTTGAGGCTCAACTCGAAGACAAACTTTAGAGTTATGTTACGTGATCAGTCAAGCTCAATCCTGCCTCGGTAGGAAGACGAAAATGCCTGACACTGCGAGAAACAACGATATCTGGGGGCCGAGTCTATGCATTCGATAGAGCACTTGGGCCCAGTGCACTTCACTCAAGTATTAAGGCGTAAAGTCACCCCAAGGCGACAACATCGCGGCTATCAGAGCCACATACCACAAGCCACTACGCAAGTAGACCGCGGCGTTGACGTTAAAAGGGCCAATAGCTTTGGCAAATCTAGTCACTCGCCAACAAGCCCATCGGGACGACTATCCGTACTCAGCTCTTTGGTGGCAGCCACTGGCCGACATCAAGTTACGGCATTCGGCATTGCCAATCCATCCCTCACACCATCTCCAACCTCATAAAACTTTTTCAATGCCGACATCGCCGATGCCGGACACCTCAGAAAGATTCAAACACACAAAGAAATGGACAAGAAAACGGGACGACAAGAGTCAAGAACACACCCACCCAGACACCCCCGAGTCAGGCTCTGACCCCCAACTGCCACTGGTGCTCTCCGACTCTGGCACTCTGACGCTCTCCATGCGCGCCCCCAGTATGCCCCCGGCACCAGCCGCCGGCCGTACCCGAAACCACGGGCAGTAACCCGCGCAGGACCAGGGCCTTCATCCCGCGCAGAAGAAGAAATCGCGGCAGACAGAAGGACACTAGTTATCCGTAGCGCGCATGCATGTGCGTGCATGCAACGCTGCTCTCCAGACTTTGTCGTCTCTGGGCTCCTCAAGTCCTGGACACAAGCCTAAACTTGCACTGCGGGCGAGGCAGCTGCAGCTTGATTGGGCTCAATTCTCTGTTCCGGCGCTGGACCTGCAGAGGGAAACCACTGATGGAACCCGTCTATTGGATTATGCTATGGCTAGGTCTGCCTCAACTGTTGAGCGTGGGGGCAAGCACTGCTGTGCATTATTGGCGGTCATGTCTGTCAAAGACTCGGACGCATTTCAACACTGTGTTTTATTTTATGGTAGGAATCACCGTATCATTAAATGGGCACAAAGATAATATACTTTAACTGATTTGTATTCATTCTCGTGGGCCCCACGCTTTGAGCCGAGGCGCAGCTCTCACCGCTACTCAGCTCAAGATGAAGCTCCACTGCTCGTCTTCGTTGCCTCGCAACAGTCTTATCTTGCTAACCTGTAGCCACGCCGTCCCGCAACGGGGTACAGTACGTGTATGATGCCTCCGCTGCACAAATCCCCCGAGTAGACATTTATCCACTCGTGCAAAGTAACAAGTCAACCCTCGACGTTCAAGTCAGAGAGTGTCTGGTGATGATGCCCCAAAACCATCTAGATGCGAATCATGACGCTATCGCAGGCCGTTGCGATCAATGCAATAACAATTAAAACGAAAGGCGGTGCCGGAGAAATCCGTATTTCTGCTGTGGCTCCCGTGATTTCCATGCTGGTTGCTGTCCTCTCTTTGGACATGAAGCCGTTCTAGTGACCCAGCCGAAACATGCAACGCTGATAAAAACAAACGCCGGTGTACCCAATGCCACACAGAGGAGGGTATTGAGGAGGTGAGGAATGGAGGCGAGAAAGTCGACCTACGTATCCGTGTTGGACATACGGAGTCGACGTGAAAGGGGTATGAAATTCAAGCGCTCGCAAAGGGTATCGCGGTGATGGCGGTCTATACCATAGGAGATGGAGAGCTGAAAAAGGGCGCGCTTAGTGCTTCTTGTCGGAGCTGGTAGAGTGCTGCTTCGAGGAGTGGTGGTGGTGCTTGTGAGAAGAGTGGTGCTTGCGGACCTTGGAAGAGTTAATGGCGTGTCTCGAGTAGGCTTCACGAGACATTATAGCTTACCCTTTGGCGACCGCGGTGCTCCTCCTCATCCGAGGAACCATTGCTCAGGCGTCTTCTCTCCTCCTCATACCAAGTGCTCAAAGACTTGCCGCCAAACATGAGATCGTCATCCTCGATGATGGTGGCTTGGATCCAACCTTGTGAAGCGAGGTCGAATTCTCTAGCGTTGGGGTCCATGGCGCTGGCGTTGGGAACAACGTAGTAATATTGGTCTTGTGCTGGTGACATTTTGTGTGGAGTCTGATAGTGGCGGCTAGTTGTGGATTGGAAGGCGGGTAGGAATGCTAGATGGGATGGAATGCGCGGGCCCTTTATGGTTGTGATTTATGTAGACGTGGGATAATGACGCGTGATGCTGGATTTCGCGTAGATGAGTTGCTTGGCTGCTGGTGTTTTGAAAAAGCCGGGGTGATCGCAGCGGGAGTTATTTGAGCCTCCAAGACAGGGACCCTTGAGTTATAGCTGGGACGGGGTGGCAGAGAGCAGGGAAGTCTGGACTCTGGAATTCGGGATGACGGGAGGGTGTGCTGGAAATATCGACGAAAGCGACAAAGAATCCAGGCGGGCGGGCGTTCGGATATCCAAGGGTCCAAGGAAAAAGGTTTACTGGTAGAGTAGGAAGTGTTCGTTTTCCTTTGTTCGGTTGCCAGTGAGAATGAGGCAGGGCGAGACAGCACTAGACGGTGTGGGCTGGATCGAGTAGAGGGCGGATCGGGGGAGCGGTAGTGAGTAGAGGCGTATGTGTGTAGACTGGTATGAGGCGGTGGAGGAGGAGGCTTCTTGTGAGATCGTCGAGGCCCTTTGGAATTCCGATTACTGCGGTACGGCGGAATGTCAGAGTCGCGGGAGAGGATAGAAAGAGGATCGGGAGGAGGCCGTCACGATGGATGGACGCGGGCGAAGGCTGGGTTATTATGGATTATGGGATTGTGGGCTGCAAGGCAGCAAGTGCGAGGGTGCGGTCCTTTCCCCGTATTATTTTCAGGTTGGCCTCGCGTGGCGGGAAGGAGCACCGTAGGTACCGAACCTGCTATGGGTGGGTGTGGGACGGAAGGGGGAAGGAGACGGAGTGACATGTGTGAACTTGTGAGAAGGAGGGAAGGAGGGGGCAGGGGTGGACTTCCCGGTCTGTGCAGGGTGGGAAGGAAGTGGGCGACCCCCCCTTCCCAGTGGAGACCGAGTAAGGTAAGGTAGGGCAACCGTGGGCAGGGGTGGGTGGAAGGAACGGGTGAGGTCGCAAAGAGGGAAAAAACGGAAAACGGAGAGCGAAACGGTACGACAGGCTTTCGCCAATGACTTCTGGGTCCGTTCAAATGGTGACACGCACCTAATAAATGGGAGTAAGTAACTCACCCACACCTCACCGAAATGGAAGCGAGGCAGAGGCCAGAGAGAGCCTAACGCGAAAGTCCGGGGGAGCTGGACAGACCTACGCCGGGTCGGGTTCAGCCCAGCTGCCCAGGTCAGGACAAAAGGGACTGTGCAGCATCAGTGGCAGCTGCTGTGTGCTGGCACTGGTAGGTAGGTCCTACGTGGTCGGCCGGCTTCACCTCTCAGCTGAAGACGCGTCTTCTCGGTGACTCTTGTCTCAAATCTTGTTCCTTCTGCCCAGCAAGTCGGAATGGCGGAGGCAGGGGGTCGCATTCAATAGTCAATAGTCGGAGGGCAGGCTGACTGAGAGAGTCTGAGGTGAGGTGAGGTGAGGTGAGGTGAGGTGCGTGAGCCTGATATTGGATTGGGTACGGTGTACGGGGTGCAGGCTGCCTACGCCTTACAGAGTATTGGTCCATTTGATGCATGAGTGCCACACTGCGGTGATTTGCTGATGCCGAGACGATGGTATTGGTGCTGATGGCGAGGCCGATACCGAGTATTGAGACTGCTGATGCGGCCTTGTTTCGGCCCAGAAGGCCACGGAGAGTCGGGTCTGAGTTTTGTGGGTGAAGGGCTTGTTGGACTTGAAGACTCCCGTCAGAAGAAAAGAGTCAGAGTCGGAGGAATCATACTGGTGGTGCCCGGTGTTGATGGTGATGGTGCGGGGGGTTCCGGAAGTGGAAGCGTAGGTACTTTCCAAGATACCGCCGGCTTCGGTCGTGATGATTCACCTTATTGCTGGACTCCTTCGCTCCGTCCAAGTCGGCGACGTGGCTGTAACTCTAGCCCGTTGCAAGCTTTGCTCCGTGAGATGGCTTGGGGTAATCTTGACTGCCAACGTGTCGGTGTCCGGAACGAAGGGTACCATAGGAGCTTAGATGGACCATTGGAGAGGTCTGGACTCTTGGGGTATTTGCAACCTCAGAATGCGCAGCCTGCTTCTGGATGGCCTGGGCGGCCTAGATGGCCTGGATCGTGGACCACGACGATGCGATTGGGGGAGGGGATTTGAAAGTCTACACTGTCCGCAGGTACTGCGGTGTTTATTTGCCCGGCAGCTGAACATTTTGGAATATCCGTGACTGACATTGGCCGTGCGTGAGATACAAATACATCAAGAGACATTGGGCAGCTGAGGCATATTGCCGAGAGAATATACGAAAGACAGCGCTAACATGGTGCAAGTCGTGATTTTACCTATAGATCTGAGATTGGTATATCTGTATCGATCAATGTCTAGCAAATCCCATCACTCCCTGCACTTTGGTGTTTCTTCTTTTTGTCGAGGGCCCAAGGATCCGTTTGAAACGGAAGAATAAACAACAAGCCAAAGAGCGGGTCCCCGTAGAGCAAGATATAATAATACCAAGGTACTGCGCAAGGTAGTGAGTGCCATGGATGATGATGGCGAAAAGGCGGAGTACGTAAGGTACCCACGGGAGCTGAACTTTACGAATACAAGATTATCGGTAATCTTGTGTCATTCCCGGCCTTCTTATCCGTGCCTTATCTGGCGGCTATCATGGAATAAGACCGCAGCACGACCGGGCGGTATCAGATTACCTTAGAGCTGGCGGGAGGCGAAGATAAAATGACAGAATGACAGCGACAAGCACATCCTAATGGAAGCCGAGTGCCGTACTACGTACTTGGTATTCAACCATTGAGCTATGAACGAGTCCATGACACGGCCGAGGATTGCAGCGATGATACAGCACTCCAAACCTGGGGCCGGCGGCGAGTAATGACGAGGATAATAATTCACTGTAAGCCTTGGGCAAGTATCCGTACACGCCGAGAACGGAATACGTCCGTTCCTGTCAGCACCAAGGCGGCCGTCCGTGGCTGAAGGCCAAAGTACCTTTACACTGCCATGATCTGCAGATGTACATGTCGACCCTCTCACCTCTTACACGGAGGGGAAACCTTGGGGTGCATGGCTACCAGGGAAGACAGGGCTCCAGGGGAGGGCACTGGCACGTTGCGGGCTGCAGGTTACCTCCTCAGGCGGGAGTCAGGCACCCTAGAAGGCAGGTCGCGGCGTCTCGCTTCGGCCATGTCAGGCAGAAAAGGCAGAAGACTAACCAGGCCCTTCAACACGATCCCATCTTTTTCTTTTTTGCTGAGGGGATTTTTAAGATACAAATTGGGGGAAAGGAAGACACGGCGCCTCGGGCGGACCAGGCGTGGATTTCTCGGGTCTTCCGTCTTCCGTCGAAATAATGAAGCGAAACGGACTTGGTGGCCAGGCACGGGTGACCATGACCGAGGCAAGACGGTTCGTACCCAAACACGGATACGACGTCTAGGACTGGATGAGATACGGACGATAGGTACTTTACGAGACCAGCTGACGGCGAATAGAAGGTGACCTGCCGCGAGGAGTGACGACTGGCTGAGAAAGGCAACGGGAGGTACGGTACTTACTCCCATCTACAAGGCGTGGTGCGACGGATACGTACTCGTTGTACCTGCACTCACCTTCTTCTTGTTTTGCACTTGCGGTCCCCTAATTTGCAGGGCTGCACCACCAGAGCACCTCGGTTCCACCAATGTCTCCATCCAAAAGATGGGGGGTTCCTTCCACTTTTGACACTGACACCGACCGTCAGTCTGTCACTCACCGTGCCACCCCACCGTCTACGCCATCTACACCGTCACGACCGTCGACACCGCTCACCGAGGAGTAGGATGAGGTGAGTGTCTCTTCTCCAAAGGCTCCAACGCTGGACATTTGTCTCGCCTGCCAGATCATCTCCGTCTTCAGCCCGCCAATGACACGCCAACCTGCTGCATTTCTCCAGTCACTGGCTCCCGCTGTCTGTTTCGTCGAGAATAAGGTCTTTTCTTCTCAACCAAACGCACGCTAGAACCTCGCAGGTTTTTGGGTTTTGTGTGGCTAAATGACGCCTCTACCCGTAAAGAGTATTCCCGCCCGTCATCGCCTTTGTTGATCGTCTGCCTCGTTAGTATTCCCGAGGCCCCTGTTGTGTCAAGAGTCAAGATACCAAAGGGCTGCTGCAGATCATGTCAAGCTTCAGATCTTGGCTCTTGTCCCTTTGCAGATACCTACAAGTGCCAGAGTACTTTGGTACCACACCCGCAGCGTTGTTGAGCCTCTAATACCTGACTCGGAAAATGATGTGCGCCAGCCAAGCATGTGTATCGCCTCTTGGATCCTATGGCGGAACCTGGCCGACAAACACGTCATATCACGATGGATGAGACGCGCGAGACTGACACGAAGAAACACCCGACACGACATCGCCATCAGCTCGTCCGCTAGAGAACCTCACGAAGTACTGGTATAGCCAGACATTGTACAAACACGCTGGGGCACTTTTGCTTGTCCTGCTTGAGTGTCCATCTCGCACTCTGAAGCGTTAGACCGACCATCTTGATGAAAGGGTCCGAATCTCGAGACAAGGCAACGTCGACAACGGAACTGATACGGTGATGGATGGACGGCACAACCTCCTCTTGGCTTGGCCCCTCTGCCCCTTGGTCTGTGGCCTCTATCGTTTCCTCCTCCTGGATCTTGGCAGGCTGTGCTAAAGGACCAACCCTGCAATCAAATACGGACGCTACCCGTTCTGCCCTGAAGGCCCGTCCGGATATTGCTGGATGCAATGGGGACCTCGGATGCTGAACCACGGTTACACAGTCCACAGCCTTTAACACTGGGCACCCGTCAGTGTCATCCTTGAATCTGGACATGGAAAAAAAGAACGAGCCGCCGATTGTCATCTTGCCATCTGGGGCATCTGGGGGGCACACGCGCATCGGTCTGCGACGTGCAATTTTATCGGTTCATCGCCCACGATCAACTCATTTAACCCCCAGAATATCATCACGCCAGATTAATGCATTGCCCCATACTCCGTACCAATATCTGCTTCTGGTCAGACTTGCTCGAAACTGAAGGATCTGACAGCGGAATCAGTCTTTGAAGCCACCATCCGTGCTCTTCTTGAGCCGTTTTCGGCTGCTCGTCGCGCCAGCACTACTACTCCCCTCTTTCAACCCCAGACGTCCCCTCATTTCATCAAAACAGCCATTATCAAAATAGCTGCCGCAGTATGGAGGGACCACCTAGGTATCAAAGCACAATCTCGTCTCATATGCCCGCCGTTGACCACACCAGCGGGAAAAGGCGCGATAAGAAAATACAAGGAGGAAAAATTCAACATGGGATGCCTATTCGGGCAGCCGGCCAACACTTGCAATATCCACCAGTCGCACGAAGGTCTCCTGAGTCTAGAGTTCCAGTCATCTGCATCTCGCCATGCATTTCAAATAAAGGAAGCCAGGCCATGTCATGTTGCGGTACTTGGCACCCGAGACGGATGGCGCTCTCGACCCCGTTGTTCCGTACCTTAATGTTCATTGTCCTAGTTTCGTACCCAACACTAAATATCCATGGTGCGAATTATCCCGCGCTGCTAGCCAACTCGCGAAACTGCACCCAATCGCCATGCTTTGGTCATGGAATATAGCCCAAAGTCCATCCCGGGTGTCTAGGTTTGAATTTGGAAGCCTTCCATTGGGTCGTCTGCCTGGTTCCTAGGCCCCTAACCAGGATGGATGAGTCGGGCTTACCTTTGTTTCTGTAGAAGACACACTCATGCTGCATCTCGTACCTGTCACTGACGTGTAACCCCATCGCAGGCCCGACAAATGGGCTGCGTTGAGGAAACGATTTAGACTTTAGCATCTCGTCTTCACGTTGGGCGCGGAATGTGGTACAACAAGGATACAAGAGCACGCAACTGAATAGTGGCATCGCAGTCATCCTTGCCGTCTTGGCCTTTAATCCACGCGTTTCCCGCGCTGGCCTCGGTGGCCTCTTTGGCCTCTCTGGATACCAAAAGTGCCATGAACCCCCATCTTGCGACTCATCACCAAACTACTAGGCATCAAGCTCAAGTGGGTGGTCTGTCAGATGCCAGATGTTGGGGATGTAACCTTTGACCGAGACCATCAACCCCTCCTCCCCCTCCCACTTTTATGGACAAGAGTATGTGTAGCCGCCGGACCGTTTGGCATGGCATCCCACCACGACTTCGCAGTGTGCTCCTGCCCAAACCGGTCACGGGCGGCGGGCATGGCGACAATATCACGGCGTGCTCACCTGGACTCGTCAACGGTCCGGCGAACCAGAGCCTCGTGACTTTCCGGCCAGTCACCCGCTTCCCACCCACCCATCCCGTAGCCGCATCTCCCGCCAGCGCGGAGCCCAGATGGAGGGACCAAAGACGCACGACATGGCCCTTTCTCTTGGTTTGTTGGTTGGGCCGCTCGTCAAGGGTGGTTGCCGATGCTCAAACTGTGCCACATTTGCTTCCGTCAGCAACACCCCGACTTTTCCACCAGCAAAGACGTGCGTTTTCCACGCTGTGCCTGCTCCAAATGGCGGCACAGGCATCGGTCCCGTCATGTCATGTATGGAACCTCTTCTGTGGTTGATGCTTACCAGACGTAATCCCTAGAGGCACGTTGTGCGTCCCAAAGCCACCCACGGAATGTAAGTAAAGTCGGGTTACAGCGGATTCGGTGCATCAGGGTCCTTTGCGGCCGGGCGATCGCTGGGTACCCCGCGTCGATAGAGAGGGGGCGCCGAGGCCACGGGAGGATGGAAGCGCGCAGCGAACCTGGAGAAGGATAACCCGCCAGGGCCGTGGTGGAGGGGTATGTGTGTGTGCTTCGGTGTGCTTCGGCGCCATTTCACCGCCTGCTCCGCGTCTGCCCGAATACACATTCCTTAGCTGGTACGGAAGATACTACAGGACTAAGAACTCCAGACCGCTGACCGTCCGGCCGGCCATCCATACACCATCCGTTACAATTTCCGTTGGCCTTCTCAGAGTTCTAGGTACCGTATCCGAAAACAGGACTACCTAGATGCCTAAGCCCAAGTGTGCAGGATTAGTCGCAACTCGAATCTTTACGGTTCAAACGCGCACACACCGTATCCGTACAGCATGTCGTCTCAAGTCACCAGTTCCCACGCGACAATGGGGATACGTACACCGACCGACTCGGGCATAGCCGAAAGAGCACCGACTCATTCACGCACATTGCGACCATCCCGTATGAAACGGCCTGAATCAGTTCTCGCGGGATCAACAGGCCTTCTTCGACTCAGCTCGAGTCCTAGTAGCGGTCGTTGCAGAGTCGCGCATGCCACCCAGCCGCATGGGGAAAGCTTAATGAGGCCACATTTTGCACCAAGAGTGAAAAAGAAGAATGTCTTTCCATACTCAATGCACATCCTCATCCTCATCCTCGGACCAAGTCCGGCAACGGCAATACCTTGGCGTTTCTTGGGACCGGCTCACCGGAGCAAGGCACGGCGTTTCGAGGAGGGCTTGATTGACCAACTGTATCTCGTCTTGTATCCGGAGTATCGCTTGGCACCCTGCAGGAAACCTAGAATCTCTCACAGAAGAACTCTGATCGGTGCGCATGCCGTATAGACACACACATCCGCACTTCCGTTAACCGGGCGCTTCGAGTAGGCACCGGCAAAAGTGTCCGCTCCTTTCTTTTGAAGGTACGGGGCCGCGCCAGACGCACGGAAAACGGTCGGTGAGGCCCGCTACATGGAGATGGCCGCCGGGCAGAAAGCCACATGTCAAAAAAGTGTCAAGAGATGAAGGATCTCGATTGCGGCTTATCGCGGGGATGGGGGTAGTCACCAACTACGATCTCGTTCAACCAATCCTCAGTGAAGAGGCGGGGATCAGGGTTGGTTTCCAGAGCCATGAGGCAGCAGTCACGAGGACCAGAGCCGTGCTGCAAGTTGCAATGCATCTATCTATCCAGTACTCTATAGACGATTGCCGTGAAGAGTGATTGGGTTCCAGTGCCGGCCAACGGCGGGCATCCTTTGTCCAGTTGTGGCATGCCGCATGACGGGCGCCTTCCCGGCCGGCAAAGGCCATGTGACTGGATCGCTCTCTGGTAGGTATGCCAGACTAGATGGGTATTCCTGAAGGTTTGGATGTTTGATGCACACTTCACCCAGAAAAACCGAAACATCATTGGTGATGTTGTGTTTCATGCACGATACCCGCCGACGGCGCGGCTGGCGACGCACTACAGTCGACTCTACCGTACATGTTTTTAAACGGCAGGATGTACAAAGGGATTTTGCGGTACTTGATGAGGTGTGAAGATAGGTATTGCCCTCGGGGTATTTTTCGCGTGTGTTGGCTGCGGCGACGACGATCGTATATGCTTCGGGGGAAATGTCTCCGCAAGTTTCTCACCAAGAGATCTACATACGGCCGAGGAGACACGCAGGAGAAGAAAAAAAAAAAACGCTGGCGGCTCCGCTCACAAGTTCATCTGTTGCAACTTGCAGGCCTGCAGCGCACATCATTGACCAAAAAGGCTTAAAGGTATAGAGGACCGGGTCGCGGCGGCGAAACATGTGCAAAAGAAAGGGAAAACATGACATTCTTTTGAAAATATGGCAAATGCTTGCCTTCCATCATGACAGTGTTATCATGCGTCGGCGGAGAAGCTCCGGGTTGGGAGACGAATGAGGTTGCGACGAGTTGAAATGCGCGAGTCGTCGCAAGTTTTGGGGATGAGATCCATCAACCAGTTACTTACTGTGTGTGTGGAAGTGTGGATGGTGTTCATGCCCCTCGTCTTTTGGGTCCGATGCAATACGGTTGAACCACATCGTGACAGAACACCCTCACCCCCCTCAAACGTTCCGATACCGCATGCACACCGCACCGGACCGTCAAACTTGATGGTTGTGTGGATGTCAGGCCGACTGAACCGTGGGAAAACGGAAATCATCAGATCAGCCAAACCAACGGAGAGTGAGAGTTTGGTTCATGGGGTGGTTGTTCCACAAGGCACAAAGACGGTGAGCATAACAGACAGGTTTCGCCACGGGATGGGATCATGGAATCGTGGAAATCGTGACAGGAGGTTTTCCATCTCGTCCATCAAGTGAGACGCGGCGCGTGGTCTGGCGTCGTGGCGATGACGTCAAGGTTCAATGGAGGGGCAGAAGGGGGGTGGGGGGTTCATCCTCGTCTTCGTCTTCTTCTTGTTATCCTTGCCGGCTGCTTGGGTTTCCTGCTCGGGGGGGGGGGGGCAACCCCGCGCACACTGTCACTATTACACCACGGATGCACTACTTACTTTTGTACGCACAAACGCTGTGCCGCCATCGGGCCCTTGACTAGCAAAAGGATACTCCGTACTCCTGTCTTGGAGCGGCACGGGAGGGGCAATAGGAGCCAGTGACAACATCGTGTCCGCTTTGGAAGCGACGTTCTCAGGGGGTATAAGCTCTTTGGCAGCTCCATTCACGCAGGAGCCCTGGGAAGAAAAGGCTTCGCGGCGTGGCGTGGCGGGCAATGACATCAGCGAGGAAGAAGATTTCAACACCAAACGGATTCGTGGGGCGGAGGGACTTACACGCCTGCGAGAATACCTACCTTGCAAGTTGCCTTGCCTGGCCCAGTGACGGTGACAGAGCACCGGAACCGTGTCAGTCGAATGCAGCGGGATGCAAGCAACCCGGAATCCTGGGAGAGGTTAAACGGTTTCTCAGGAGTCGAGGGGCCGGCCATTGGGCCGTACCTAATTTGTTGGTGATGACATACGGAGAAAGGATAAAAAGGAACAACGTAAAAAGCTAGAATGAGCCCTACGACAGAGTTACGTTGCGTCGGGTCGGGTTCGCCCCCTCCCCCCCTTAACACAAATCACTTTAAATCAAGGCACCTCATTTAGAGGGGAAAAAAAAAAGGCTCTTTTGGGGAGTTTGCCATGTGGCTGGCCGCCTGGCTGCTGGACTCAATTGCTTGCGGAAGACTTCCGTGCCTGACTGACCCTGACTTTGGGTGACGTTCTCTTTTGCTAAGGTACCTTAGCCACCCCCACCACGTCACCGGTGATGATCTTTAAGGGTTGCTGAATCGTACCGTGCAGCGTGATAGCTACGCTTTCCGCGGGAACATGTAGAAATTTGCCATGTCTGTCTATTTCAGATCGGATATCATGGTAAGCCCGGGGCGGTGTATCACAGTTAGAGAGTTCTTCTAAACTGCGTCTCGTGATGGTGAGGCGGTGCTGCTTGGTGCTGATGCGGACGCTGATCAAATAAGAGTCCGGCGTCGAACCAATCAATCCGTATTGATTTGGCGCTTTTCTCCTATCTTATTCTACTGTGTAAGAACTCTCGGATTTCAAGTCACGCCCTGCAGATCTTGGGCATACCCGAAGGATCGTAAACGGTATCAAAGCAAGAGAATGAATGGCTGCGAAAACGGATGGCTGAAGGACACCGGGTAATGCTGTTATCCCCCTCGGACCCCCTCCGCCTTGGATTATGCGTTCTTGCAGGGCTTTTTGGCTCGCCTTAACTCGCGACAGGGGAAATGGGTGAACCGTGCTGTGCTGTGCTAACCTGTTGCCCATGCCGAGGGCGTCTGCCGTCTGCCCTGAATATGATTGAAACGCCAGAAAATCTTCCGTGGGAGCAAAAATCGTGTGCCTGGTTAAACTTGCAACACGGCTTGGGGACATGGGAATACGGACCGCGGGACGCCGCAAAACGGTCTGGCGGGGTCGAGGGTCGCAAAAAGAGTGAGGTCATTGCGGGATGTAGGATGCAAATGACAAGACGGCAGGTGGTGCCAAGGGAGGGGGGAAAACAAGAAGACCGCGGTCTTGTTGCTTCAATCTGGTGTCGGTTCGGGTAGTTCGGCCGGGAGAGTTCATGCAACTTCTGAGAAAAAGTCAACGATTAATAGGCCCCTCAATCATCGATCGGGCGGATCGGACGGGATCGTGGACGGACTTGGGAGGGGCCCGTCGGGCGAATGAGTGGGGCTTACGGAACTGCCGGTGCCGTCCGGGAGGACCGGGATGGTTTCCTGAATCTGCTTCGGGCTTTTTTTCGTGACGATTTCTTGGTATCATTCATCGGCCCTGTGTAAGTTTGGTGGCATTCTTCAGACCTACTGGCCGTTTACTCCTATAGACATGTCCTTCTCATCACGGCTCTGAATACACGAAAGGAGAAAGGAGGGACTATCTGACAGTGTGCTCAGACACGCTTCTGCCACCAGGAGGTCTTGTCGCCGTTTCGGATCCGAAGGAAGAGTGTTCAGCCGCGCGTCAAATTTCCCACGACGACACAACATATGCTAAAAAAGAAGAAGAAAAAAACGAAGAGGGATGGAAGCCTCCGAGGCTCGGAAATGTGTGGGTACGTGTGTGTAGCTCGCTCGGCCTCGCCTATAGCTTTTGGTTCTGCTTGGGTAGGTCGATAGCCCGCGATGTTGGGGCTTGAAACTTGCTCAGGGTTATGTAGCCTTCTGGGATACTAGACGATGAATGGTTTCGGGCTTGAAGGTGTCTGGCACAGGGAACGGGAAGCAGAGATGACACGTCCGCTGGCGACGTGGGTTGAAGTCGGTGCGTAGAAGTTATATGGGATTGTACAGTGTCACTGTCGTGAGAGGACGTTGGGGCTATGGTACACCTCACGTCATGATATAGCAGCAATGGCTAATGTAGATAGTCCATCCCGTTGGTAATCGATAGCTTGCTTGAATATAGTGTTTGCTTCAACGGTGTACATGAAATGCCCCAAACGCCTTGCCCATTTAACCTGGCTCGCAATGTTCTTCCGCTGCGCAGATACAGCTACAGTTCAGATAGGAAAAAGGTAATCGGGGGAACTCCGGACTGTCGTGGGAATCAATCCAACAACGCCTTTACTGCTTCTTCTCCTTCTTCTTGCCATCATCCTTGGACTTGGGCTTGCCCTCATCCTTGCCCTCATCCTTGGAATCGTCTTTATCCCCATCCTCGGAGTCATCCTTAGACCCGTCCTTGTCCTCAGACTTTTCTTCCTTCTCGTTATCCTGCTTGTCGTCCTCATCTTGCTTATCCGCCTCCTTCTCCTCCTCCTCCTCCTTGGAGTCGTCCTTTTTGGTGGCACCGGTGTCCTTCTTGTCGTCCTTCTCGTCGTCCTTCTTGGTCTTGCTCTTGGAGTCACCCTTCTTGGCATTCTTCTTCTCCTCCTCCTTTTGCTTCTTCTCTTCTTCCTTCTTCTTCTTCTCAGCCTCCTCCTTCTCCTTCTTCTGCTTCTTTCTCTCTTCCTCCTCGAGCTTAGCCCAGTCCTTGGTGGTGTCGGTCTTGCCCAGGTGCATGCTCTCGGCTAGGCCTTCGCCAATATGGGGTTGTGCGTTGCCAATCTTGGTGCGGCCAACCAAGCTGGCAAAGATGGAGACTCCAACAATGGCAGTCAGGACGAAGCGGTAGATTCCGTACCATTGCGGGGTCCAGCCCTTGTTCTTGGCTCGGGTGTCGGCAAGGTAGAGGAAGGTGAAGGCGGCGAATTGCGAGGTGAGAGCATATTCGACGGGCATGAGGAGGGATGGCCAGGCAATCATAGGCGCGACGACACCCATGCCGTAGCGGAACTTTGTTCGGATGGGATGAGGCGTCTTTTCGGCATATTCCATGCCCTACAATAGCGTTAGCCCAGTCGTTCCATTGCAGTTGACACGCGGATGCTGCTCACCCAATGGACTGCGCCAAGGAAGGAGATGATGATGGCGCCGTACCCGAGCTGGATGGGCTCGAGGAGGCTCAGCCAGTATTGCGCTGAATCATGGTTCATGTAAATATGGTTTGCAAATGTCGACGTAGAGGGCCATTCGAGGTTCAGGTCCCAGCTCAGGTAGACTGTGCTCAGGGATGTGGCAAGGTAGGGCAGCGTGCCTGCAAGACCTAGCAAGTAGGGCTCCCTCGGCACTTCGCTGAGATTGAAGGTATCCTTGACAATGTTCTATCGGTAATGTGTCAATTGGCGTACCGTTTGATATGCGGAAAAGGCTCGTGCAGACTTACCAACTCCTTCTTGAGTCCTCCTGTGAGATCCTCTTCCTTTTGTGTTTTTGCGGGTTCCGGCTCAAAGAGATGGATCCTAGACGACTCGGTCGAAACCGCCTCGGGATTAGACTCGAGCTTCTTCTTTGCAATCTCGGCCTCGGCCTTCTTATCGATCTTGTCGTAGGGCGAATTCGTGTATCGTGCTTGGAGTGACAAGGGAGTCAGACGAGCTTGGAGGGCCGAAGCAGGCCGCCTGGGGGTGTGAAGAGAACTCGACGGAGACCTCGTCGAGAAGGATGTTGAAGGGATTGCTGAGGGAGCTGCGACTTTGCGCGGAGCAAGCCGCGCGAGTTGACGCGAAGAGCGAAGCATCGTGAGGGAGCTTTGGCGTATGCTTTCCGGAGCTACCTTGTGTACGAGGATGGCGAGGTTGATATGGTTTTGGACAGTTTAAAGTTGTAGTTTAAATGTATGAACGGAAGAAATCGAGATCGGAATGAAGCCAGCAAACAGTGGTATTCTCTCTGGGAATTGGTAGTATCAATGCTTGTGGGGAAGTTGTTGTTGATGTTTGTTGAAGCAAAAGAAGAGTCCAGCCGGGTGTCTTGAAGTGTCTTTTTGGTGTCGCTCAGGGGGACCAATTGGAATTAGCAAAGTGCCTACCTTATCCGATTGCCTCAAGTTGATGTAAGGCTCGGGTCCAGAACTGGAACTGGAAGTAGAAAACCAAGGCACACAGCTGATAGACGGTAAGGTCCTCATTGCTCGCATTTGCATGGCCATCAGATCGCACGCAGCCCAGGCCATCGAGGTTGCCAGAGCTCCAGCTGCCGGATGGTGACGTAATGTGGAGACCTCTCCCATGACGCCCGGGCCAGAGGCTCCGCATTGGACGAACCAGCAGCTGAGTGGGGTGGAGCACTGCTACTAGGTATACAGTGGCCCAAGCTTCTATCCCCGCCGTCTGTGCCGATGCGATGCCACGCCTTGGTACCTACCTTACCTGCCTCACCTTACCTACGCGGCCCATACTCCTCACCTTGGGTACCTTGGGTATTGAAATAAGGGAGCACAAAAGGCACGTGAGTGCATTTCCTCAAACGTATTCATCATCCCAAGCGCATATGTAGCAAACAACACAAACATTCCAATGTCGTAGTTCGTTCTGGCGCACCATAACATGATTGGATTTCCAAAGGCGAATAGAGAGAGCACTTGACACTTGCCTATCGTAACCAGAATTCATCACCTCTAAGGTATCTTGATGATGGGAGTCATGGAAGTACTACGTAAAATGCCGATACGGATGCGTGCAAACCTGACTTGGGGCACTACGAATTGGGCTATGATGTAGGTACCTTATGTAATTAGCTACCTACCTTTCTGAGGTTGGGAGTACTGTGGAGCAGCTGAAGAGCTGGCAGGAGGCAGTGGGCAGCCACAGTCTGCCCTGGACCGAGCTGTTGCCCTGGCCTGTTTCTGGCTCTGGTGCGGGGAAAGCACTTTGGCAGCTGGCTGGCCTTCACCCACTTCGACAATCAGGCAGCGTCATCATGCACAAATCCGCCGCTCCCTCAGTCCAGACCCCAATCTGCCCCAACACTGTGACCAAATCAACCCTGCCAACGCCCACCCCCCAGCACCAGCACCAGCTCAATATCGACAACGCAGACGAGCGTGCAATCTGTCAAACTCGAGCTGGCAAATATTGACTTTTGGGCAAATCTGCGACGCGGCACTCTCTTTCCCATACCTACCTACCTTGCCCTACCTCGTCGCCAACCCACCTCAGACCCGGAGTCACGGCCGACGGCACGCCATCCGAGAACACGACATCCACCCCTCGATACCCAAAAATTCCACATCACCATCCTTTTGTATTACACCTACGACGAAAAGTAACGACACCCAAGAAGCGAGCAACCCACCAAGACCCCGTACACGATACCATCCTACAGCGCCGCGCCCACTTTGATGACGGCAGAGCCTTCTCGGCGGCTACTGATCTGACTTGCGTCCTGCCCGTCGTCATCGAGCTTTCCGACTTTCCAAGTCTCTCCCTTCCTATGCTTCCCACTACCGATACACGATAGAACACCAACCTGACCCTCCCTCGCCAGGGTTAAGGCGCCACATACAGACAAGATGTTGGAGGGACTCGTTGCCGGCCTGCTCAATAGATTCCTGGGCATGTACGTCAAGAATTTCGATCCAGCACAGCTCAAGGTTGGAATCTGGTCTGGCGATGTCAAGCTACGTAACCTCGAGCTTCGGAGGGAAGCCCTCGACCAGCTGAAGCTTCCCATCAATGTCATGGAAGGCCATCTCGGCGAGCTCACACTCATAATCCCATGGTCCAACTTGCGTGGCGCGCCTGTCAAGGTCTTCATCGAGGATGTCTTCCTGCTGGCCTCCCCCCGGGAAGAGGCTGCGTATGACGAGCAAGAGGAAGAGCGTAGGAAGCAGAGAATCAAGATGGAGAAACTCGATTCTGCAGAGCTTCTCAAGGAGAGGTCTCAGGAGGGCATGAGCCAGGAGGAGCAGAAAAAGAGCCAGACCTTCACCCAGAGCCTGGTCACCAAGATTGTTGACAACCTGCAAGTCACAGTCAAGAACATCCATATCCGATACGAAGATTCCATTTCCGCTCCCGGACACCCCTTTGCACTTGGTGTGACTCTCGAGGAGTTCAGTGCTGTCAGCACCGACGGACAGTGGAAGCCTACCTTTGTCCAGGACTCGACCAAGAGCACCCACAAGCTTGCAACCCTCGGCGCCCTCGCCGTCTACTGGAACACAGATACAGAGCTGCTGGGCCCGGGCCGAGAAGTTGATACCGGCGATAAACCACCGATGCCGCATGATGAAATGGTTGACAAGTTCAAGAGTCTGATAGGATCGACCGAGGATACAGGCCTCAACCACCAATTCATCCTGCGACCCGTCAACGGAAAGGCAAAAATCGTCCTCGACAAGACGGGGGATGTCCATGCTCCCAAGGCCAAAGCCAGTCTACTCTTTGAGGAGATTGGCCTCGTAATCGATGACGACCAGTACCGTGATGGCTTGATGATGGTTGATCTTTTCCACTACTTCATCCGCCACCAAGAGTACAAAAAATTCCAGCCCAAAGGAGTCACACCCAAGGAAGACCCCAGGGCCTGGCTCAAGTTTGCTGGTGACTCAGTGCTCAGCAAGATCCACGAGAAGAACCGTAGATGGTCATGGGAATACTTCAAAGAACGACGTGATGACCGCCAACGCTACATTGAACTCTTCAAAAAGCGCAAGCAACAGCAACAACTCGGCTCCCAAGAGAACGAAGACATCAACAAACTCGAGATCAAGCTTGATTACGAGGATCTCCGATTCTGGCGATCTCTGGCACGGAACCAGCTTAAGAAGGAGAATGCCGCTGCCCTAAAGAACCAGCCCCCTAAACAGGAGCAACAAGGCTGGCTGGCGTGGGCCTGGGGTAGTGGCCAGAAGCAGCAGGAGCACCATGCTGAAGATGACGAGAACACACAAATCACCGAGGAGCAGCGCAAAGAGCTCTACGATGCTATTGAGTTTGACGAGAAGACTGCCTTGGCAGAGTCAGTTGATGTTCCTCGGGACTCTGTCAAAATGCAAGTCGAGGCATGGCTGAGCACCGGAAGCTTTACGCTGAAGAAGAGCCATAATGGCAAGCGGAGTGATCTTCTCAGCCTGCACTTTGATGTCTTCAAAGCCAAGGTGCTGCAGCGTCCTGATTCCTTCCTGGCTGATCTTAGTCTGGGCGGACTTCGTGTCAACGATGGTACAACGCCAGACTCACTGTTCCCCGAGATTGTCAGAGTCAAGGATGCCCCCGAGATCCACGACCAAAAGCGCCTGACCATCGAAGAGCTCGAAGACAACGACGATGAACCCTTCTTCCGCTTCGAGGTTGAACAAAATCCCATCGATCGCGAAGGCGATATTGCTCTCAGCGGATCCCTCAAGCCACTCGAGATTGTCTGGAATCCAAACTTCGTTGTAGGCGTGGCCGACTTCTTTAGACCACCAGAACGACACATGGAGTCCATCACGGCGCTGATGGAAACCGCCGGCGCCACCGTAGAGACCTTCCGAGAACAGACGCGGGCTGGTCTGGAATTTGCTCTCGAGGAGCACAAGACCATCAATGCTCAGCTTGACCTGCAGGCCCCGCTTATTATCGTACCGGTCAGCATCAACGTCAAAGAATCTACTTGTCTAATTCTGGATGCCGGTCATATCAGCGTTAACAGCGAGCTGGTGGACCAGGACACTATGAAACAGATTCAGTCGAAACAACGCCAGTCGTACACTGACGAAGACTTCAAGCGCTTAGAGTCTGTCATGTACGACAAATTCTTGGTCAAGCTCTCCTCCACGCAGGTGCTAATTGGTCCCTCGATCGAGGCGACAAAGGCTCAAATATCGAACAAGGACGACACACAGCACTTGCACGTGGTGGAAGAGATCAACGTCGACTTTGTGGTTGAGACTTCGATTCTGCCCAAGGCGCCAAATCTGACCAAATTGAAGGTCTCTGGCCACCTTCCTATGCTCCACGCAACCATATCAGATTCCAAGTACAAGAATCTAATGCGAATTATCGATGTCGCCATCCCCAAATTTGGCAACCAAGAGCTGCAACAGGCGCAAATCAAGGACTCCCAGGGCCAAGCAGTGACAACTCGCCCACGTGGTCTTAGCACCGCCTCTAACCGATCGCGTTCTCGCAAGGACACCAATAGCCGCCGGAAGTCTTCCCAATTCCCTTTCATGCAGCAACAAACTGCCATTGTGATTGACGAAGATGACGACGATCAGGACGAGTTTGAGGACGCCGACGATGGTGGTAGGAGCAACAAGGAACAGCTAAAGCTCCAACAGCGTTCTTTCGAGCTCAAGTTCAAGGTCGACACCCTAAAGGGATCCCTCTACCGGAGCGATCCTGACAGGAAGAAGCCTGATCAGCTTCTTGTCGAGCTTGTTGCTGAGAATTTTGACCTTCTCTTCTATCTACGTCCATATGACATGTCTGCGGAGGTCTCGCTTGGTTCCGTCATCATGGACGACTTTGTTGACAACCCTCCTGCGGAGTTCAAGTCCATCGTTTCATCTGGAGACGTTGAGGATCGAGAGCAGAATCGTAGCCTTGTCAGCGTCAAGTTTACCAAGGTCAATCGATCATCACCAGAGTTCATGCCTGTGTATGAAGGTGTGGAGACGAACGTCACCGCCGCAATATCAACTATCAACCTCATCGTTACGAGGAAGACGCTTCTTACCTTGCTTGACTTCATCCTGGCAACTTTCACCGGAAACAACAACGAGGCAGCGACGCCTCAAGAACAGAAGGCCATCTCCGATTCGGAGGACGATGACGAAGGTGTCGAGATTGCCGTTGATGCTCCTCCCGAGGACGGGCCTACGAACGCAGGCTCCATTAGAGTCAAGATCGACCTAAAGAGTATCCGTCTGATCCTGAACAACGATGAAATTCGCCTAGCAACCCTGTCTTTCAACCACGCCGATGTTGGAGTCTTCCTTTTGGGCAAGACGATGCGAGTCAATGCTAGACTGGGCAATCTCAATCTGGTTGACGATATCAATCAAGGTGTCTCGGAGGATTCCAACCTGAGGCAACTCATTTCTATTCAAGGCGATGAGCTCGCTGATTTCCGCTACGAGACATTTGATGCTACCAACAAGAAAGCGTATCCTGGATACGACTCATCGGTCTACCTACGGGCTGGTTCCGTCAAGCTTAACTTCCTCGAGGAGCCCTTCAGGAAGATCATTCAGTTCCTCGTCAAATTTGGCAAGATGCAAGCCATTTACAACGCCGCACGTCAAGCAGCAGCGTCCCAGGCCACCCAAATCCAACAAAGCACAAACAAGTTCAAGTACGACGTTGTGGTCAAGACGCCAATTGTTGTCTTCCCTCGGGTCGTCAATCACGGCCAGCCCAAACGGGACGTTATTACCGCCTACTTGGGAGAGATCTACGCTCAGAATAAGTTCGCGCCCTTGGACGATTCCCAAGACTCCCAAATTGCGACCAAGATCTCCGCAGGCATTCGCAATATTCGTCTGACATCCGATTTCAACTATCCTGGTGACCTTTCAGAAGAGTTGGAGTTGATCGACAAAGTTGACTTGGGCTTTAATGTCACGTATGCCGAGCACCAAGATGGCACAAAGCGACCCGAGCTCGAAATTGAAGGAAGCATGTCGGATTTCAACTTGAAACTTACTCAGTACCAACTAAGGTTCCTGATGGAGATTTCAAAGGCAGTACCAGCAGCGTTCGCCACCGATTCAGAAGAGCAAGATCAAGAAGCTGAGCGAGAAGTAGACAAGGACACTCTTCAAAGAGCGAGATCCATGCCGCTTGACAAGAAGGGAAGCGAGGAGGAGAAGCAGGTTGATCTTGGACCCGAACTCTCACCCAAGAACCAGACGTGGACAAAGCTCGACCTCGTCTTCCAGGTCAACACAATTGGTATGGAACTACTGCTTGCTCCGGATGACAAGCCGATCGGCAAGCTTGAAGACGCCAGCCTGTCGCGCTTCTCTTTGGACGTCACGAAACTCAAGACGAGAATGCTCAACGACGGTTCGCTCGAAGGCGAGTTCTTGATCCACTCATTCACGATTTACGACAGCCGTCCGCGTGAAACAAACAAGTTTCGACGTATCATGACTTCCTCGAACAAGGAGGTTCAACAATTGATGGCCAGCATCACAATGTCTGGCGGCCAAGACAGAAGCCTCATCGCAATCGTCACCGTCGACAGCCCACGCATCATTTTCGCACTCGACTACCTCTTTGCCATCCAGAACTTCGTCATGGTTGGCTTGCAACCGGAGGAACCTTCTCCGGTAGACGATGAGTCTCTCTTTGAGACCCCTGACGAATCAGAGGCCGATGCCGACTCAATGCAAGTCACTTGGTCCAACAAGCCCAAGTCCCAGAAGAGTAGCAGAGAGGGGGCGGAAGAGCCGCAGGCAGAGACCGAGGAGAAGCCACAGAGCACCATGAGCATTGCGTATAGGGTGAACATTGTCGATGCACAGGTTATCCTGATCGCCAACCCCCTCAGCGCAAGCTCCGAAGCCATTGTTCTGGGTACCAAGCAAGTTTTGCTTTCTCAGCAACATGCTCTGACCTTCCAGGTCTCCGAGATCGGCATGTTTTTGTGCCGGATGGATCGATTCGAAGACTCGCGTCTCCGACTCATTGACGACTTTTCAGTCCAAATGTCTATGGATAGCTCGAAACCTAACATTACAAGCATTCATGCTGATATTGAACCCCTGATCTTGAGGTTGTCTCTGAGAGACATTCTGCTCGCACTTCAGATCGCAAGCAAGGCGACTGAGCTGTCAGATCAGCAGCAAAAGGATCAGAAGGAGAGCAAGAGCGCATCGGCAGCGGACGAGAAAGCGAGAAAGCTGCGTCAAGCAGGTCTGAAGCAGCGGACTGCCAGTGGCAAGGGCCCTTCAACCATTGCGAATAAGACTATGATGTCCAAGACTGCATTGGTAGCAGCATCTCAAGCCAAACAAGCCCACAGTGATTCCAATAACACAGCTGTTCAAACTCAGCCTAAGCGCCACGAGGAACTTTCGGCAACAATTGAGGGCATCCGCGTTGTCCTCATCGGCGATGTCCACGAACTTCCCATCCTAGACCTGGGTATCAAGAACTTCACCGCCACGGCCGAAGACTGGTCTTCGAATCTCAAGGCTGAAACTGCGATCGATATCTATACGAACGTGTACAACTTTTCAAAGTCCGCGTGGGAGCCTCTGCTAGAGCCTTGGCAGGTCGGATTTGGCATTGCGAGAGAGCAGCAGTCGGGTCTTTTGTCCATTGATGTCGCTTCCAAGAAGATTTTTGATGTCACAATTACGACAGCTACCATTGCCTTGGCGTCCAAGTCCTTCGCTTTCCTTAGCAAGGACGAAGATGTTCTCGGCAAACCGCGTGGTGTTGATGCCCCTTACCGCATCCGGAACTATACCGGATTTGACGTTGTCGTACAGTCAAAGAGTATAACGACGGACGACAACATGACCGCGCGTCTCGAGGACGGGCAGGAAGTCCCTTGGAGCTTTGAACCGTGGGAGAAGATGAGAGAGAACCTATCGACTGAGAGCAGTACTGGTAGTGTCGGCATTCACTTGGAAGGTAGTGGCTTTGACCCGGTCAAGAACGTCAGGCTGAATCGTGAGGGTGAAGCGATCTACGGCCTCAAGCCCAAGACTGACAACATTTTGCACCGACTTCTCGTAGAGGTCACCTTGGGCAAGGACAACGTCAAATATGTCACTCTACGATCGCCCCTCGTGGTTGACAACCTCACCCAGATCCCAGTCGAGCTTGGGGTCTACGACGCGCAAGAAGGCCACCTGCTCAAGATCGAGAAGATCGCTCCCGGTGAAAGCCGCCCGGCTCCTGTGGGTGCCGTATTCCTGAAGTCTCTATTGGTACGGCCCGACTCTGGATTTGGCTACGCCTGGTCCTCTGAGACCTTGTGGTGGAGAGATCTCTTGAAGCGGCCAACACGGACGATGGTTTGCAAGGGGGAGAACGGGGACCCGTTCTACTTCCAGCTCAACGCCACCTTTGATCGGTCGAATCCTTTAACCAAGTAAGTCTGCCATCATCTTATCATTATCCTTGACTAATCTCTCGTTCAGAAACTATCCTTACATGCGCATCAAGCTTTCGCCTCCAGTTATCCTCGAGAACTTGCTTCCTTACGACTTCAAGTATCGCATCTACGACAAGAACACCAAAAAGGACTGGGCAAACTTCCTCCGCAAAGGTGGCCTTAGCCCCGTACATGTTGTAGAGCTATCACATCTGCTCCTCCTCAGTGTTGACATGCAGGACACTGTCTTCAAACCCAGCGACTTTGCCATCATCAACTCTGGGGCTTCGGATGATTTCAAAAAGGAAGACAGGCTGCTCTGCAAGGACGAGGAAGGCTTGCAGCTAAATCTCAAGCTCCACTACCACAAGATCCCTGATAGCGGTGGAGCTTTCCGGGTCACGGTCTACAGTCCCTACATCATCCTGAATAAGACTGGTCTTGACCTGCAGATCAGAGCCAAGGGCTTCTTGCAGGGCGCACGACCTGCAGCCGGACAGTCGACTCTGTCCTCCAGGTCTGGCAACAACCGTCCCAGAGCTACGCCATTCATGTTCTCCTACGGCAACGACGATCATAGAAACCGAGCCTTGCTGCAGATTGCGGATTCGGAATGGAGCAAGCCGCAGAGTTTCGACGCCATCGGAAGCACAACCGAGGTGGTGCTGCCCTCGCCCTCCAGGAACACTGAGGTGCACATTGGCATCACCACCGAGGCTGGAGAAGGCAAATACAAGATGACCAAGGTCGTCACTCTCGCACCACGATTCGTTCTGGAAAACAAGCTTGGAGAGGAGATCAACATACGGGAGTCTAGCTCTTCTGGGTTCATGACGCTCAAGCCCGGCGCCCATGAGCCACTTCACTTCATGCAGAAGACCTCCATCAAACAACTTTCGTTGTGCCACCCCGGCATGAACAACCAGTGGACCTCTCCTTTCAACATCTCAGACATCGGAACCACCCACGTCAAGATTGCCAAAGCAGGCCAACGCCAACGTCTGATTCGCGCTGAGATCTTGATGGAGGGTGCAACAATCTTCCTCCATCTCAGCTTGGAGACCAAGAATTGGCCATACCAGATGCGAAACGAGAGTGACACAGAATTCACATTCTATCAGGCCAACCCTAGCCTGGACGATGATGGAGTCGAAGACAGATCCGGCTGGAGGCCAATCAAGTATAGGCTGCCGCCTAGGAGCATCATGCCATACGCATGGGATTTCCCGGCTGCCAAGTTCCGTGAGATTATCATCAATGCCCATGGCAAGGAAAGACATGTCAAGCTCGCGGAAATCGGCAATCAGATTCCAATGAAGTTTGCGACGACATCCGGACAACAGAAGATTATCGACATCAATGTTGCCGCTGACGGACCTACCCAGACTATGATTCTGTCCAACTTCCGGCAATCCAAGAGTCTGTATCGACAGAAGTCCAAGTCTGGATCTCGCACGAGCACCGATGGCTTTGAGGTCAAAGATCAAGAGACGACTGCAACCTTCCGCGCTCAGCTGAAGCTTTCGGGCATTGGAATCTCGCTCATCAATTCACAACTAAAGGAGCTTGCATACGTCACATTCAGAGATGTCTCTCTTCGTTACCATGATTCTCCTTTGCATCAGACGATCGCTCTATCTGTCAAGTGGATTCAAATAGACAACCAACTGTACGGTGGTTTGTTCCCGATGATCTTGTACCCGAGTGTCGTTCCAAAGAGGGCTCAAGAGGTCGACGCACATCCCTCGCTTCACGCCATGGTTACTCGCGTGAAGGACGATTCCTACGGGGTGCTGTACATCAAATATGCAACACTGCTGATGCAGCAGATGACAATCGAGCTCGATGAGGACTTTGTCTACGCTGTCTTGGATTTCTCCAATATTCCTGGGGCCGCCTGGTCAGACACCAATGAGGACGGCAAACTTTGTGACGAGGAGCTGGACATCCCGGAGCCGCAGCGGCAACAATCTGGACAAGACATCTACTTCGAGCTTCTCAACATCCAGCCCATGCAACTCGACCTCTCCTTCATGCGCACGGAGCGAGTCAATGCCGAGGACAAGACGTCGTCCCGAAACCCTCTCATGTTCTTCCTCAATGTCATGACGATGGCCATCGGTAATATCAACGACGCGCCGATTCGCCTTAATGCACTCATGCTAGACAACGTCCGCGTGTCCGTGGCTGCCTTGACACAAAACATCATGAGTCACTACAGCCAAGAAGTTCTTTACCAGGTTCATAAGATCCTCGGGTCTGCCGACTTCCTCGGAAACCCCGTTGGCTTGTTCAACAACATCAGCTCCGGCCTTACAGACGTGTTCTACGAACCCTACCAAGGTCTCATTCTTTCGGACAAGCCCGAGGACTTTGGTATCGGAGTTGCGAAGGGAGCCGCATCACTTGTCAAGAAGTCTGTCTACGGCTTCACCGATTCCTTCTCCAAATTCACCGGCAGCTTGTCAAAAGGCCTTGCAGCTGCGACTCTCGACAAGCAATTCCAAGATCGTCGTCGCATTACGCGTGCACGCAATCGGCCCAAACATGCTCTGTATGGCGTCACTACCGGCGCCAACTCTTTCTTCACAAGTGCCGCTTCTGGCGTGGGAGGACTCGTCCGCAAACCATTGGAGGGTGCCGAGCAGGAGGGTGCTGTTGGATTCTTCAAGGGAATCGGCAAGGGTGTCGTCGGATTTGCTACCAAGCCCGCTATTGGCGTTCTAGACATGGCCTCGAATGTCTCAGAAGGCATCCGCAACACGACCACCGTCTTTGACGGCTCAGAACTCGATCGTGTCCGCCCTGCTCGATTCGTGCCTTCTGATGGTATCGTGCGACCGTACAATGCCCGGGAAGCCCTTGGCCAGTCATGGTTGAAGCAGGTCGACAATGGCAAGTACTTCAACGAGAACTACATTGCCCATCTCGAACTGCCACGCGAGGACATGGTTGTCATGGTCACTTACGCTCGGATTTTGCTTATTCGTAGCCGGCGACTGACGTCGGAATGGGATGTGCCCCTCAAGGACGTCCAGACGATTGCCAAGGAGCGGACTGGCCTGAGCCTGACGCTGAGGGGAGGCACGAACGGTCCATTCCTACCTGTTGGCGATGAAAGTGGCCGCGCATTTTTGTACAAGATGGTGGCCGTCGCTGTGGAGGAATTCAACCGTCGGTTCAGGGGACTCGAGTAAAGTGATAGGTGAATGGTGTGATACTGTGGCCGAGTAATAGGCCGAGGCTGGTTCGGATACATGAGGGGAGGTCTTTTTTGACTCGTTTCGTGATTAATTCACTTCTTTTTGAGGCCTGTAAGCATAGCCTCGCGATTTCATTAGCAATTACATATACTTTATCTTGCCTTGTGTTAGCACGTTAGGACCTCTGCCAGTTTTATATAAAGGTCTCGTCAGATTGCAGATCTTTTACGAGCTCACGGCTTCTGTTAAAACACACGGGCAGTAAGTACCCCTCCCTCCCTAGCATCAAGGTCATGTTCATCACTTGCCAGCGCATTTCCTCTCAGTCAAGGCAATCGCAACAAGAAAGGAGTGTGGGTGTATTATCTTCTGAGTAACCAAGTTCAACCGAGATGCGCTACTATACTAAAATCAGAAAAGAACAAACGCCCTAATGCTATGCTCAAACTCCACCGTGTAATGCCATCTATACCATCTTCCATCCTCGCATGCTCATCAACCACGGTTGTCGATTCGTCTACGTATGCCCAACTCCTTGTCAACAATCCAACCCTTTAGTTGGAAGGGCAGTAGCCGATAGTGCAAGCGTCAGACTTGCAGCACCCGCGAAATCCGTTAGCGCACGACTGGAAGAAGCCGGTACCGGGTGCGCAGACAGTGGGATCAGCGTTGGCGTTGGACTTGCTCTCGGGGGTCGGGGTGGCGGTCGTCTGAGGGGCCGTCTTGGTCACCGTCTCAAAGGTCTTGACGTCCGGGCAGTAGCCAATGGTACAGGCGTCCTGCTTGCAGCACCCGCGGAAGCCGTTGGCGCACGACTGGAAGAAGCCGGTGCCGGGAGCGCAGACTGTAGGGTCGGCGGCGCGTTTTGAGGAGGAGGCGATGGCCAGGTCGGGGCAGTATCCCAAGGTGCAGGCGTCGGACTTGCAGCAGCCGCGGAAACCGTTTGAGCAGGACTGGAAGAAGCCGGTGCCAGGGGCACAGACGGTGGGATCCTGACGCTTCTCGGAGGCAGAGGTAGTAGGGCAGTAACCGAGAGTGCAAGCGTCAGACTGGCAGCATCCACGGAACCCATTGGAGCAAGACTGGAAGAAACCAGTGCCGGGAGCGCACACCGTCGGGTCCTGACGCTTCACAGAGGCCGAGGGACAGTAGCCAATGGTGCAAGCGTCCTCCTTGCAACATCCGCGGAAACCGTTCGAGCAGGATTGGAAGAATCCGGTGCCGCTAGGGCAGACGGTGGGGTCGGTGGATTGCTGGCTGGCCGAGTGGTCGGGGCTGACGGGGATGGTCTCGGCCGGAGCGTTGGCGGAGGTTCCGGTCACGCCGGGGCAGTAGCCGATGGTGCAGGCGTCGGACTTGCAGCAGCCGCGGAAGCCATTGGCACAGGACTGGAAGAAGCCAGTACCCGGTGCGCAGACCGTGTCGTCGCGCTTGGTGTTGAGGGAAGGGCTCGCCGAGGCAAGAGTTGCGACGGCAGCGAGGAAAGTGAGGACGGTGGAAAAATGCATTGTTGATTTATAGATGTGGTGGATTCGAGTTTAGATTAAGCAAAAGTTGACGATTGTGAGAGTGATGGAGTCGAGGTTTGAAGATTGAGCGATTGTCCCAAGGAAAGAGAAACCGACAAAGGAAATAAGGAAACAGGAAAGAAAAAAGAGGAAAAGACAAATGTTGAGCTGTAAACGAACTGTTTTAAGTGATTGTTGATGAGAAGAAAAGAAGAGAGGCCATATCGGAGGAGGAACCAGGTTGGATTTATAGACATCTGACAACAATTGAGATACGGATGATTTGCTCGGAAACTACTTACATCGCCATCTCTCATATTAGCCTATATCTTACCACAATCGACTGTGCGTTTAGAGGGATCTCGCAAAGAGACCGCGACGCGAGAGCAAGCCCGCCAATATCGTGACCAAGGCGTGTCGTTCCTCCTAAGCCGGAATTGGTGTGTAAATCAAACAGCACGTTGGAAGTCTGCTGCGCATACGCACCGCCCGCTGAACTCCCGAAGCTGAAAGCACGTCGCCCTACGGAATAAAGTATGGTATAGGCTATGCAAAGTGAGACGGGCATCTGCATCCCTTGCATCCAAGTGTGATGAATCCTTCTTCATCTTCTTCCCCCGGACTCGGGCCTTTCCGAGCAAATGGGATAGCTGAGAATGCAAGCTGCAGAACCTTGTGGTAGGCAGAGTATCACCGTCAGCCCCGATTAACAAACGCGATAGGCGTGCGTCGCAGGGCTGAGCTGCAACCCGAGTCTCTGCTGAGCGTCTTGGTGCCGAGGGCGGAGGGACGAGTCACCGACTAGGACGGTTCGAGTCAAGGCGAAGGCCGCCGGGAGGTGAGCCAAAGGAGTTCCGGGGGCGGCGGCGCAGTTGCACCTGTCAGACGCCAGAGGGCTGGGTCTCACAGACAGTCTCACTTGGACCTCTGGGCTCTCGTGGTTGGCCCCATGCCTTCTGCTGACATACCGCTCATTTTGCGCTGCAGTGGTAAGCTTATGTTGGCTCACGTGGATGTTGAGGGGTCGTGCATATCGAGATCTCAAGAGCTAGAGGCGGATGGATGGATGCGGAGACAAGAAGGGACAAACGGTGCTACTTTGGCAAGGTGGATTGCTCATGTAGTAGCCACGCAGCTTCGTCATCGCATGTACGAATATCAGACTTAGGAACAGACTGACAGCAGACGCGGCGTTGCAGCTGTTGCCAAGGTCCATTGACTGGATTGAGGTCACGCTTCTCTACGCAGTATCCATCTGCTCCTGGAACTTCTAACTTCTAAGGGTTGAAGTTAAGAAGCGAGACCGCTGATTAAGCCGCGTTTGCCGTCCGTCCCAGAACCCGTGATCATTGACGAACTCACTAGTGGAGGAGGTTCCGCTCCATTTTTGTGGCTCTTTGCGTGGGCGAGTCAAGTGCCGGCAGTAGCCAATAAATGGGAGTTCCTGGTCAAGGAGATCTTCATCTTGATGTTCGAACCACTGCATAGCGGGTCACATCGAGAGAGCCCTGGAAAAGCTGGAAATGATTCGTGATGGGCCAAGTCCCGAAAGAGAAGGAGGATAGAGAGAATATTCTCCGAACGGCACGCATAATCCGATGGTGGTCCCGATCTGTTGCTCCAACGTCCCCGTCTTGGCCCACGGAGCATCGCCGTTACGGCACGGCGCTTGGCAGTCCGAATGGGAGCAGTTCCAGAAGCATCGGTACTTCAGGCCAGTTCGGAGGACGGTATACGGAACTGGCATACCTGGACGTTCTGTATCTGACACGAAGGCTGCGGACACTGTTAATCAAAATAAGGACTTGGGAAATTCTCCCCCTAGGCCGTTTCGAACTTGGCCCCGGCAGTGGGATGCCGATATTTTCTCGTTGGGACGTAGGACATGATGCTGGGTAGAATTTCTGCTGCGCCTAGATCATCAGTCGTCAGCCCCCCATTTTGGATCTTGATATGATGATACCAAAAGGCGGGATGATGGTTGAGACAATTCCTTAACTTGCTGGGCAGAAGATGCGGCTGGGTCATCTCTCTTTAATCAGTCTGTGGCCCTTGCCGTGGGCAGCGTGTGCCAGACAGATGAAATATACTTTCAAGTTTCGACCGCGACGGGACGAACTGCAACCATGACGCGGCTCATCTGTGCCGTTTCCTTTTGTTTCACCAAAGCTTGCCCCAGCGCCGCTCCTGGCCGCCCCCTGATGGCCCTGGTTCGTCGAGAAGATTTGACCTTGGATTTTTGCAGAGTAGGGATGCTGAGGTAAAGCAGTCCAACAAGCAGGACCCCTGACAAAACTACCGGGGGTGAAGAGAATGGTCTGGCGGCCAGGCCCCGATAGCGCCACCACGTACTCTATTTCATACCTCTAATACCCATCCGGGACGGCATTTGAGTGAAGCGAGCTCGCTCTTGAGCCCACTGTCTGTGTTGTTCTTTTAATTAATTAACACGGCCTCAGACTCCCGGGTGCAGAGGGTTCGATTTTCGTGATTCGTCAAACAGCCACTCTCCAGAGCACCTGTTCCGTTCAATTTCCCACAAACAATGGGACGGATCGTGGGGTCGCTGGCGGAAGCGGCGTGGGCACAGCAAATGGCGAATCGACCGCAGGAGTCGAGGAATCGAGGTAAGGCTGCTGGGCCCATTGGCGGAGGAAGTTAGGGGAAATCGGAGGAGGGGATTCCTTTTCATCAGTGCCCTTTTCTTTCCAAGAGATACAAAGCGATTGTTTTCCCTGTTCATTCCGTCTTCCCATTCCGGTGCCTCGCCCTCTCATTTTCTTTTTTGCTCTTTCAGTTCTCGACGTTTCTGTCGGTATTCACTCGTTCAAAAATCTACAAACATGAAGTTCGCTTCCATTTCACTCCTTGCGCTGGGCGCTCTTATCCCGGAACTGGTCAACGCCCAGCTGTCTGGCACCGTTGGACCTACCACCAAGGCCGCTACCAAGGCCGCCAAGAAGACATGTAACATCACCAGCTACGGCGCCAAGACCGGTGCCACCGGAGACATCGGCGCGGCCCTCAAGTCCGCTTGGGACGCCTGCAAGACCGGAGGTGAGATCCTCATTCCCACTGGTGAATGGGGTCTCGGCACTTGGCAGACTCTCTCCGGCGGGACTGGTGTTTCCATCAACCTCGAGGGTACCATCTACCGCACTGGAACTGCTGGCGGCCACATGATCATCGTCCAGAAGTCAACTGATATCGAGTTCTACAGCGGCAACTCCAAGGGTGCCATGCAGGGCTATGGCTATGAATTCCACAAGCGTAAGACAGTCCCACAACAACCAATCGCCACCACACGATACTGACGATATGACAGAGGGCAGCGGTGTCTACGGACCTCGTCTCCTGAGATTCGTCTCTGTCACCAACTTCAGCGTTCATGACATTGCTCTCGTCGACTCCCCGGCCTTCCACTTCGTCATGGACACCGTCACCAACGGCGAGGTCTACAACATGATTGTCCGTGGTGGCAACCAGGGCGGTCTTGATGGCTTCAACTTGATGGCTGCCAAGAACGTGCACGTTCACGACGTCGCCGTCACCAACAAGGACGAGTGCGTCACTGTCAAGAACAAATCTAGCAACATTCTCGTCGAGAACGTCTTCTGCAACTGGTCCGGTGGCTGCGGCATCGGCTCATTGGGCGTTGACACTGGTATATTTAGGCTCCGAGAGGAATCTCTCCATTACGATGCAATCACTAACAAGAGTTGCTTATAGCCATCTCCGACATCCACTACCGCAATGTCTACACCTCCAACTCCAACCAGATGCTCATGATCAAGAACAATGGTGGTGATGGTGCCTTCCAGAACGCCAAGTTCGAGAACTTCATCGGTCACGGCAACGCCTACTCCCTCAAGATCGACTCTGCTTGGACCGGCCAGAGCAAGGTCGCCGGCAACGGTGTCGAGTACAAGAACCTGACCTTCTCCAACTGGAAGGGTACCGCCGCCAACGGTGCCGCTCGCGGTCCCGTGGTCGCCCTCTGCGCTGCCGCCGTCCCTTGCGAGAACATTGACGTGTCCGGCATCAACATCTGGACCGAGTCTGGCTCTTCCATCGTCGACAAGTGCAACAACGCCTTCGGCACCGGCCACTGCATGCGCACCGGCTCTGGAACCTACACCAGCACCGCTACCACCAAGACCGTCACCAGCTACTCCGCTGCCACCATGCCCGGCCTCGTCACCGCCGGACTCGGCATCACCAAGTCCATCGACATTCCCGCCATCCCCACCACCTTCTACCCTGGTGCCAAGCCCGCCAGTGCTCTTGCTGGCGCCGCTTAGGCGCGAGAAGGCCATGAACATGAAGCAACCAGGACCCGGCTCGACAAGAAACGAGCCGATCTCATTTTCCTGTACATACTTAACTGGAAAAGCCAAGCTGCACATATCATTCGGGAAATGATTATCAATTTTCTCTGGCGTCTATCACTTGACTCAAACTACTCTAATCACCGACTGACTGCTGTCTTACTGACTCCCGACCTGTGACTTGATCCAATACTCGTCCAAGTGACCCATCGTGACCGGTTTCGTTTCCTTGACGCCGACAAACTCTCTCAGCTTCCCCCTTAGTAGGTACGTCGGTGTACAGCTCCAAGCGTGACAGAAACTGTTGTTTCGAGCATCTCCGTAGGGACTTGCCCGAGGGTCTTCGGGGTTGTAGCACTCCCAAAAGGTGTCTGCACCGGCGCGGACCATACCTCCCCAGTAGCTGGTCATGATCTCCACACACTTATCGAACAAGCCCACGGTAGCGAGGGCATCGCACACATGGTGCCATAGGTAAGGGGTCAGGGGCTTGAGAGCGTCGGGGTGTGCAAGTGTGTTAATCAGGGCAGCCTTAGCGATTTCCTGAGGATATGCTTCTGCAAGAACAAGCCAAGATGCCGACGCAAAGCTGACCTGTCCCTTGGGGCCAGACACGAAGACATTGTCTGGAGAAAGGAACACCTTCGCTGCTTCGGTCATTTGGGCCACGAGGTCCACAAAAGGGGCATCCTTGCCGAGAACCGTGGCCAAGGAGTTAGCTGCTTTCAGACAATACAGTAGGACTCCGTGTAGTCCTGCACTATGTTCCAGCCCAGGCTGCCAGTCAAGGAACTTCCATCCTTCGCCCTTGGACTCATCAAACACGTGAGTGATAGCATCAAGATGCGTGAGAGCCCGCTTCACGCAGCCGAGGACGGTGGGCCAGAGGCTGTGGCCCGCAGCTTTGTCGCCCGATGCCACCACGTAGTCGTACGTAATGGCGGCGAATAGCGCGTCGTAGTCAACTATGTAGTCGGTCGAAGGCGTGAGCTGAGGCTGTTCAAAGATGCAAGCTGGCACAGAGTCATCTTCGCGCACCACGGCAGCAAATTGGAAGATGCAGCGCTTGACGAGGTTGAAGTCCCGGAAGGTGCTGTAGTTTGCAAGTGCTTGAAGCCGAAGATCTCCGCTCCAGAGCCGACGATCCCTTCGAGGTCCGTCCTCAAAGACGGTTTGCATGCAATCTCTCAGTGTCGATATGCTAACGTGGTCAATCTGCTGGAGGAGAGAATCGTTGAACTGCGGAGCCTCCAGGGAGTGGTTCTGGCTGATGGCGCTAACACATTGACATTTGACGTCGGAAAATGTAACCTTATATTTGGGTGAGGTGTCGATGACTTCCACTCGAAGGAAGCGGAACGAGTATCGTCGAGATAGAGAGACCTCCTCCGGGCACATGTCGATATTGATGATTTCGTCTGGAAGCCAACTGGTACTGATCCATGTCTTGACATTTTCCATACCGAGAGTTACGTCCAAAGGAGATTCGCCGAATGTGAGGCGCAACCTGCACGGGGCGTCCATGTGCGAGCCTCGGGACTCTAGTCTCATTGAGAGATATCCCACCATGTGAATACCAAAGTCGAGAATGAAGCCATCTCCTTTCCCCCAAGTCTTGGACGGTAATTTGTCAATGGGGTATTCCGCAGGTACGGCACGGACACCAAAGTATTGGCCCTCGTCTTTATCGAATGTGATGACGCGTTGAGGTGTTCGTGTCCATCGCTGTAGCTGCGGGCACAGATCATTGGCAATCTTTTCAAAGTCTCGGTTCCAGCGCGTCGGAAGCACGCTCTCGACCATGTCCTCGGGAGCATCTGCCATGGTGGGTGGATGGCTCAAAGTCGACTAGGGAGTAAGGTAGAGACTATTGTAGTACTCGGAAGGATAAGGCGCGTGATTGGGGGCTGGAAATGAACTCGAGATTTGTGTTTCGTCTGTGGTTGCCAACAAAGCATGGGTTTAGGTCCAGGTCGTTGGAAATGCTTTTGAAGACGCCACGATCCCAAACAGAATCCATAAACGCTTCGGTGTGACAACCACCCGAGAAGGGCAATCCAAAGCACCGAAGCTCGAGATGAGGGGAATGTGGCTGACGCTTCTGATTGCTCAATCGGGACTTTTCAGACCCATGGCAATGTCGGCGTGGAGACCATTTCTGGGGCCGGTGCGGGGATATACCGAGGAAGAGTCAGGATTCATGACAAGCTGAATCGACAAGCGTCTGGAACTCCAATGGCCCAGGTCAGCTGGAGGCAAGAAGAGGGTTCAACAACGGCAGAACTACGGATGAGCTGCGGGCAGACTAGCATAGTCTTCGTTTCGTAAGGTCCTTGTTCTGGTTTTGCAAAAGCCTTTGACTCCTTGGCGGCACCATTAGATCGAGGAACGGCCCCAAGCTAGAAGAGGCTCCTTTACGCAGATGCCGAGCTGCCACAAGTTCACAATACGCCTGCTCTCGCGATTTGCTGAACACAAGGGCATATCGTTCTCGATGCTGGAACATGGCGATTGTCGGTCGTCTCAAGAAAAAAGAAGCATGTCCAAGCACAACTTCCATCACAACAATAACCACCACCGCCTAGGTCCCAGAAACTCGCAGCAACCCGCGATTCTGATGATGCTCAGGTCAAACCCCCGCATCTTTCATCTGCATTTTTTCATGCACGAGCCGGGGTATAGCCGTGTCTGTGGGGTCCCCAGACTACACTACCGAAACGGCGGGTCATTGTCACCTTTGGCCCAGGCCAGAGTCCATGTCCAGACCTGACCACCACTGGCGTGCGTGACTGGCATCGGCACCAAGTCCAAGTTCATCTTATGGCTCAGTCTGGCTGTCACTCTTTGGGTTAGCAGCCATTCAGTCACAACCAACCAAAGCTCTCAGGTTATTCTTCGGGACATAGACTGACTCGGGAGGCTGTCTACCGCGCCGCGCTATTGACAACCTCCCTTGGTCCCAGGTCAACACTTGCCGGCAACATGGCCGAGCCATCAGTGAAACGCACTCCCACGGCTCCCACCATGCAGACAGCCCGGCCCCTCCCCCGCAAAAGTCAACCAAATGGTTGGGTGAGGAGGCGGGCCTACCTCCAGGACCATCACGCCTGACCTCGGACCTGATGAGGAATGCCACCAGGGAGAAAGGGGGCTTGCGCTATAGACTATGGGTTATTGTCGGCCGATCATTGAGACGACGTTGATCCGAAGAAGTGCCTACAACTGCCTCCATCTGAAATGCTTTTGAAAAGTTCTAGACAATAAGAACCGGGGACGTTCCCGGCTTTGTTACACCTTGCCCTAGTTCCCCAGTCTCGAACTCCTCAACTTCCCCAGATCGTCGGTGCTTCCCCAGATTTTCTCTCAACTTTAAGTTGTTCGGCCCGAGGTTTTTAAACATATTCGACACTTCCATTTCCTCTCTCAGAGCTGACAGGAACGGCGATCATGGACGACAAACACCTTGAGGCGCACCCGACGTCAATCGTCGATAAGGACGACATCGCCGCGGCCAAGGGCGAGCACGTAGAGGAAATCGGCCACGCCGCGACGGCAGAAGATCACGACGAAACTGTTTTACAAGCCATCAAGAACCAGCCGTGGGCGTTTGTGTGGTGTATTTACGCCATATACGTCCTCGTCCTCACCAGCTTTGACAACCAGGCGGGAGGAACAGTCATTGGAATCCCCCAGTTCCGCAAGGATTTCGGTTCCGAATTCAATGGCAACTATGTTCTCCCCGCAAAGTGGCAATCTGCCTACAGCGGAGCCCCTGTCGCATCGTATGTGCACTGTTCCTATAGCTTCCCGTCACGAGCTAACGTTACTCTCCATCACAGTGCCGTCGTTGGATCCCTCGGTGCTGGCTGGGTGGCCGACCGCATCGGCCGCAAGTGGACTTACTTCATCAGCTACGCCTTCATCTTTGCAGGCATCACTTGCGAGACGGTAAGCACCACCAACGAGATCTTCTTCGCGGGCAAGTTCATTGCCGGATTTCCCATTGGCGCTTTCATCACAGTCAGCATGACATACATTGGCGAGATCGCGCCCCTGGCTCTCCGCGGTATCTTGACCGCCGCTGCGGCCATCGCCTTCACCATTGGTCCTTTCATCGTCAGCCTGGTTGTCAACGAGACTGGAACTAGAACCGACCGCTGGGCTTACCGCACAATCTTTGTGTCCCAATACGGCATCAGCGGCGTCGGTGCCCTCTTGCTGTTTTTCATGCCCGAGTCACCGTGGTGGTTGGTTAGCAAGGGCAAGATGCAGAGGGCTGCCAAGTCTCTGAGCCGTCTTGGCTACGATGCGGTCCAGGTCGAGAAGCGCCTATCTGTTATTACTCTCACCCTTGCTGAGGTACGCAAGGAGACCGACGGCGCCAGCTTTGCTGAGTGCTTCCGCAAGTCCAACCTTCGCCGTACCATCATCTCAGTCGCACCTTTGAGCATCCAGGCTCTGTGCGGTACGTTATTCGTGTCCTTTCACAATCCTGCCCTTGACTGACTCTGTTTAGGTGTATTCTTCGTTGCATCGTACTCTACCTACTACCAGCAACTGGCCGGATATAGCACAAAAGAGAGTTTTACGCTGGCTATCGTGCAGCAGGTAATGTCCATGCTCGGTAACGTAACCGCATGGTTCCTCATTGATCGAGTTGGTCGCCGCGGCCTCACTCTCTGGGGGATGTGCATCTTGACAGTCCTTCTCATGATTACTGGTGGTCTTGCGGTGGCTGCCACACCTGGTGCCGTCAAGGGAACCGTCGCACTGCTGCTGGTGTACTGCTATATCTACAACGTCACTATTGGAGCCACGGCCTATTCTCTCTTGACCGAGGTTGCAACTTCGCGTCTCCGTGCGAAGACTGCCTCTATGGCTTTGGCTTTGCAAAACAGTCTCTTCGTAAGTCAAATCCTGCCACCAAATATCATTCTTGATCTGGTTGAAATATGGAAACTAATCCCTTCTTTCCAGACCATGTGGGCCTTTGTTATCCCCTTCCTTTTCAACCCAGATCAAGCCAATCTCGGTGCCAAGGTGGCCTTCATCTTTGGCGGCCTTTCCATTCTATCCACTGTCTATCTCTGGTTCTATCAACCCGAGGTTGCTGGACGGTCTTACGAAGAGCTTGATGAGATGTTCATCAAGCAAATCCCAGCACGGAAGTTCAAGGGCTACAAGACAGAGGTACAGGAGAAAAGTGAAAGGGCAGTTGCTCAACAGCAATGATCTGTCACAGTTCATTGATCTTTGACCTGATGTAGTCAAGATGACTCCAGGGGCGCAGTAGTTAGACGACGATTGATTTGATTCTCAAAAGGATTTCCGAGCAGGCGGGAAGTGCCAGACATCAGAATATAGTACTCAATGGAACTCCTCAAGACCACGCGAGTTTCCGCTACTAATGACGCCAATAACGCCTCATAAAAGGCAAGTGAAGTAGCTATCAATACTTAGTAACGTTCAGGAGACATATTACCCCATCTTTAATAATAATTTCTACTCGTATATCAGGAGAAAAGTCGGTTTATCTTCTGCCGGCACACCCAGGTGGAATTGAAGACATTTATCGACTAAAGTCGTTCTGCAACATCTTGCCTGTAAGCGTTTCCAAGTCATACTCCAGGCAATGACGCTAGTCTGAACCGGATACTGATAATTCAATGTCTAGTCTAGCCTCGGAGCTCTCTGGTCCTTTGGCGCTTCGTGTCTTTCACGGATCACGCCGACCTGCGTCACCCCAGATAATGATGAAGGCGCCGGCTAGCCGATTTTTGACATAATTGCTACCAAATTCCACTACTAGGAGATCGCTGCTCGCCTCATCTGTTGCTCTCCTTGAATCACCTCGGATACAAGGCCATAGCCGATACCAGTCGACCTGTCTCGCAGCCTCTCAGGTATCATTCTGGTCAATTTCTGGGTGCAACCTCATTGGAATAAGGCACCTACTTGGAATAGCTTACATAGAATTCAATCTCTGCATCGCCGGCTCTCATAAGACTCTGCATGTGCCACCGGAGCGACTGTATCTCGTTGCCCTTATTTAATTGGCAAAAGAGAACCTTTGTTGCACGTGATTTCCACGGCACTCACCAGTTGTAGGCATCGCCATTCGCCAAAAGGAGATTCAACGGTACGGCCCGAGGGATTTGTATTAGAAAGGAGTTCGTGGGATCTTAGGACGGAGGCCTGTCCCTTCGCGATCAGTGTGACTAGCGCACATACAGGATGCGCTTTCAGGAGGTTGGTGATGGCATCATCTCAGCAATACCGACTTTTTCATCCACATCCTGGAGAAAAATAAGTGGATAAATTACAAGAACGGAAATGACGTAACGATCATCGAATAAAATCACTTGAACTCGAATGGCAAGTGGGATTTCGTATCCTCATAAGAAGACTGTCATGTTGGCTAGAAAATCCGCTTTGGCAGCTGTTACAAACTTACGCGTGTTTTGCAAGGATCATAGTACGTAGGAGGTCAGGTTTGGGGGGGAATGGAGCCTGTACGGATAGATGTCGATTCGTGGGAAACTGATCGTGCATCTGTGTGTGGACTTGACCGTAGGTATGTACAGACACCATCGAATAAACAGGGTTTACTCTGTTTCCCAGTAGCCAAGAGTAAGACCCAGCTTGCCCGTCATGTGCTTGCTGTATGTGTCCGAATATCCGGGAGTGGAGTCGCGACTTTCTAAGGCACTCTGCGAATGCGGCGGTCCGCGATGTTGGATCTGGGGGCGGAGACCACACGTGGTAGCATCTCTGGATCCGCGGTCTTTTACTGACCCAGTTGCGCAGCTAACTAGCCCATTGAT